ATAAAAAACATTTACCACAAAATAATACAACTTATTTTGAAATTTTATAAATCTTTTTCCTTTTTTCTACCTATACTTCAGAGCATAAAAAAGTTTTTCCCAAAACAGACTAACATAAATTGGTAAATATGATATCCTGCATCTCAAAAATTAGTGTCAAGTAGATTTTGGGTGAAAAATAGGTCAAGAAATAGTTATCCTGGGCTACCTGTAAATACTAGAACTGAATTGACATTGAATTCGGCATCTATGCGCCCGATTTACCTATAAAACAAGCTTCCATCTAGATCATAGACCCGCAACACTTACTGTAGATTTTTTATTAGTGGTTTTTGGCAAAGTAAAATTCTTGCGAGTATCTCGTAAACGAGGCATTTCCCAATGGATTCGGTTTTAGCGACACAAAAAAATCTATAATAGGAATGGTTGAGCTCACGTTCCGACTGACCCATTTTTTCCCTGTTTTATAACAATACCTATTGTGCGTGTTTTGGGTCGCTAAAACCGAATCCGAAGTCGTTTCGTATGTATCTGATCCGTTTATCATTAGGTATAATTATTATAATTAGGCAGCAGCGGTGGCCGCAGTAGTAGACTCTTCGGTCTCCTGATCAGTCGCCGTGCGCTGTGCGGGTTCGAGTACCGTCCCAGGAGAAATTTTTCTCTTGGCTATGGATGTTGTGATTGTCCGTAGGTGGTAGACGGTCTCTGACTGTCGAACGTGGAGGTACCACCCGGCGGATCTCGTAGGCGGAGCCAGAATGTGTGCATGTCGCATGCACACGTGTTCCCGCGCCAGAGTCCGTGTGGCGTTCCCCCTTTCCTCTGTATCCCCCTATAGCCCCACGGTACCCAATGGGTGTTTAGGCCTTAGGCCTTCGTGGTAGTTGGAGTATAAAAAAAAAAATATTTGGCGTGAAATTGCATTTTGCGTTTTTGAGCTGCTAAAAAATTACCTTTATTACCGATGGCTAAATGTGAGCGAAACTTTGCGCAGCATGGTAATTTGGGATGCTGAATACGAGTATCATAGTGAAAAAATTCTAACGTGTCATTGGACCGGATTTGGGGTGAAAAATTCGTAAAAAACTGGTTATCCTGGGCTACTCGCGAATCCTAGCACTGAATTGACTTGTAATTCGAAATCTACGCACCCGATTTACCTAGAAAACAAGCTTCCATCTAGCTAATTGTCGCGCAACAGTTCTTGTCATTGTGTGTACCAAAATATTGTGTTATCTGGAGCTACCTTTTATTATTATGTGATTCAAGTCAGTCTGAAACTTCATTTGCAACTTACATGGATTACTTAGAGAGGTCATCTCAACAGTACATGAAACATGACCCGAAGGATTTCCAGCTGGGTCTGCGTAACTCCTCTCCTCTCCTGTAACTAAATCACATGGGGTACCCTATAAAAAACTTCCTTATTCTTCCAATTTACAAATGAATTAACTGATATTACCCTAGTATTACACTTATTAAAAACCTCATTGGCTAACAGTTTCAATGGCCCACAGTACACTCCGGATTTGGCAGTAAGAAACCTTTCCAGGGCATGGTAAGTCTTTCCAGAGTTTGTGGGACCAGCATGGAAAATGACCTTTCTGTTCATAGCTCTGGCTTGAGGGTACCAATTAGCAGGTGATCTCAGATCTGATATCTTCCTTAAGTCATCCATACAATCCAAATGGGGAAACATTAACTTTGCATGTCTAAGAAAGTATGGGAACAGATCCGTCTCATTCCCTGCTCCTTGTAAGATGTCACTGAACACAACATGAATATCTACAGGCAAGTTTTGTGCTTCTAAGCAGAATCTTCGGAAACTAACGTATGCCTGATGTTGCAGATAATCTAAAACATGCAAACTGTTTGTTTCGAACTGCAGCAGCTTCAAAATAAAGTACGGTCAAAATAATTCTTGAGTCATAAATCTTCATAGTGCTGCCTTAATGTCTTCCCAGCCTGTTCATTTATTGAAGTGGTCAAGGCATCAAGTTAGAATTCAGGTTAATGAAACTAATGCATAAATACTATATCTTAGTGTAAAACAGTTGAAAAAAAGTGAAGTCTACGAGGTCTGTAAATTAAGTGATAAGACTGGCAACGCAGCGTTCGATCTGGCAACACTGGAGGCGCCAGGCTTAAAAGCGGCGGAATAAGTTCCGATTTGCGGAACTTTTCAGAAAGAAGGATTTATTTTCCAAATTTTCTAATATTTACTAAAAGAAATACCGGCAATACCATAAAAATACTTTCGATTTGAGCCTGAAACAGTTCAACAACTCAAAAATTATACTCTGTTAATGCTGTGTTTATTTGAAAATATGATTTGTTAAAATGGCAAAATATTCACAAGACATCCTTTTTGCATGAAAAATCGGAACGTTTAGGCAACCTCGCATGGAACTTTTGCAACCCAAGTGTTGATGACACTTGATCCGCCTTCAGTACAAGTTTGAACTCGCTCAGGTCATTTTGTTCCAAACATGAGTGACATCACTTGGGCACATTGCAATAGAAACTCTTGCTAAACTTCAGCAGGCCTAGGGAGATAGTGTTTTGTCAAGTGGCTTAAGGCATTTTCTGAAAAGAGAGAGTCATTTGAAGATGAAAAATGAAGCAGGACACCTTCATATTTAATCAAAATCAAAATATTGACAGAATTTAGGATCTTGTAAGTTCAGATCATCGATTAATAGTCAAAATGATTGGGTAAGAGTTAGATGGCCCCAAAATAGGACTCCAAGGACCTATAAGCATGAAAAATTGTATTTCAGAGAATCATATTGTTAGCATACTAGCTGCTTTACTGAGCACTAAGGTAGAACAATAAGTGGAGCCCAAACAGTGCTACCAGATCAAAAATGCTGAACAAACCAGACTAGATGTTTAAAAAGCTGTAAATAAATAAATAGTGTGAAGGGAGCTTTAGGCTGTTTTTGAGTTCCAAATTTTGCTTTGATCGTAAGCCCCTTCACTGTAACTCTACAGATAATAAAAATACAATGTACAATGCTATTTAACTAGCACTTCAGAAATATGCTCATATAGTATATTAGACTGACTATGCAGCATGACTCACTATCCAATCCATTCTCCATGAGCAGATGCTTGATTTCCCTATTTTGGTAAAACTTATTCAACACTTTCAACAAATCAGATTTATTTAAGGTCCCTGTTAATTCCTCGCCAACATTTATGTCGTCTGGCGTTGATTTGACTTGAACAGGGATAAATAAGGAAGATATAGATGAATCGTCCTTTTTGCCTCGAATTTGAAATTGAAACGCACTGGTACACTTTGCACCATTTCTAATGGTAATATGTGATGAATTTAAATGGAAACTTTGGAGAGCTGCACATAAATATCTGAACCGTCGACTGTTCTGTAACATGCTGTTTGCAAAATCTAAAATTAAGGGAAAATAAATTTAAATGAAATCATAAAGTTGGGTACGAACGTGAGTTTAGAAATTTTTAAGGTTATGTCTGACTTAGTGACTTTGACGATCTTGACACTTATTTTGTGGTGCTTGTCATAGAAAACAGAGCCACAAGAGCTGAAGCTCCTTATCCAGACGTACATAAGCCGCCATATTCAGTCATCCGAATTGCGTAAATCCATTATTTAGGAATTACCTAAATCATTGCACAATATAGTAACGCCAAACAAGAAACCTTTCGTTCACAATTCAAAGCCGCTCCACACCCACGCTAAAATCTCGGCGAGAACTTCTTTGGGTCCACACTCGCAAAGTTCTCGTGCTCGATGACGATGAACGCAGTATTAAATGTCGTCGACACCAGCCCCAGATGTTTCCGATTTCTTGACTTTACTTTTATACCCTCTGTAGCTGGCTAATAACGATTTTTTTTTATTTTTAATTTTTCAATGAGTAATTCCATCAAGGTGATAATTCTCAGCTCTTTTGTCTCGCGCCAAAAAAACGACAAAAATCGGAGAACAAGCCAAGAGCCTGCGAAGATTATGAAAATCGGTTCCACGTTCACATTTCTCATATTTTCCACGCGTTCTGGCGAGATTCTCGTATCAGTGTGGAGAGGCTTTTAGAAATAAAATTACGAATAGCAAAAAAAAAGAAAAAGCAAACCGCACGGGTATTATGTAAAAAACCTATAAAACGTCAACAAAAATCTATAAGATGTCAACTTGCAGACTAGTTTTTAGGGCTCAGTCATTCCACGTTTGCTCACTAGGATTATTGTGAACGTCCATCTATGGAGGAATTACTCAACCAAACTACGCATTATTGGTTGCATAGTTTTGTGAGGCTGAGTGATCCGGGTCTGTAGTTTTTCTCTCTGAGAACAAAGTTGGTTGAATAGCAAGATCGCATCTGGATGATTATGTGTATTGGTCTGCATGTGTACAAAATCGCTGATATTTATTGTGTGAGAAAATCAGTACTGAATATGTCGAATATGACGGATTATTTATATGTTGTGCTCTCTGAAGAGAGGTTATGTTCAAAGTTTCAAATTACGAAAAACTGAGAATTACGGCAAATCATCACCGCGCCCGCGTTGTGTGTAATTACTGTTATCATGTATATATGTATATGTATATATGTAATTCGACAGTGTACAGTGAATATAATTATTTCTTATCTCTTGCATTTTTGAAATTCAGCAAATTTGTATAAGTAATTTCCAGAATGGATAAGAAAAAGTGGATGCGCAACTAATTTCTAGCTTTTAATCTCAATTAAGTGTATCTGGGACAAGAACCCAATGTAATTATCATCAACACATACAACTTACAGCTTAGACCTCCAGTAATGCCATCTCAGAAGCAAATTTTACACCTCATCGGAGCCAAAGAGTGATAACAAGCCTCATGACGTTTAGGCAACACGTACAACTAAGTGCTAAGTTAGTAGGAGGGAAAATGGTGGAGCTGATTTTCTGTTTCGCTTATTTATTAGTACTGCAATTTCTACCGTTAGGGATGTCTGCGGTCCGAAGCAGCTGATCAAAACGTCAGCTTGACAAATATGTCAAAGATCATAACAAAAACAAGAATTTTTTTGTTGAAAAATGTCGTGTCAAATCCGTTTATCGGGAAATATACAGGATGTGAGCGAAATAAGACGGATTTTATTCCCTACTGACGATCATCGAGGTACCTCCCGTTCCAAAAATTGCTTTGTCAAATCTAGCTCTTTGTTTTGCAGGTTCTGACAGCTGGCTCCAGGTTTGCGAGGCCTCTGTGTCCCCCACAGGAGATCTGATTGTGATAGCTCACGAACGGAAGATTATAGTGTTGAGTGCAAAATGGAACCCACAGTTATCAGCGAACCACTATGTGATAACATACTCTGGTACAATTCATGACTATGATAAAGTGAAAGCAGTGCTTTGCCTGCCAGTTGTAGGCGAGAATCAACATAGTCAAATAGGTCCAGACTGGACTTGCATTGTAGTGGGTTATGACTCTGGATATGTGAGATTTTACACTGAAAATTGCGAATTACTGCTAGATGAACAATTTCATAGTGAAAATATAAAAAGTGTGAAATGTCAATCTCAGCATAGCCCTAGACCTGATATAAGCCCAGATTTGAGACTTGAAGAGATTTACATTCAGTATCAGAGCTGTGTTTGTATCCTCGGTGGATCTCAGATATTTCCACATCTGAGATCTGCAAGAAATGATGGTGTAAAAGGTAAGTTTGATATTCAGAACCATTGAGAACTATTTACAATGAACCTCAATGAAAAAGCATTTTTATATACATACTCAATCACTGGGAATTTAACACATTGAGTGTTGCATGAATGGTTTTACTTAAATGTCTGCCTCTGGAAGCTACATAATCCTGACTCTTCATGATTACCTATTTTGTTAACTGTTTGGTGGGATTCAGGAGGGATAAGTTGAATAGCTGAATTTTTAGGCCTCTGCATAGAAATAAGTTTGGGGCATGATCTTGGGAGCCCATTTGTTTCAAATCAGGGCAGAAGATGGAACAAATCAGGATTTAAGGTTGTAGATTGGGACAAACAAGGCTTTTTAAAACTAAGGTTTGATTTATTGTACCGGATGTTGCCAGAATTCTATAGTAGATACGCTCTACTCAGCATTGAATAAACTAGTAATAAAGCTTTCGTTCATCCAACCACAGATGACAACCATGTGCGAACAGAGACGACTTCAAATACCATTTACACAATATGTGACAGGGCAGTATTTCAGATAATGCCACGAAAGAACAGTTCGTAATTCCTTTTTGTACGTTGTCTTTGCTGTTTATGGCACATTAACTTTGTTATTTCAATCGTATTTGTTTCTGAAAGTCATAATGTTCCATTGCAGGTCCCCCTCTACCTCCATCATGCCTAAAAAAATGGTCAATTCACGACCAGTCCTTGGTGAACGATACAGCCGTTGTAGGCCTCTGCCCCACATCCTCCTTCGATCACTTGTTGACCGCCTCCACGTGCGGTGGTTTCGACGCCGTCTACCGAGCTGCCCCGCCTGCTGCTTCGTTGGTCATAGCCGCAGGCTCCAGGCCGTTTTTAGGGTGGCACTACGTATCGGAAGGAGCTGCGCAACCGGCGTTGGGGGATGTCGCTAAAGTAGTAGCTACGAGAATTAAGTCTGCCTTGCCGTTAGTTGAGTTTTGTTTTTCTATAGGTTGCGTTCAAAAAATGACAGCACTATAGTACTAAATATCATATCAGAGTTGGTGTCAAATGAAGATTAAAGATGTCAAATACGTCGAAAATGCAGAAGGGTAACTGTCATTGAGTGTTCAAAGGCGCCTAGACGCCGCAGATGTATCAGGCTTTGGCGAACTATTTGTAGGTAGCTGTTGCTACCGCTTTACGCACTCCATGCTGAGTTCTCTTAAATTGTTTACTCTCTGTTGTCTGTCTTCAAGACTATGTAAACCTATTCCGTAATCAAAGTATTATTATGCCAAGATAGAACACTGTGTTGAATATCTTTGATCCGATCGTCTTCATTGATCTTGAGTTTCTCCTTGATTACTGATTTACAACAAAAACAGCGATCTATGTGCGATCCGTCCTTGGTTTCACGATTTGCTGATAGATGGGTACGCATCCGTCAGAGAAGCGCCCTTGGATTGGTGATTCGTTCATAGATGGCTCGGCATCTACCGAGGCAATGTTGCCAAACTGACAGAAATGTTTAAAAACTGCTACATTTACGCTGAGCTGAATGAAATACAGTTCTTTTCACGGTTTTTGGCGATTACGTGACAGTATCATACGAAATAAGTAAGCAGATTGTCTGAACTCCACCACTTGCGGAGCTTAACTTCCAAATGAGAATTGAGGCGATAACATGGCTGCTCTTGCACACACATGACTTGTGAACATGAGACTGTTATTTCCATTTACTTTGGAAAATAATGAAAAGAACTTAACACAGATATTGCAAACGTATTTTTAGGCATTGCTATGTCTTAGGCCCGTATCGTCAGTCGTCCCTACAATTGTAGGGCGCGTTTATGGCCTCCTTGATTGTCATACTCCTTTCTCTCCTTCAAAAATTTCTAGATTACACTTGTCCCGTGTCAGCGTCAGCGCCCTCCAATTGTGAAGATATGTTTTCTTTTTAAATTGTAGGAAATTTCAGGCTGATGAAACATAACCACAAAATAGTGTTGTGACACGGAGAAGTAGAAAACTATGACAATCAAGGAGGCCATAAAGGCGCCCTACAATTGTAGGGACGACTGACGATACGGGCCTTACATAGAAAATCAACAAGTGGCAAATTCAAATCGCACGCCTATGGCAAGGAACTTGTCATACTGACAGTGACAAGCATAAAAGGTGGTGGTACAAAACTAATAAATGTATGTCTGTGAGATTACCCGAACGAACCTCCGCGCATAGAGGCATATTTTGATGTTTGATAATAATTCCTGTAGTTTTACCGTTTAAGTGTGACTCGCCAAGAAACCACATTCATTTACCAAAATATGATGTAGCAAATAAATGACTCAGCACTCATTTTAACGGTCGCATTTCCTATAAACTATGAATGCGAGATCTAATAAGTGATTAAGCTTTTAAGAATACTATTTATTAAAGTATCCATTGGTTAACTTGAAACATTATTTGGATGTTGACTATCTTTTGTGATTGCTCTGCTTAAATATTTTGTAGTTTTATAACGTACAGATTAAATGAAAAATATATGTCGTAGACAATTGAGTGATGAGTTACCCCATCATGAATAAGTATGCAAACAAAATTAAATTTGATCAAGAAGAGCTTAATTTTGAACTCATCCAATAAGGATTGTCTGTTTGGCAACACCGCATGTATCTCTGACAAAATCAACAAATTCGACTAGATTTGAAGGATCCAAGCTTATATGTTTACATTTTATTGTTTGCCACCAAAATAACATAATTCTAGTGCATACTTTTGACACATTTGACAACCAATGTCTAGAAAGTGACAGCCCTGTACCAACAGGATAATAATACTTACCAATGGGAACATCTACCCTCCTTAGGCTTGTGCCACGCTTTGTACGTTATGTAAGAACCACCACTTCCGATAGCCTTGAGCATACTTCGCATTCCGGCTGATTGACGGGTTTTCCTTTTAATGATGGTCGGCTCATTTAGGGACGTTCTGCATTTTCGGCGTAGCGCTTGATGTATCAAGGTTTAGCGGATCATTTGTAGATGGCAATTGCCACATCTTTGCGATTAAAAGCATTTCTGGATTGTATACAGGGTGTTTCATAATTAGAATTTCAATATGTCGTTTCGTCTCTTGTCGTCCAGTAACAACTTTATTATTTTTAAGGACGCCATATTGGATTTTTGCACAGGTAAATAGAGTTTTTAATTCTACGAGGGTGGTCCCAGAAGTACCTGCCCTGACCTAGAGATGGCGATAGTTGTTTGAAAAATATCATTGTATTAGAAAGTATGCAACCTATAAAGCATATGTAGCATCAGTAGTGGGGAATCTCTTTTGCGATGTTGATTCTATTTCAAAAATACCTAAAGCAGAATGTACATTTTGCTCAAAACGTCTTAGGAAAAACGGCACAAAAATTTCAAAGACTGTAAAAAATTGAGTGTGTTATTTTTACGATTTCAAGTTTTTTCATGTTTCTTTTTTCAAGATATCTAAAAAACGTTTTTTTCTAGTTATATCACTATTTTGAACTGACAACGTTTTGAGCTCTTCAATTAGAATTTACCTCTGCTTATTTATGATTATTATTAAATCAATCAAAAACTTTTGTATTGTGTGTTGAGGTTTCACCATACCTATTTATTTCCTTATAATTTTCATTCAAACAACAAATCATGGCCAACTAAGGAACTACATCAATTAATTTATGACTGAAAACCCCATTTGAATATTCAAAATTTCATATAAAAAAACAAAACGGAATTCGAAAGACGAAACCTCGAATTGAAAATTTGACTATGCCATATTGTATCCCATCCCAAATAAAGTCAGGAAAAAATAGATATGATTTTGCAATGAATCTGGCATATTAGACAAATGACTATCTGATTATTCCAAGGCCTTCCTAGGAAACTGTGTTTTTTAAATAACTAAGATTTCGCAGAGTCAGTGTATGACATTACAATACATTTTTAGAATTAGAATTCACCCGTGGTCCTTAAGAAAAAATAAAGTTGATGCTGGAGTACAAGATACAAAACGTCATATTGAAATTCTAATTATGCCATCATGTAGAGGAGAAAAGTGGCAATGTTAAAGTGCATTTTTTTGGAAACCCCATTACAAATAGAATTAGGAAAAAATTAAAACGATTTTGGGAAAATTCTCGGAAGTATGCACTTTAAATTTCGAAACTTTCTAAGCGGCATTTTATTAGTTACCTAACTACGCAACTGTCCTCCATTTAAGCGACTTCCTATCTTTCTTACCGTTTCCGAGAGCCCAATGGTGAGGCTCGAATTTTAAACATCCGGTATACCGTTTCGTTTTACACAGCGGCTGGCTCACAGGAACTATCGCCCAGCCCGAAAAAAAGATGTCGCTTTCGACGCACCCTGCAGACGCTATGGGGTGCCGATTCGGACTCTGTGACCTCCGACGAACAGCTACAGACGTAATACTCTCACCAGATAAGATGTTTGCTGCCGCATGTGATACTTTAGGAAGGGTTCTTCTGGTAGACTCGATAAGAGGGGTAGTTGTTAAGATATTCAAAGGATACAGGTATAGTATTTGCGTAAAGCTATTTTTCTTCCTCAATACAAACGTAGTCGAGATTAGACACGGTTTTGTACGTTTCATGATACTGACAACTAAAGTTAATTAAACAGTTTGTGATTGCTTGACAGACATTACTAATAGTTCAATAATGGAGGCAATTTTTGAAACCTAATTATAAATAGCATCGCGCAGACATGGGGTCATTTTCAGCATTTGTTTCAGGTATATTTTGGCACAGAATACATTTTTGAACTGTTATGTCAAAATAATCCGAATAGATATTCATTTGTTCGGGAGTAACACAGGGTTCAACCTTGGGACCATTTCTCTGTTTGCTTTTTATTAACGATACCACTGGCAATATTGATTGTGGAACTTTGATCTTTGCCGATGACTTACAATTGTACTTTGAAATCAACAGCATTACTTATTGTCTGAGTATCTGCAGTGTCATCTATCAAATTCGGAAAATTGTTGCTTGTTGAATAAACTACATCTGAATATTTCTAAATGTAATGTGATAACGTTATATCGATAACAACAAAAAGTTATTTATCCTTATTACCTTGGAGGAAAAATATCACGGCATCAAACTGTTTGTGACTTAGAAGGATGAGTTTTAACTGTCAAATTTCTGAAATTGTCAATAATGCCAATAGATCTCTAGGTTTTATTCTTGGAAACTATTAAAGATTTTTCTGCATAAAGGCATTATATTTCGTGTACATACGTTCCAAATTGAAATATGCGTCGCTAATTTGGAGTCTTTATTACAACTGCTATATTAATCAAATTGAGCATGATCAAAAAAGACCAGTGTTCGTGGTTTATTGGAATATATTTTTGACTTTAGATAACCCCGAATGCGTCGATCAAGGCCTCTCCCCCACTTCCTCGCGTACGAGGGATGCCTTTTAAGTTTTGCATATGGAAATAAAGCAACACGGTAGGTCGTTTTAAATAACTTTATTGTTTTTCGAAGTATTTCCCGTGAAGATTAATATACATCTGCATGCGCTCGAACCAATTTCCATAGCATTTATTCCACTCGTTTGCTGGTAGATCGCATTTTTGAATGCGTCAACTGCTTCTTCTGGTGACTGGAACCTTTGACCACGCAGTCTGTTTTTAATTTTTTATTTTATTTATTTATTTAGCAACATCCAACAGCCATAGCCAATTAGAGGATGGATAAACATGAAAATATAAAGAAATGCATGTTGTGGATGCATGTAGAGAAAGCTAAAACGCTGCAAAAAAACCTCAAAACAGAACTGGGAGGAAAAAAGCATTCTAGCTTTACCTACCCAGCACTCAACAATCACACCGGCAAGCATTAACGAAAATAAGCATTAATGTCTCCCAAAGTCGCACAAAACGAAAATATATCTAAAACGCTATTAACTAAATTATAATCACGGCACATTATATATATAGGGGAAAACTTAAGTATGTCAGTCCTAGGCCTGGCTAAGTAAAAAGTTAAACTAGTTCGTGACGCTAATCTAGGAATTAAGAAGTTAAGTTGTTCTAAGATGACACTGGAGTCAATAATGCCGTGGATGAGCTTGTGAATGAACTTTTGCGTCTGCTCTCTAAATCATAGATTTTGTGTCTCGCTATCAACTCACTATGAGGAAAGCCAATAGCGGGATATATCCCGTCAGCTTTGTATGAGAGGTATTTTAAAAACTTTCTTTGAACGGACTCTAAGCGGTCGATATATATTTGATGATGAGGAAACCATACCAGGGACGCATACTCAAGCTTAGATCTTACATAAGCATAGTACAGTATTTTCAGTGTAAAGGAGTTGTGGAAATCACCGGTATTTCTTACAATAAAACCATACGCCTTTGATGCAGCCACAACAGCATTTTCAATGTGATAGGAGAAGGAAAGTTTTCTGTCAAATGTGACTCCCAAGTCATTAATTGTACTAGGTCTGTCAAGTTTCCTGTCACCAATACTATATTCATACATCATTACCTCTGTTTTTAAAGTAAACGACAAAACGTGACACTTAGCAGCATTCAAAACAAGTCTGTTTTCACGACACCAGTTGTCAACCCTTACAATGTTGCGTTGCAAGCGATGACAATCGTCAATGTTGGAGACTCTACAGAAAAGTTTCGTATCGTCAGCATATATAAGAAAATCGACATCGATAACTTCAGAAATATCATTTATGAACATAATAAATAACAGAGGTCCCAAATTAGATCCTTGAGGAACACCGAACATTACAGGGTATTCGCTTGACTTATGTCCATTGCACATAACATATTGTTTCCTATGACATAAATAAGTTCTGAAAAATAGCAACAATGCATCTAAAAGACCAAATCTAGATAACTTATTGAGGAGAATGTTATGGTCTAAACTATCAAACGCTTTAGAGAAATCAGTATATATTACATCCGTTTGAAGTTGTCTATCGATTGATTCACAAACATATTGAGTAAGATGTAGCAAGTTAGTAACTGTGGACCTGCCCTTCATGAAACCGTGTTGACTGACGGAGATAGACCTGCTTACATGAAAATATAGCACAGTTTGTATCACTATTTCGAATGTTTTAGCGAAATTGCTGATAATTGTGATAGCCCGATAGTTTTCTACATAATTCCTCTCACCTTTTTTAAAAACAGGAGTTACCCTAGACAACTTCCAAATAGATGGAAAGTGATTATTTTTCAGAGAGAGATTGAAAATGATCATGAGTGGATATGCTAAAATGGACGCACAATCTCTCACAAAAAATGCACGTATTTGATCAGGCCCTGCAGTCATTTTTGGCTTAATTTTCTTGAGCGCCTGTAGCACATCGATTTCCTGTACACTAGGCATAGCTAGTGTGGTAGTGAAATGGTAGTCAGTAGAAAAATTAGATTGAACTGTTGGAGTATTATAGCTCCCACTAAAGTGTTCCGCAAATGCGCCAACAACATCATTAGGTGTATTCAATCCCAGCCCATTGTACAGCATATCCTTCGGAATACCAGTGCAGGTTCTTTTTCTATTAACAAAAGACCAGAATTTGCCGGAGCTGTTGGATATTTCACACTCTAAAGAGTGAATGTAGCGACGATATGAAACAGCTACATGTTGCTTTATCTCTGAGCGAAGTCTTATAAATTTTTCTATATAATAAGTATCACCAGTGCGTCTGAAAGTCTTGAATGCCACCATTTTTTGTTTGAGGGTTCTAATGATATGGCTGTTGTACCAAGTAGGATACCTATTATTATAAGATATTCTAACTTTAGGAACACAACAATCAAGAATTCTATAGATCTCAAAATAGAAATATTCATTCATTAATTTTCGGGAAAGTAAAGAAATTTTTCGTTTTCTTCCGTTAAATACTGCCTTGTTTTTTGGGCTGTGAGTCTTGGTGGAGGATGATTCTTCTTTCGGGGTTGAGTTTTCGAAGCTCGGTGATGACTTTTGGCAAACAAATGGTGGTATACCAATCCGCAGTAACAGTTCTTTGCTCATTGAGAGGAATTGTTGCAATATGAGCCGCTTTTGACACAAATGTCGCGACCATCTTATTCGAAACACTTCGAGAACGGATGACTTTTGTTGGCTTTTCTTCACCTTGGGATACCCAAACAGCCGACTGTCGTTTATTTTCTGGTTCATAACAGTAAATCCACGATTCATCACCACTAACAATAGTGTACACATTTTTTGAGTTTCCGGAATTGAAACGGTCAAGCGTTTTTTGACACCAATTAACCCTGGCTGCTTTCTGCTCTTTAGTCAACAGGTGGGGTATCCAGCGAGAAACTATTTTTCATACTCCTAATTCTTCATGTAAAATTTTTTGAATTGAGGTCTTTGAGATCCTCAAGGACGCCTCAATCTCGCGATATGTCACATGTCTATCTTCAATGATGAGTTTGCGCACAGTATCGACGTTTTCCTGGGTGACTGCCATTTCTGGTGCCCCCACCCTGGAATCGTCGCTAAGATTCACCCGTCCACGTTTGAATTCTCCATACCAACGGGAAATTGATGACTGATGTGGCGCTTCGTTGCCGAAAACATACAAAAACTCAGCAAGGCATTCTTGTTGCGATAATTGTCTCTGAAAGTTGTAATAAATTATGGCGCGAAAATGTTCTCGGTTGAGTTCCATTTTTCTAATGACTTGGTGACACTTAAAAATTCACTGTAGTGAAAACACTGCACGTATTGTTGTGAAACTTTGAATTTAAGTTTACTAAAGAGTGAGGTTAGGATTCAGTACTGACGTTCGATCCGTGCGGCCTACTATGTTTCTATATGCAAAACTTAAAAGACGATTGCCGCGTAATTCAAATCCCACTGGACGTATTATGTTGGGCAATAAATGCTATTGTTATTATTTGTTTCAGAGATGCGCAATGTTCTTTCATCCAAGTACCTGACGAGAAAAAATCTAAGCATAGGCACGGTAACAAAGTAGCTCATTTTCTGTTAATCTACTCCCCTAAAAAAGGAACCCTGGAAATATTTTCATTGCTACAAGGCTCGAAAATCTGTACTTTCACAGCATCAAAATTCAGCAGATTATTCAACATAAACTATGGTCTCATGGGATTTAACTCGACTACTTCTAAGAGCCGATATGTATGTCAGTGGACCAGTGTTTTCATAGATAACGATGGTCAGATCAAAGAAATAATGGTTCCGTACCATTTTGCTTTGGCAGAGAAAAATAATAAGCGATCGAGGGATATCCATCTTTACAAGAAACTACGACATTACATTAAATCGGGTGATTACAATGAAGAAACTTTACTGAAAGAATCCTATGATATTTGTACAGAGTTGAAGACGCTTGAAATCAAGTCTCAAATAGTTGACATGCTGATTAGTAATAGAAACATTCCTGCAAACGTTATACTGAAATGCGCAAAGTACTTTGTAGAAAATGCGGCTGATGATGAAGGAATTAACTTTAGAATCTTGTGTGATAACATTAGTCATTTATTAGAGTTATACCTATTTGTAGCAAACAAACAAAACGGCGATAACGATGAAACTGAAAACTCGTCGTTGAAGTTAGACGAGAAAGATATGACTAACCTGCAGAAATTATTAGATTTAAGTATCGATAGTGATAGTAAAGAACTACCTGAAGTCCATGTTAGATTCAGTGATAAAAACTTGGCATTTAGCACGTCAGAATTCTTATCAGGATTCGACTTTACTAATGTTGAATTAGTGACGCTTAAAGATAAAGTAGATGATGGCATTTTATTTAAAACTTCCGAGGTGCTTCTGAAACCGTACATCACAGGAGAATTATCAAGCTTCGCGCAACTGGAAAGCCTGTTGATCAAAGCAAAAATTGATACGAAGAACTTGTTCTGCATGCTCGTCAATTATTGGGTCAATCGATCTTTGCATATAAATTTGAATCTTGAAAAGGAGATGAACAACTTCCTGCATTTATGCTACACCTTACTCAGAACTGCATCGAAAGAAGATACAGTATGTAACTATAATCAAGTCTCGACATTTTGGTCAAAGATACGCGAGACCCTTGCGAACTCTTCAAGGCCCTTTCCGGCTTTGATGGCCGCAATTTTGTGCAAAACTGCTGCCCACAAGGTCAATATCGAAAAACAAATGGAAGATTCATCCATCAGTTTGGAAGAAGAGAGTATGGAGGTGTTATCTCAGGAAAGCGTGCTTTGGTCTCTTTTGATAGGCAAACTGGAGGATATTTCGCTTTTGAACATCATCATGTCAACTAAGGCTTTAGCTAAGGATGCCGCGTTGCCAAAGTTGCAACACGATAAAATTGATGTCAGTTTGAAGTATATTCTAGAAAAGGGTAGAGGCGCGGTTAGTGAGATCGTAGCTCGGTGGTTGAGCTCAAGCGGGATTGATCCGCAACTGATAGTATTGAACGAGATGACGGAGAAAGAAGAAGAAAACATTGAAAGCGAGAAGATTCTGGATCAGTTGAATTTGTTGAAGGAACAGTTTCCTTATAGTTTAAACTCTAGTGCGCTCTTGGCGAATTTGGCTTGGGAATACGCGCTTGATTGGCAAAAGGAGATCCAAGACTTTAGCAAATTGGAGGCTGCGATGAAATGTTTGGGATGTATTCAGAATGTGCAGGTCAAGCAAGGTAAGATGGTTTGACTTATAAATTTTACATTCTCATGCAACATCCAAACACAAAACATGGCGGGCACACGTTTTTCAAGGTATGCACAAAGGTATTTTACAGCCCCATAGAGGGTCCACGCTTCTAGTTAAAAGTGCGCACATAGCTATGAAGTTCATCTCTCATATGTCAAACTGGTAATGTGTGAAATATTGGAACACTATCTTCCAAGACAGTTTAACGCGTCAAGACGTGCTGAAAAAAGGGATGGACACAAATCTCATACAATATCTAGATTGATATAACAGCAATTGAATAAGCATTTGAAGCATCCCACAAACCGGCGCGAAATAATCGCGGCGAAGTATTCGCAACGAAATTCAGAGCGAAATTCGCAATCTGTTTCGCCTGTTTATTCATACCAAAGCGTCTTATTCGCTCCGCGAACGTGAAGGTTTCGACAGGTTGCGTACGTTTTATTTTTGCCTTTTGCAATGAGCTCGTCTTCAGAAGAAGAGGAGGCACTTCTATTTCTTGCTTTAGAAGAGGAACAAAATGCACGGTAAGTTATGTTTATTTAACGCCATTTGATAGTTGGTATGTATTAAGTTTAACGAAGTACATAAAACAAATATTTTCAATTTTGTTTATTCATACCAAAGCGTCTTATTCGCTCCGCGAACGTGAAGGTTTCGACAGGTTGCGTACGTTTTATTTTTGCCTTTTGCAATGAGCTCGTCTTCAGAAGAAGAGGAGGCACTTCTATTTCTTGCTTTAGAAGAGGAACAAAATGCACGGTAAGTTATGTTTATTTAACGCCATTTGATAGTTGGTATGTATTAAGTTTAACGAAGTACATAAAACAAATATTTTCAATTTTGTTTATTCATACCAAAGCGTCTTATTCGCTCCGCGAACGTGAAGGTTTCGACAGGTTGCGTACGTTTTATTTTTGCCTTTTGCAATGAGCTCGTCTTCAGAAGAAGAGGAGGCACTTCTATTTCTTGCTTTAGAAGAGGAACAAAATGCACGGTAAGTTATGTTTATTTAACGCCATTTGATAGTTGGTATGTATTAAGTTTAACGAAGTACATAAAACAAATATTTTCAATTTTGTTTAGGAAACGAAGAAAGTGGGTACATGATATTAACTTGGAACGAAATAAATTTGGGGAATACCATACCTTGATGCCACAACTTCGGCTGGATGAACAGCGCTTTTACGTATATTTTAGAATGACTCCAGAGTGTTTCGATGAAATATTCAACTTGGTGAAAGATGAAATACGAAAATCTGACACAAATTATCGTGAAGCTATTTCGCCAGAAGAACGACTTGCTATTACACTCGGGTAAAAAAATTATATGTATTAAAATTAGTAGGCTTATCGAATACGAAAACTTCAGGGATCGTGAAATAAATATTTTATTGTAATAATTGGACTACATGTTGCCACTAGGATTAAATGTTGCTAAATAATTCGAGGCAGAATTTGCCTCCTCTGTTGGGTATATTATTGGTGTGTATAGTTACGCTTGGGAAGGACGACATACTACTATCATACATACTTGCAGAATTCTGGGTAGACGCTGAAGACATTTCTTCAATATGTTCAAATTCTTCGTGCGCTATTAATTCGGCTATTTTTAGTTTTATTCGGGCTTGACGCTTTAAGGGAAGTGTTTTCACAGTCTGTGCATGTGCCAAGAAAAGTAAATCAATGGCCTCGTTCTCTTTTTTAGGTTTTTTACCTTCAAAATAATTAATGAGCTGTTGTACAGACGAAGATTTTTGTTCATAGCGTTTTCTGCTCGTTTTATATTTTGGTGTAGTTGCAGTCTGCGGAAAGGTGTGCCCTGGAGTAGTCACTGCTGTAGTGTTCAATGAAGAAGGTGGTGCTGTCTGTGTTGCCGAGGCGTTCTGTACATCTTCTGCATCTACATCAGCATTTTCATCTTCTCCATGGCCGCGGTCTTCCAAATTTTCGGTTTCTACATTTCCAGCACTTTCCTGATGTATATTTGAGTTAAATTCGGCAGTCTCATAATGTATGACGTCAATATCTTTCACATTAGACGACGTTTTGGCAAATGCCAAAAAAGGACGGAAAAATTCCATGTAGTCAGCCCACTGCCATTTTTTATGTTGCCCACTGCTTGGCCGGTCTTTGGTTTGGTCGATTTTATATATTTTGCGAATGTGTCTCTGGTATTCTTCCACCTTTTTTTTACTTCATCACCTAAAAACGATTTTTTTATAGATTCCTTGCCACTGGTGACACCTTCTATACCATTGGGCATAGCTTTCGAGTTGGCTTTACAACAGTGAGTGCAATCGTAACCGAAGTCTGTGAAGCGATATGCAGACATATGGAGCATATATATTTACCAGAACAAACAGAGAATATATGGAAAAAATGTGCTGAAGAATTTGAAAATAGATGGGGATTTCCCAATTGCATTGGCAGCGTGGACGGTAAACATGTAACAATCAAGAGACCTAACAACAGTGGCTCCAATTACTGGTGCTATTTACATAAGTATTCAATAGTACTTATGGCCATTGTTGGCCCGGACTATAAATTTATATGTGTTGATATTGGAGGTTTCGGAAAAAATAGTGATGGGGGTATTTTCGAAACCTCAAACATGGGAAAACGATTTGAACAAAATTTAATGAGTGTCCCTGCACCTAGATTTCTCCCTGGGCAAAATGAAATCTGCTCGTACGTCTTAATTGGTGATGAAGCATTTGCTTTAAAACCATACCTTATCAGACCATTTCCTTATAAGCAGACTTTAACAGACGTCAGAAAAGAGAAATACAATGTAAGACTTTGTCGAGCTAGAAGGGTCGTGGAAAATGCGTTTGGTATTTTGTCTCAAAAATGGCGAATATTTTACAGGCCATTAGAAACTAAAGTAGATTCTACTACTCTAATTGTACGTACGGCATGTGTTTTACACAATTTTTTACGAAGTAAAAGTGGCGATGACAAATATTTTCAATTCTTAGATCACCCAGAACCCGTGCTTGGAGCTTTTACTGATATAGCAAATGATCCTCGGCGGGCAGCAAGGCTAGCATTTTCTACTCGTGACAAATTCGTAAATTATTTTAATTCTGATATGCCTATGCCCAATATATAGAATGTTCGTTTTCACATTTGTGTAGACTGTAAATTATTTAACAAGTTAATAAAAAATATTAGGTACATACCTTTTGTATTTAATTCTTTTCCTATTTCCATCCAAATCTTGTCTTTCTTTCTCACATTCCTGTATTCATCGTTCGACAAATCATACAAACAAGGATACTTTTTCACTATTTCTATCAATAATTCCGTTTTTGCCATTGCGAATTTTTGAAGAACGGCGTCAAAAACGCGGTCAAAGGCGAACTGAAATACGCCGCGATAAAAACGCTGGAACAATCGCATTCGCTTCGCACAAGTCTGAGCCTGTCCGTAAACCGCCGCGTTTTAATCTGATCGCGAATTCATCGCCGCGAAATTTTCGCAGCCAAAGCGAATATTTCGCGCCGGTTTGTGGGATGCTTTATAGAAAATAAAATTCTGCTTGATAATTTCTGTGAAGGCATAAATAAATAATAAATAAAATTACAGAATGCTTATTCTTTAACGGACATCGATTAAATATTTAATTTACTTGACTGCCGTGCGAAGAACCCTAATTCTTAAGCCGAACCTGTTAACAGGGAGCGCTCACGCCCTCTACTGGGCAGTAGGACGACTTCTTCTGGCCTTGCCAACGTCACAGAGACGCGGCGTGGTCGCATAGTCGTCCTACCGTCCAGTAGAGTGCGCGACATCTTCGTGTTAAGAGGCTTGAGGAATAGGGTTTTTGCGACGGTAAAGGAAATTGATTATTTGTTTTACTAATTCTCAGAATTGTCGTTCTGTCAGTCTATCGACGTAGCAGGTTTGATCCATGGACTAAAAATTAATAACCAAAAAACGTTCGGACAGATGAATGTAAGCTTATATCCAAAAAAAGTTCACCAGAAAAACTATTTAGCGATGTGTTTCTTTTGAGAAAATGTACATTTTGCGTTTTGAGATACCCTGTCTAAATAGAAAGACATTACAGCAGATCAGCTTAAAGTCGATGATAATAAAATTCTCGTGGATAAAGATTTTATCTAAATACAGGGTGTAAACGTTATGGTAGTCATTATTGAAACGGGTAATAGGGGGGGGGGTCAAAGCAAGTCAAAAAGTTCATATGACCCATGGTCCAAAAGTCAATAGATTTTTTTCTAAATGGCTTTATAGTTTACAACTTTAAGTGCTTTATATCGACCGCAATCACCACAATCTTACTAATTTTTTAATCTAATCTAAAACGTTTTTAAATAGGGTAATTAACAGATAAATGGCATTAAGTTTTTATAAGTTAAGCCAAAATGTGTCGTCAGTAAGTTTCATTAAAGTAAATGTTTAAAACACACATAACAACAGCGCGTCGGTCTTTCATCACTCTTATCGAACCGGCAAACGGTTGGTTATCGTTTTGCATAGATAAATTACTTTATCGTTTTGTCGAGTAGATCATCGGGCGTGTTGTTTTGTTTTTGTTCGCGTACGTCGTCGTGTTTATTTACAATGTTCTCGAATCAAGAGTTCGCCGACATGTTGTTAGTTTACGGTGAAGCTCGTCAGAATTCAAATCTTGCAGCCAACGGGTACACCCAGACAGAAGGACATTTGTGCCATTGTACCAAAGACTTCGAGATACAGGAAGTGTTCAGCCCACTAATATTCGCACTCGTGAAAGACAGGTTACTGTAGAGCAGGAGGAACAAATTTTAATTATCGTGGAAATCAACGCATATATCAGAACTCGGGAATTAGGTCGCCGCGTAGGACTATCGCATGCCATAGTCCAGAGAATCCTAGGGGAAAATTTGCTTTATCCCTACCATGTACAACGAGTGCAGGCCTTGTTAACAGAAGACGATCCTCGCAGACTAACATTCTGTCAGTGGTTTTTGCACAAAAATATTGAAAATCCGGATTTTTTTAAAAACACTAGTAACGGACGAATGTACTTTTACGCAAGACAGGATATTAAATTTGCATAATACTCACACGAGGGCCCAAGAAAATCCTCATACCATTCGTGAAGGTCATTTCCAACAACGTTTTAAAATAAATATTTGGGCGGGTATTCTTGACGATCAGGAAACTGGCCCTTTCGAGTTACCCCCAAAGTTGTCAGGAGAAGGTTACCTTAGCTTTCTAGCCAATAACCTACCAGAACTTTTGGAACAGACCATAGACAACATGCCACTACAACGGAGACAGAATTTGTGGTTTCTTCATGACGGGGCACCACCACACATTTTTAGAGGCATCATTCAGTATTTGAGTGAACATTATCCAAAAATGGCCAGCAAGATCTCCTGACCTCAATCTGATGGATTTCTGGTATTGTGGATAACTTAAAGGGATGGTTTATGGAGCTGGTCCAATAACAACTGAAGGACAACTTCGCGAAAAAAATTTTAATGCGGTTGAAATAATAAATGGACAACTTCGAGGATCTAGAGTAAGAAGAAACTGATGACTATCTTAACGTTTACACCCTTTATACTAAGTGACATAAAATGCAACACCCAAAATTATTTATTGAATTTTGAAAAAAACATAAACATATTCGCTATCATGGTATTACGCTGATAAAATGTTGAAGACCCTCCGAGCCGTACTTTTTTGAAAAGGCTTTTTTTGTCATATCAGGATCCGAACAATATGAACAGGTTTACTTAATATTCTGTGATATTTCTGTGCTGGTTCCATTTGTTCATTTTAATCAGCTTCTATTTATCAGTAGACCTAAAACTTGTATGTTAAAAATGTCATCACTCCTAGTCGGTGTTGCATTTTCTATGCCATTTAGATATATAAACAATTGACAATGGAAACCATATGTTATACGGTATCAAACTTCTTGTTCTTAGAAGCTCTATTCAAATAAGCAGTAAAAGATAGGCTGTTCTTTTTAAAAAAATATATGTTCACTATAGCACAAAGTTATGGAACACGAAATATATAGTCAAAATTATGAAATATGACTATTACATCATACCATAAATTATACTGAAGTAATCAATGGACGTACGTCGATGATAAAATCACCATGTCAGGAACATAATGACAACAAATTTGTTATGATTTTGCGAAGTTAGGTTATTTCACTGATTATTTTTATTTTCATTTTATTTCATGGTTTTGAGTGATACTGTAATAATAATGTTAGTGGGGAGTATTATTCGAAAACAACCTAACCTGCTTTAACATAACCTAACTATTCATCTTTCAAATATGATCGATCGTGCAACATGAAAACATCGTCTATCTTTGTCGGATACATGCAAATTAGCAATACAGTTTGTTTGAACAATAAAATTATGTTTGTCTCTGTCTAACATATCTGAAACTTCATTAAAAATATTCACAAATCGGAAATCTCTGTCGTTTGTCTTTACTACAGACTAAAATGATGACGCAATCGTCATTTTTCGTGATTCCGACTATATATTAAAATAATTTTTAAATATACAGTAGTAGTAACATATCAAGGTTGCCACGAAAACACATTTTTGATATCTTTTCCAGTCTGCTCATAAATTCTTTTCATTTTCGTTGTATAAATAAATGGCTTTTTTCAGGCATGTACCAACTTCTCTGGAACACCCATCTAAAAATAGTGAACGAAAGTACCTGCAAGCTGATCAACAAAGTGGGCAAACTCCCAAAGGAACGCTTATGTAGACAAGACACCGGCTTGTCCGATGCTCAAATCACAATTTTCCTCGGCATAACCTCAGATTTTTTGGACGCGTTCATGGACGTAACCCAGACCGCTTGCAGCCCCCACCCCTTACAATTCGAGAACATTTGGGAAAACGGCGGACAACCATTGGTCGAGTTGGCCGCGCAGCAAAAACAGGCCAACTACGATTTGTTGCACTTGCACTATCAGTTGAGCATGGTGTTACAGATGATCACCACGTTCGGCGTCAAGCATAGCAAACCAGTCAATAATCTGTTTGAAGCCTCGGTAGTTAATGTTTTGTTCACGGATTTCGCTAGGAACGTTGAGGTGAGTTGATAAATCTAGGACCATGTTTTCATGTCTTTGTTTAGCCGTTATTAAAAATATAGAATCTGACTATAGAAACCAACACATTCCCTGATACTTGGAAACTTTCTAGAGCGACACCTATTTTCAAATCAGGGAATAATACTGATTAAAAACTATAGAGCGGTGGCAATACAGGGTGTCCGCAAAGTTGGGGTTTTCCTTTACACAACGTGTAGATCTTGAAAACATAAGCAATTTTTCTTAGTACCATATACACCAATGTCTTAAGGGAACCGAGATAAAGGGCTCTGCAACATCAAAAATATCTGAATACCGTCCTGTAGCCGCGACTCGCGACATCCCCGAGTGGTACTAGGACACTAGCTCAACCCGACGACAGAACTGGGTCGGGGTCAGTGTGTCAGGTCAGTATGCAACCTTCAACCGACGGTTACGATCACGCGTGTAGAGGTAAACGAACACGTATAATCGACTGCGTTTCAAAAAACAACAAGCACTAGAGACGTGGCTAGAGAAGTGCAAGTATCAAAAACTAAAGTGTGGCAAACGCTGAGTGAAGAGGGGCTGTATCCGTTTCACGTCCAACGTGTACAAGCCCTTCAACCTGACGATTTTCCAGCAAGAGTGCGGTTTTGTGAGTGTTTGTTGCATCAACATGACAATAATGCGGACTTTTTGAAGTGCATATTGGTGACAGACGAATCTACGTTCACGCGTAATGGGGTGAATAACTTTCGCAAAACTCATGTTTGGTCAGTAGAAAATCCGCACGCTGTCCGTCGGGCACATTTTCAACAAACATTTTCGGTGAATGTTTGGGCTGGCATGGTGAACGGTATGCTCATTGGACCATTTATTCTCCCAAATCGATTGAACGGGGTGCAATACCTAGACTTTTTACGCAAAATTTTGCCTTCCTTGTTAGAAGATGTGCCATAAAGTGTAAGACAATCAATGTGGTTTCTGCGTCTGCTCGGTAGCGCATCAGCTGATTTCATTTTCTGTTGGAGCGGTATGATTTCGGGCAGAGACGTACTTAGCCCTTCTCGTCATCTGGAGAGTGAGTACTTTTTCCTTTATTTTTTTTTTACTTGGTCGCCCTCGTTTCACTACACATTACCTTTGTTATTTCAAGGGTAGTTGTTTCTGAAAAAATTTACGTAGAGCGTCAAATAAACAAGCAATTATGTGGTATGTGATTTTAAAGCCAATGGTGTGCAATCATCAAAATAACATTCGTCTACTCTCAACGCGAATGACTTAAACTCTTTCTTCGTTAGCATTGCTGAAACCATTATTGCTGAAATTCCAGCTACCCAGTCGAACTTCAAAGATTTTATACAGACTAGTGATACACTACATTTCAACTTTCGAACTGTTTCATCCAATGATCTTCGAGACGTAATCATAACCTTAAAGAATTCTAAAAGTAAAGATCCTTATGACATCGACGTTAAAATTATGAAGACCTTAAATAACTTGATAGTATATCCTATAACAAAATTGATGAACATGTGTATAGAAAATAATGTCTTTCCTGCCTTATTAAAACTTGCAAAGATTCTGCCACTCTTCAAGAAAGGATGTGAGAATGATCCATGTAATTTCAGACCCATTTCTATAATACCAATTATAGCAAAAATTTTCGAAAAACTTCTGGAGAATCAGATATGTGAATACTTCGAAGGTAACAATTTATTCTGTTTGGGCTGGCATGGTGAACGGTATGCTCATTGGACCATTTACTCTCCCAAATCGATTGCACTGGATGCAATACCTAGACTTTTTACGCAACATTTTGCCTTCCTTGTTAGAAGATGTGCCATTAAGTGTAAGACAATCAATGTGGTTTCTGCACGATGGTCATATTTGTTACATCTGTTCGTGGTCTGCACCACCGCCGGCGTCTGCTCGGTAGCGCATCAGCTGATTTCATTTTCTGTTGGAGCGGTATGATTTCGGGCAGAGACGTACTTAGCCCTTCTCGTCAACTGGAGAGTGAGTACTTTTTCCTTTATTTTTTTTACTTGGTCGCCCTCGTTTCCCTACACATTACCTTTGTTATTTCAAGGGTAGTTGTTTCTGAAAAGGAAAACCCCAACTTTGCGGACACCCTGTATTGTCGAATTTCTCCAAATTGCTGGAGATAATATTGCATAATAGAATTTACTCCGCAGTTCATAGATCTCTGTCCCCTTTTCAGCATGGTTTTCTTACTAAGAGATCCGCAGTAACTAATTTAACAATCTTTACTCAGTTCGCTATGCAATGTGTCGATCGGCAAGGTGAACGAGATCTAGTAAATACTTTTGAATAAACTTTTTATTATGGATTCCATTCATCAGCTTTAGCACTCATTCAAGGTTGTCTTCATGAAAGGAAGCAATAGGTATATTCTTTAATTCACCGGTGGATTCCATCACTGATGGATCCGGTGAACTCCGGTTAATAAAAAGACGCATTTTTAGCCTTCAGGTTGCTGTCATATGAGAAAACCTAACCTTTGTTTTATCGTAAATGGATACTTGTTAATTTGAACACCGTATCATTTAAAATCATTATGTAAATGTACGCAGCAGTTGGTATTGTCGTGGGACGTTTGTTAAGCGATTCGAGTGATGATTCGGATGAAGACGTTATCCAGCGGAGAGAATATGCGCTCCGAGAATCAATATAAGAACTATAAATCGGAAAACCAAGAAATTATCAGATATCCACGATCTCAAATCACTATACGAGGCGTTGATTTGAGATCGTCGATGCTTCCCGAATAAGAACCATCGATATGGATTTTCTGAGAGCATTCCTGTATTCATCCATGAATAAAAACAGAACAAAATCAGAAAATCGACATTTTCGGATTTACGAGGTATTGATTTGAAATCGTCGATATGCATAATTCAAAACAAATTGACTTGCTTTTAGATGCTCTGTTTATTTCAAATTGTGTTGAAAAAAAGCATTAAATTTCACGCGACTCCTATGCTGCTAACGTCGATCTTTTCTTCTTCCATTTTTTCACACAAAACTGTAGTTGTCAAAAACTGATAAAACGTAGAGGTTAGAATATCGTGGATCAACCGAGCCCGAACGTCGGTGGATGCTGTTGGCACCGGTGGCATATCCACCATCAATATAGAGACAAGTTTGATGTACAACCGGTCGTTCTAGCGGAAATTAAAGGACGCAAACTTGGCTAACCTGTTGCACCGGTAGCTGAACCGGTGAATTAAAGAATATACCTTTTAATGGATTCAAGTCGTACCAGTATATAACTAAATCGGGAGTGCCTCAGGGTTCAAATCTTGGTCCTTTATTGTTTACCTTATTTATTGATGATGTTGTGCATTATTTAATTTGTAATAAGCTCCTCTTTGATATTGATTCTCTAGTGCCTTGGTGTGACGAGAACTTGTTTGTTTTTTTCTTCAGATGAAATCACCTGCTTTTTATGTGTTTTCTGTTCTTGTCATTTTGATTTATCTTAGGATTGTCCTGTAAGTGGTTTCCTTAACTGTTGGGCAATAAACGCTATTTATTATTAATACGAATTCAAAGACCGCTTGCTTAGAAATTGCTGATCCTCAATATTTATTGTATCCGTCCCAGGAAAAAATTTCTTAAGTGGAAAGAGACATTCAGAAAGTTTTCCGTTGTTCAGAATGCGGGAACACTCGAGACCTTTTGGTGAAGTAAACGTGAGGAGACATTCCAAAAAGTACAGGGTGGCCAATATATAACTGACTGATTTAAATTGCCCGCCATTTTCGATACACGCATTGCAGTAGGTGGCGCCGTAGTAGTTGTTTAAAGCATAATTTCTCGATTTGGTGATGTCAACTGGCCGCCAAGGTCACCGGATTCAACTGCTTTTCATGGGGATTTTTGAAAACTAGGGCCAACAAACCAAATACTGTAGCAGCTGAAAAACAATATTACGGAAGCGATTGAAAATATTCCTCCGGAAATCTTCAAAAAAGTGATGGTAAATGTAATCAAGATGGCTCAGGTTTGCGTCGCTTCCAGAGGAGGACATTTGTCTGATATTATTTTTCATACATAATTTCTAAGTTTCAGTAAAAGATTAAGATGAATGGATGTACTTTATTTTATTTCACGAATATTCAAGATACAAACCGGTCAGTTACATATTGGCCCTGTATTATGGCAGATTTGGCAAAAGTTCAGAAATGACCGGATGCTCAGGCACATAAAAAAATACAAAAACGAAATTTGTAAATGCTTGTCTACTGTTGCTCAATTTATTTCTTGTTTTGTTTTGATTTCAGGTCAGTTGGAACAAGTCAGACATAAAAATCAATGCTTCCAGAACACAGTTTTTATTCAAAGTTATTTCGGCCAGTATAGAAAGTATAACAATTAACGAATCAGGAAAAATTTACTCTACACAGCACGTTACGTGGATGGCAAAATGTTTATCTTTGGCAAGGTTAGTTGCATGTCATTTTTTACATTTTGAAGAGGTTTTCAAAGAGATTGGGTGAGTTCTGAAGTTAGGAGGCTGTTAATAAGCTAACATCTATTGGTGCAGACATCGTACCTCAGGCGAACATATAATCGATGTCGCCAACCTGTCAGTGATCGTGTCCAAGATTCCGCCACACAAATTCCGTTCATTCTGCTACGCTCTACAGGGTGATTCACAAGTCGTGACCAGAAATGAACCATCTTACACAGGACCGCATTTTAAGGGGGGTCTTTTATGTAACATTTTTTCCTCGAGAGCTGCATTAAGGAGTTTAAAAATAAAGAAGAATGTTTTCTAATATCTTCAAAACCGTCAACTGGAATGAACTAAAATTTGGTATGTGGATTTATCTAAGTTCTTGCGGCACTTGAATCTTGTACGCATGCAAGCCCAGATTTTTGTCAAAATTCGTTGCAGGTGCAGTGCAGCAACGTGAATTTTGTCTTAAATTTTGTAATTAAACAGCGAACTGTCGACTCATTTGGCGCATTATTGAGACCGAAAATTTTTGTAGTGACTTTTCACAATAATTGAATAATTCGTTTGAATACTGCTCCATGACCTAATCGCGTGGTCTGGACATGACAGCTGTCATCAAGTAAACATCATACCATTTGTAAAAAAATGGCGGCAAATTCAAATCCTGCGCTCTTGAGACACCGTTTATAACCTAGTGAGAAATACCCAATGTTTTCATCTTGTACCGTCTTATAGGTTTTGGAATTTGGACGTAGACTTGTTCAAGAGGTATCAAATCACGAAACTATATATAAACGGATTTGACAGTTTATCAGAAGAATTGATTCCATCCATAAACGATCGCAATGAATTAGGGAAGAATCTATTAATGGTAGGTGCCAAAAGAATGTCACAGTATCTAACAAAATCACCGGATTTCAGCAACAATATAGCTGCATTGAGTCCTGCTTTGACGAACTATATGGATTCATTGGTAAGTGAATTTTTTACCAGACCAAATTACCTCGATTTTGACATCTTAAAATTATCAAATAAAAGACACTAGAAAAAATAATAGGCACTCCAGGATTGTTCTTTTAAATAAAACCAACAATTTAGTGAAAATGTCATGTTTATTTTTCAAATGCTTCCCTCAGCTCATCTTCTACAGATTTCCAGCTCAGTTTCACCAATAACTTGAAAAATGTTTTACTTCAGGTTGTTAATCGTTTGCGGATTGTTTGAAGGACTTTATCTTTCAATAAAATGTTAAGCTTGGTTAGATTGCATGAACTGCCAAACCAGCGGATATTCCCCTTGCGAATCACAAACCATTCGGCCAACAAGGAAAGCGTGTGTATGACAATAGGGAATATGCATGTTTTTTTTGTATGGGGTTGTCCAAAACGGACGCAGGAAAGTAAACGCATATTAAAACAAGAAAGATTGATATTCAAATCAAGTTGGGTACTTTATTTTGAAGTTTCATTTATACCATTTCAATGACATTTTGCAACATGGTCGGTTCTATGGCATTTATCTCGGCAATGATGTTGTTTTTGAGTTCTTGGAGGGTGGCTGGTTTGTGGACGTAGACTTTGCTTTTCAAATATCCCCATAAAAAGAAGTCCAAGGGAGTCAAATCGCACGATCTTGGTGGCCATGGCACATTTCCTCTGCGCGAAATCACGCGATCACCGAAGAAGGACTGCAATCGATGGATATTGACGTTGGTTGTGTGGCATGTTGCACCGTCTTGTTGGAAATAAACATCGTCCATATGCATTCCTTCAAGTTGCGGCAAAAAATAGTCCTCTATCATCACGTGATATCGCTCAGAATTGACGGTAACGGCGTCCCCGGCCGCATTTTCGAAAAAGTAAGGTCCGATGATGCCTTTTGACCACAATGCACACCACACAGTCACTTTTTGAGGATGCATCGGCTGCTCTTGATACTCACGGGGATTTCGCCCAGATACGCAGTTTTGCTTGTTTACCGTCCCATTCAAAGTGAAATGCGCTTCGTCGCTGAACATGATTTTTGATGAAAAATTGGCATCAATTTGGCGGTGTTCAAGGAGCCAATCTGAGAACGTTCGGCGCGAAAAATGGTCGGCCCGACGCAGCTCTTGCGTCAATTGGATCTTGTAGGCGTCTACATTCAAATCCTTGTGGAGAATGCGGAGCAAACTGGTTCTCGAAATGCCCAATTCTTGGGATCGACGCGTTGTTGATTGTTTCGGATCGTCTCTCACACTCTCCTTCACAACAGCAATATTTTCCGGTTTGCGAACGCTCCTTGGCCGGCCAGAGCCTGGCAGATTTTCCACAGAACCTGTTGCCTCGAATTTACGCACCAGACGACCGATGGTTGTTTCGTTTGGGCGGTTTTTGCGACCGAAATGTTCACGAAGCGCGCGAAACGTGTTTTTTATTTTTGCACCATTTTTGTAGTGCTCTTGAATAACTTTAATGCGGTCTTCAATCGAATACGACTCCATAGCGATCAATGGTAAACATTCAACTAACAAAATGACATATCGGTGACAGAAAACAAAGATGGCGTCTATGTCAAATTGACGTTTACTTTCCTGCGTCCCTATTGGACAACCCTTTATTACCTGGCGATTATTTAAGTTACTATAAGACGTCTTTCATTCATAGAAACTTCTGTATTTTCTTTAATTAAATGTTTAAAAGTGCAATGCCAATGACGCTGATTTAACGTCGCGTTTCTCGCGAGCTTCACAGTGACGTCACAACTCATAAAGTTAATTCAAGCGAACGATTGGTAAATATCCCGGTTATTTTCTAGGTATATCCGGATCAGATAAAATAAATATAAATAAATAATAAATAAAAATCTGTTTTTTTTTGGGTTGTATGTTTTTAAGGAATGACATACAGTAGCGGACAAAAGTTTGGAAACATTCTTAGTAACTTTTAAAAAGTGCGCTAATTTTTTTCGCATATGGTTTGCTTATAGTCTTGGGATACAAATGTCAATTTGTGTTTGCTGTGGTACTACAGACTAGCATTAAAATACCTTCGTATTATTTTATGACCAAAAATGGAAACTTTTTTTTTATTTTCAAAATTAAATACAGTAACTCTACAAAAAGAATTAAAAAATACTGTTTAGCTAATATTTGGTAGCATAGCCTCTGGCATTCAACACTGCCCGACATCTGCTGCTCATAGAAGACACCAATTTTTTACAGACGTCTGTTGGGATATTTTGCCAAATATATTTTACATAATCAAAGAAATCGTTCCTATTTTTTTAAGTTTTCTCGTCAGTTGTCTTTTAACATGCTCCTGAGATGTTCTATAGGGTTTAGGTCCGGGGATTGCGAAGGCCATGTAAAAACATTAACATTTTTTGGTCTTAACCAGTCCTTTAAGAATTTCGAGGTATGCTTGGGGTCATTATCTTGCTGGAATGTCCATCGTAAAGGCATTTCTTCTTCAGCGAAAGGGGACATGTGTTCACTAAGAATATCTTTGTAAAGTTTTTGATACATTTTCTCAACAATTGGACCCGTTCCAGAACTAAAAAAACAGCCTCAAACCATGATGTTGCCTCCACCGTGCATAACTGTTGGCAACTGATACTTTTTGTCGAATCTTTTTTGTGCAAATTCAAGCCGAGCAATACGATTTTTTATGGAAATGAGAGGCTTTTGCACTGGACGCCTACCAAAAAGCCCAAAATCCACCAAGCGTCTCTGCACTGTCCTGGCAGAAAGATTCTGATACAACATTTCTGACACCAATATAATAAATTATACTCTGAGTTAAAATACCAGAAAACTTTTTTATTATCCGGACCCTCTATTATCCGAACTCGTTTACACAGTTGTTTCTCGCTTTGAACGGACGCCGCCGACGTTGCATTATAAAAATGTAACACGTGCTTTCCCCTCCTAAGCAGCGTAGATGCGTTGGCGGCGGCGGAGGAGTGTAGAGGTTAGATCCATCGTACCGACACACATCGACAGTCGTCTTACGATTTAACTTCGATCAGTCTTTCATTGTAGTCGGCAGGCAACTTCGACGGGACGGAACACGAACAATCTCCCTTGTTAAGTCTACTCGTGGCGTGTATGTAATATAAGCCGGGTGCGGTGACATTTTTCGTTTGTTCTTAAGTATGTCTCTTTCAAAGCGTAAACGGGTGGTGCTGTCAATTAAGGACAAAGTGGATATTTTGAAGCGTATGAAAAAAGGCGAATCGGCCCAATCTATGTCGGTGGTTTATGGTGTGGGAAAGTCAACGATATCGGACATTAAAAAACAGTCCAGCGCGATTTTGACGTTCGCGAGCAAACTTGACTGTGATGCAGGATGTTCGAAGCGCAAGACCATGAAAAGATCCGCCAACGAATGTTTGGATGAGGCTCTTTTCACATGGTTTTCCCAAAAACGTTCATCTGGGCAACCTATCAACGGCCCCTTGGTGTGTGAGAAAGCTTTAGACTTCAATAAAAAATTAGGGGGTGACCCTAAATTCTCTGCAAGTCAAGGATGGCTAGATAAATTTAAATCTCGACACGGCATTCGCCAGCTTGATATTCAAGGTGAAAAACTCAGTGCTGACTCTTCATCTGCCTCTGGATTTGTGACAAGATTTTCAGAAATTTTAAGAGAGGATTGTTATGATTTGGAGCTTGTTTATAATGCAGATGAAAGAGGTTTATGTTGGAAAAGCTTACCCTCTAAAACTCTGGCATCCAAGAGGGAAGTGTCAGCCCCTGGATATAAATCAAGCAAAGATCGGGTCACCGTAATGGTTTGTGCAAATGCTACTGGTAGCCATAGAATTCCCATGCTTCTTATAGGAAAATCCAAAAATCCAAGAGCCTTCAAAAACGCGAAGATACCTCTCGTTTACAAAAACCAATCCAGGGCATGGATGGACCGGAAAATATTTGTAGACTGGTATGACAACACCTTCATACCCGAAGTTAAAAAGTTTCTTGAGCAAGTGGGTAAGCAATCAAAGCCTGTTTTATTGGTTTTGGACAATGCGCCTTCGCATCCAGATGCTGAGAGTTTGACAAGAGACGGTTTCAAAGTCATCTATCTACCTCCTAATGTGACATCAATCCTTCAGCCAATGGATCAAAGTGTCATTGAGACTATGAAAAGGAATTACCGGAAGCAACTTTTACGCCGACTTTTGCTCAAAGACAATGACGATGAAAAAGAAAAGGCTGACAGTGTTATCGCGTTCTTCAAGTCAATTAATCTGAAGGATGGTTGCTACATGGTTGTTGAGGCCTGGAATTTAGTTTCTCCAAGCACACTGAAAAAGGCATGGAATAAGTTGTTGAAAAAATACTACGATGATCTCAATGAGCCTACTGTTGATCTACTGCCCCTTAACGAAAGACATGAAGAAACTGAACTTGTGACTGAAATGCTTGACACACTTGAATCCGTCAAAGTAAGAGAAGACTGTGACGAAGAAGACGTGCTGAAGTGGTTAAATTCTGACGCCGATGACCAAGGATTCCCCATTGTGACTGATGAAGAAATTATTGAGAGTGTTCTGTCAGACCCCATTGTGGATGACGAGGAAGAAACCGTCGATGACTGTGCTTTGGAACCTCCAACGGGACCCTCTCACGACGAAGCACTAAAAGCCGTTGATGTTGTCTTTCAGTGGCTTGAAAGACAAGAGGAAGTAGAAGTGGTCCAGCTACTTCAACTTCAAAAGGTAAAGGAGTTGGCTTTGACAAAAAAAATAAACAAGATGAAGCAGACGAAGATTGGTGATTTTTTCAAACGTACCTAAGCAAGAGTTTGTAATGGTTCATAATGTGTTCGTACGTACATTTATATATATATATATATATATATATATATATAGGTGAAAAATTAAAGCTTCAGCCTTTTGTTGGGTACTTCGACAAAATTTAAGCAAAGAGGACTCTTTATACTTTTTTTAATTCTCTCTAGCTTTCAATGGACTTTGCCATCATCATCAGGAGCTGCAATTATAATGATAACAGTAGCAACAAAAGTGTAAAATGAATTTAAATTGAATCAACTTACAGTAGTATGTGAGGATGTTGCTAATTGTTGTTTTCGTATAGGATGAGGGAAATGTCCAGTAATATGGTGAGAGCTGGATACATGGTACAATGGTTAAAATTATATGACAAGATAAGTTAATGACAGATTAAAAATTATTTAGAAAACATTAGAGCATTACGTTGTGAAGCTACTTGATGATTGCACAAATTGGTGGTCATGGAATAATGAGTGAGATGAACCTTTGACAGAAGGCCGAAGGTTGTCAATGTCTGTGTTGAAAGATGGAACGAATTGGGGGCGTGTGCCAAAACGTTGCCAAATCACTTCAGATGATGTGATTTTCAGAATGTTATGTAAGAAATTGTTAAACCGACCAGAGGCAGTTGAATAAACTATATTTTAATTAATGGGAATTTTAAATTAACAATTATTAATAAATCGTTAGAAGAGAATTATTAGATTTTGAGTGGAATTTAATTTGTTGCTCTAATGTTTTCTAAATAATTTTTAATCTGTCATTAACTTGTCTTGTCATATAATTTTAACCATTGTACCATGTATCCAGCTCTCACCATATTACTGGACATTTCCCTCATCCTATACGAAAACAACAATTAGCAACATCCTCACATACTACTGTAAGTTGATTCAATTTAAATTCATTTTACACTTTTGTTGCTACTGTTATCATTATAATTGCAGCTCCTGATGATGATGTCCATTGAAAGCTAGAGAGAATTAAAAAAAGTATAAAGAGTCCTTTTTGCTTAAATTTTGTCGAAGTACCCAACAAAAGGCTGAAGCTTTAATTTTTCACCTAACTGGTCTAGACGACAATGACCACGTCTCAAGTTATATATATATATATATGTACAACATACATAATAAATATATGTACATATTGAGTAGTTAATTGTTTTATTCCCTATGTACACATATGTAGTACATATATGTACATATTTTTAATCTAACCTCTTTTATCCGAACTTTTCGATTATTCGAACCACCTTTGGTCCCAATTAGTTCGGATAATCGAGGTTCTACTGTACTTGAATTAACTAGTTCTAAGTTGTTTACAATTATTCTGTTTATGTAGCCAAATGTGCTAAATAAATCTTTCTACTACTACTACTACCACTTCTAAATAATTCAATTACTTTGTCTCTTAAATCTTTTGAAAATTCCTTTACTTTTGCCATGCTCACTGATGTTAATATTTACGGCACGGAATATCAGAGTATCGCCGAACGAATAAATACGGCAAAACTGGAATATTTCCATACTTTTGTCGTTACCAAAACTGTGGTATTAAAAAACGCGTGTTTTTATTTTAGAGAATTTGAATATAGTTAACATAAGCCTTGTATTAGTACATGAGCCAAAGGTAGACTTTGATATTTATATTATCTGTTCCGTCACAATTTTAATTTAGGTATATGAAATAGTTCATAATAATGTTAATACAGGGTGGGCCATAAGTTAATTAACATTTGAAAATATCGTATGAAAAAAACATTTAAAAATTGTTTATTCACAAGAAAGCTAATTAGTTGGAATTCATTTATTGAAAATTATATCATCCAAATGACCAGCTAGCGACTAGTCTCCTCCCCGCGCCTCGCGCGGCATCTGTTTGCGTGGTGGATTAGATTTAAATGTTAACGAATTCTTGGCCCACCTTGTATTTGTTTCCAAACTTTAGTCCGCTACTGTACACACCCACGTGCGAAAAACATAACTTTCCTTCCGAGGCAGTGGGGTAAAAGTAAGGTCCTTCAAGTTTGAGTCCACGAACTTTTTACAGCATTAGTTTTTTTTATAATAATTATTTCATTTTCTAGGATGACGAATGGTGTGCACCCTGCCCCATGGAAAAAATCACAGCTTTAGCAACCTACATCGTTCAATGTATAAACGAAGACCAAATCGAGCATCGATTGGCCCAGTTGTTATTAGAAGCGTCTATGACAATAGGAGAACTCAAATCGTAATCCTTAACGTGTATATTGTTGAGTCGGTTTTTAGCGTACGTACGTTTTTAATTGTTGAAGTTTTATATTTATACCAATATCAATAAACAAGTTACTGAAATGACGGTATATCGTTAAAGATGTATTTTATTTATAATGTGCTCGTTTGGGAGGAGGGAACGGAACATTCAGAATATCGATGATCGGAAATAATCAGGTGAGAAAATGTGATAAATCGACGAAATAGGCGCTAACGACGCTATAGAGGCTTTCTATTTTAAGGCGGCTCCAACGCAGTGAGTTTCAAGCCATTTACAAGGGTTCAGCTGCTTCGAAACTGACACTCCATTTTTCAATATTTTTAAATGAAATTCATACAGTATGTTGAGAAGATAATTGCCCAGGCTGCTATAGGAGCACTTTTTGAAATTTTGTTTTTGCACAAGTTTTATGATGGGTTGAAGTGCGCACTTTTTCTGTTCAACTACGCGATCTTTTTAAAAAGAACCTAGTGAAAAAAATGAAAAAGTGGCTCTATAGCACCCTGTGGGGTTTTGTTTTCAGCACACTGAAAATTTCATCTAAAAATATCAAATAATAAAGCGTCAATTTCGAAGCGCGCAAACCTCTACAAATCGTATTTTCGACGAATTTTGTCTACTGTTTCGTGCTGCCAACCCAAGCGTTGCGGAGTAATGTACGGACTAAGAAAGGACGTATTCAGATAATTTGGTGGCTCTATTTCATATAATATCACGTAGATAAGTCGTTCTGCGAATAGGTACTCATAATCGCGATCGCTGATACTACTCGATTTTAAGAAATATGTTTTTGAGAATGATAATTTAGTAGATTTTATACCTGCATTTTCATTTGAATTTCTGTTCTGCAGTTTGTGATGTTTTTCTGGATATAAGCAGGACATAATTGCCTAGGGTGCTATCAGGGCTTTTTACAAAATTTTGTCTTTGCACAAGAATTATGGTGGGTTGAAATGCTTACTATTTGTGCTCAACTCCTTGATATTTTAAAAAGATCCTTTCCCATCTTCCATGGTATGACCTCTTATTGCAATAATTTATTCGCTTACCCCAATGTATTTTGCGATTATGGAGTTGAACTGCACCACACTATTTTTGTCCTCATCATTCATCATGAATTAAACTCTGCATTCGTAATTAAAATCGACGCATATGACCTTTTACTGTCTATTATCAACCTTGATAAAAAAGGCACTCAAGAACAATCACACCAAAAAGAGTACAGCACAACAATTCAACATCATAATATCGACGAACAGTAACAAGGGTAGAAACAATACTAAATGATCACTTGCCGAGTACCAAAATAGGAAACGATCTACAGGCTAGATCGCTAATCGAAATCCGACTCTGTTATTATAAAAATTTACCTTGGTACGCACCGGCAGTCATCCTTTCCTCTTTTTAAAGTAGCGCCGACGATCATCTAAGACCAGCCCAACCTCGTTTCCTTTTCACCCCCCGTTACCTCAGCAGATGGTGCTCGTGATTGTAGGAGCCCCGTTAAACGTCATTCTATCGTATAGTGAATCAAAAAAATTCGTCTATACGAATGTAAATAAATTTAGTCTGAAAAATGGCATCATTTTTGTTCTACTTCCACGAACTGAGATCAGCTGATAATTAAATAATTTGTTCGGACTCGTTAAAAAAACTTTGACAAAACCTTCAGCAGCCTCAAAAACGACGAAACACAAAGGATATTTTACTTGTTAGCCATAAATACAACGGATTTTGAAAAACTACATATTTCTTGTTTGTTGCTATTAGAACCAACAAAAATTACATGTTTTTCGTGGCGAAACGACAGCTTTTGCAGATGGCTCGGAAAATATGTAAGAGTTTCAATATGTTAATCATATTTGTATTTGCCATCCATCAATCTCTTAAAATACACAAATTAAGATGCAGAACTCAAGGATTAGAAGTCGATAGATAAACAATATATGTGTGTATTTTACATCATTTCTCTTTCATAACAATACTTTTAAAAATATATTTTACACCACAACTTAACATTAATAATTATCTACAATAATATCAGAAATTAATATCCACCTAGTCATGTGTATAAATAAGATACTCACTGGCTTTACCCAAAACTGGCACAACATACCAGGATGTCAAATTAGAAAAAATGTACGCGGTAAACGGGAAAATGGTCATTGAGACGTCCAAGATCTTGCAGATTTATCTGGATTTTGAAACGTTTTGGATGATATTTGGTGTGATAAAACCACGACAAGACGTTTCACTTATCTACGGACATTTAATTTATAGTGCAAAGAGACACTGAAAACGCAATGGACGTACAAAAAGTATAACATTAAACGCTATGTACAAAGTCTGTCGCAAAGTAAACAGGACTTTTGAAAGATATCCGATACAAGTAGCGCCATCTAGCGTTGGACAGGTACATCTTTCATCGATGCCCTGTCAAAATTTCAACCACTTCTCGCGGAATTATCGCGCTCAAAGTGAAGGTACTTTTTAGCATCGGTCGAAAAATGAGCATCGAACAAAGAGCCAATATTAAGTTATGTGTTAAACTTGGTAAAACATCAGACGATGCAAGTGCATGGTGATGATTGTCCACGAGTGGTTTACACGGTTCAAAGAGTGTCGTGAGTCGCTGGAAGATGACGACAGTGGCGAAGCGTCCATGTAACCATTGTTACCATTGGTAACAGTTAAAAATCTTAAAAATATATATAAATATAATAGTTTTAGGGCTCTAACGAGGAGACATGAAATTTCTCCGTTACATGTGAGATGTGTAGCCAATTTAATTCAGTTTGGCAAAACAAACAATAATGGAAATATGTCTTAACCAATATTTTAGGCAGCACATTTCTAGATACCGTATGTTTTTTGGCAGAACAGGAATTACCATTTATTTTGAAGTGGATGACTCTGACAATAGAGGAAATTACAGGGAATTGTTAACATTCATGGCCAAAAAAGATCAAAAATTTTCCGAACATCTAGAAACGTCGACTGTTTTTTCGGACGGCTTGGATAAGTCGTAGCATATCATATATCTAGTGCCCCAGACGCTCAGTCCAGGAAGGTTTACCTTAATTTAAAAATAGTTTAAACAAAATGTATTTGGGAGGTTCAAAATAAACTTTTTTTAATAAGATTTTTCACATCTGGTTTTGGTAACAGTCACGCGTCGCCACTGGACGGCGAACATGTTGGCCAGCAAAAATTTGTGATTACGCCAGAAACCGTCGACAAAAAATCTTCATTGAGATATATAGAAATGGAATTAAATATCTCTAAAGATCCAATCCATCACATTTTTACCAAGAATTTGGGCATGAGAATGGTGTGTTCACGGTTTGTTCCGCACAAGCTCACGGATGACCAAAAATTGGTTCGAATTCAACATACGAGAGACATCAAACCCTCCACTGGTAACGTACGGTTCCTGAGACCGATGGAAGAGAATTCTCACGCTAAAAAACAAACACTGCGCTTCCCAGTACCTTTGGACAATAGTGTTATCTAGGCCCGTATCGTCAGTCGACCCTACAATTGTAGGGCGCGTTTATGGCCTCCTTGATTGTCATACTTTTTTCTCTCCTTCAAAAATTTCTAGATTACACTTGTCCCGTGTCAGCGTCAGCGCTCTCCTATTGTGAAGATTTGTTTTCCTTTTAAATTGTAGGAAATTTCAGGCTAATAAAACATGATATAACTCAAAACCAAGCATAATTTCATGCAAATTGATGTTTGTGACATAACCTCAAAATAGAGCGCTGACACGGAGAAGTAGAAAACAATGACAATCAAGGAGGCCATAAAGGCGCCCTACAATTGAAACTCCCGCTTTTATACTGATTTTCCACTCAACCATGCGCATGGCGCATGTCGCGCAGTCAGCTGATTTTGGACGGTTTGTCAGTAAGCATTCAGCTCGATCGTAGGGTAGACTGGGTACGGTTGAAACGGTGGACGGTTGAAACAAAGCGAATATCTCGCGAGCCTTTCATGGTGGGGGACGAAAACAGAAGAAGATCGGAGCAGACGACAAGTCGAAACACGAATTTCAGTATTATTTTGCTCTTCGCGCGCTGTGCTTGTGTGTAGGGGACACCATTGTGTTTTTTGGCGGTAAAGTAAGTATTTTTGTTCGTACATTTTTGCAATTATTATCGTTTTGATTAAAGCTAAAGTATTGAGCATTTTGTATCGTTGCAATTGAAGTTTGTAGAATATGGTAGTATGATGAGTTTTTATTCAAATTTATTATCATTCCTATTGTGAGCCGTTTTATACCTAGAAGGGGGGATGGGGACAGTTGAAACATTTTTTGTGGGTACGGTTGAAACAGCTTATTTATTTGATTGTCTTGTTTTTTAGATGCCAAGGGTACGCCAAAGGAAGACTACGAGAGGCCAGGCTGACTTATCGACTTATAAACAAGCTTATGAAGATGTGAAAGCGGGATCTTCTTTAAGAACAGCGGCAGAAAAGAATGGGCTGAACCACTGTTCCCTGTTTAGATACGTACGTAAACGAGATGCGGCTGGTGGTGATGAAAATCAAGAAGTGGGATATAAGGCTCACAATCGAGTGTTTAACCAAGAACAAGAACGTGAGCTTTCTAATTATTTAACTAGATGTGCAGATATCTATTTTGGCCTAACTAAAAAGGATGTCAGGAAATTGGCATACGAACTAACAATCAAGTACGACTTATCACGACCTCGGACATGGGATGACAACGAAATGGCTGGCGACGAATGGTTTCGAATGTTTATGAGAAGAAATTCCGGACTTTCAGTACGTGTAGCACAGGCTACAAGTCTTTCTAGGGCGACTAGCTTTAATAGAAATAATGTAGATGCTTTTTACGACAATTTGAGTACTGTTATGGACCGTTATAAGTTTGAGCCACAAAATATATATAATGTTGATGAGACTGGCATCACTACTGTGCAAAAACCCGACAGAGTAATAGCTAGACGTGGTGCTCGCCAAGTAGGTTCAGTGACTTCAGGTGAGAGGGGTACTTTAGTCACAGTTGCCTTTGCAGTTAATGCCATCGGAAATGCTATTCCTCCATTCTTCGTCTTTCCGCGAGTGCGATATCAAGACCACTTTATCAGGGATGGACCAATAGGATCTGCTGGCAGTGCAAATCCTTCTGGCTGGATGCAGGATGAAACATTTATTCATTTCCTGGAACACTTCAAGAAACATACAAATGCTTCTTCTTCACATAAAGTCTTACTTGTACTTGATAACCACTCTTCACATATTCATATTAATGCTCTAGACTTTTGCAAGACGAATGGCATTGTGGTGCTATCGTTCCCTCCCCACTGCTCACATAAACTCCAACCGCTTGATAGATCTGTATTCGGTCCGCTGAAAAAAGCTATAAATTCGACCTGTGATGGATGGATGCGAAGTCATCCCGGCAAGACAATGTCAATATACGACATCCCAGGGATTTTAGGTATTGCTATGCCGCTTGCTCTTACACAATCCAACATTCAAGCTGGTTTTCGCACAACTGGGATTGTTCCATTTAATCGGCATTTGTTTAGTGAACTCGATTTTGCACCTGCATTTGTGACAGACAGACCAAATCCTCTAAATACGAATACAAATGAGGCAGCTGATGGCCATATTCAGAATACTTACACACCTGAGGATAAAACACCAACACCATCACCTTCTGAACTACCAGAAATGTCGGAGGAGCTTTCTAATACAGCTCTTTCTGTACAACAACTGACTGCAAATATGTCACAGTGTTCACAAGTCCCAGACAGACAACAGGAAAATATTACTGCAGATCCAGAACCTTTGATTACATTACCCGGACATCAAAGTACTGATATTGTTCAGCAAATTTCACCAAAACCCTCTACAAGTTCTCAATCCATTCCTGTCTTGTCAAATCAAACGAAAAATATCCCGTCTCCGAGTACAACACTTTTGTTTTCACCGGAAGCAGTACGACCACTACCAAAAGCTCCTCCAAGGAAATCAACAAACAGGGGGCGAAAAACCAGAAAATCCACAATATACACCGATACACCTGAGAAAGAAGAGATAAGAAGAGAACATGAAAACAGATTGAAACGAACCAAAGCTAAGCAAGTTAAGAAAAGATTAGATGGAGAGGAAAAGACGAAAAGAAATGTTAGAAACAGAAAAAAAAATATCACGCAAGATGAATCATCAGAAGAAGAGGAATACTACTGTCTTGTTTGTGTGTCAGCATATTCAGAAAGCAGACCGAGGGAAAAGTGGATACAATGCACAGAATGTAAAATGTGGGCGCATGAAGAGTGCACAAAAGGTAGTCTTATTTATATTTGCCATAATTGTGATTCTGAATGATCTCATAACCACTTTAATATTTTTGTTTAAAATATGGATTTTTATAGAAATAATAAGTCTTTATTTTTTTCTTAAATAGGATTTTTCTTAAATAAGGATAAGTTTTTGTTTTAAACTGTTTATTTTTATTCTCTAACAAAAAGTATTGTTGTTTTGTCATTTGTTAATCTATTCATCGAAAAGTATATCTTTTGAAGTTTTACTGTTAGTCTGTAAGTATCGTCAAAGACTTGAATATTATTGAAAATATATTTTTGATGTTTAACTGTGCCATTACGAGTCGTAAAATATTATTAGATGATTAATAAAACATCCTTATTTACTATACTTCGTATTATTTGTATGTGTTTCAATTGACCCCAGGCACTGTTTCAACCGACCCTGGCATGGGGACGGTTGAAACAAATTACATTTGTTTTTTAATTTAATGTTACAGATAAAATACAAAACAGTGATCTCAAATATCATTGCCTATTAGTAAACAAATATATGGTCTTTTATTTATCATATTTCCGATATCGCTCGCTCAGCTAATCCCGATGCTATGGACAATAAACGCTAAAATGTTTCAACCGTACCCAGTCTACCCTATCCTGTTTGCAGGTTATGTTAACATTTTCGCGTTTCCTCTTATATTTTACGTGATTACAATGTCTAGCAGTGAAAGTTCGGATACGGAAATGATCGATCGTAAAAGAAAAAAAGGATGTCCTGAAACATGGAAGAGAAATGAAAGGAAGAAAGCTCGTCTTCTTGGAAGCCAATACACAACTAAAACTGGGAAAATAGTCAGCAAAAGGGAGGTTAAAGCAGATTGCACGTAAGCTTTATTACTATAAAATAACACAATCGTTTGTAACAATATTATATTGTTTTTTTAGATGTAAAAACAAATGCATGACTAAATTTACGATGGAAGAAAAAGAAGCTGTTTTGAGGGCATTATACGAGAAAGGTTCAAAAAACCAACAAGATGTCTATTTACATGGGTTAATGGAATGTAAACCAGTCGTTAGGAAGCGACCAAATAAAGAGGCCAGAGAAAAACTTAGGACAGCGAGTTTTTCTTATTACATACGAAAACCTTTAGAGAAACAACGTGTTTGCAAAACAGCCTTTCTTAATCTACATTCAATCTCGAACTCTAGACTACAACGACTAAATAGATTGTTCGTGTCTCAGAGTTCACCTAGAGATTTACGTGGTACGCATAATAATCGACCTCATACATTACAACCTCAGGTTACTTCCAAAATCCATCATCACATTGAATCGTTTCCACGAAGGACTTCTCACTACAGCTCTAAAGAAATTCACTATCTTGATTCAAATCTTAACGTTAAGACTATGTATAATCTCTTTGTAAAATTACACCCGGAATTAACAAAGATAGTTGAATATGAATTTTACTTAGAATTCTTTAAAGAGAATTTTGCATTAAAATTCGGGAGGCCTCAAGTAGATGTATGTGGACAATGCGAGGAATTAACAACAAAACTTAAGGATTCAAATTTAAACGACAACGCTAAGAGAGTTGCTGCTGCCGAATTAATGGTTCATAAGCGTCGAGCTAAAAAATTTTACTCAAAGCTAAAGGAAGTCACTGATCTGTGCCATGAACGAGAAGATGTTGGTGGAATAGTTTTTGACTATGTTCAAAATATGCCTCTGCCTGTTATACCTGTCCAGGAAATTTTTTATTACAGGCAACTATGGCTATATGGGTTTGAAATACACGATTTAAAAAATGATACTGGACATTTTTATACATACCATGAGGGACAAGCCGCGAAGGGACCCAATGAGGTATGCACGTTTATCAATGATTATGTGCCGAAAATGCCAGCGGAGATTCAAGAGCTGCACATATTTTCGGACGGTTGCCCGGGCCAAAACCGGAATAATACCGTAATAAGATATTTATTAGCACTTGCAGCTTCAAAAAGATTTCGCAAAATTTATCACTACCTCCCATTGCGAGGTCACTCTTTTTTACCGTGCGACAGGGACTTCGGATGTCTTAAGAGAGTGATAAGAAAACATGATCGTATATATCTTCCAGAAGATTATGAAAACATGATGCTCTCTTGCCGCAAAGTAAAGCCGTTTACTGTATCAACAATATGTTATAAAGATATAACTGATTACAAAACTTGGTGGCCCAAATATTACAAAAAAACTCGTCAATCTTCAGATGAAATAAAATCCAAATTTACACTATCAAATTACAGGCAGTTTACTTATGATAGTTCTACACCTGGATACCTCATCACTAGCGACTATATCGGAGGATTTGTGTCGCAATGTTTTAAATTAATCAAACCTAAAGCCATGCCAACTTTACCAACTAACCCTGCATATTCAAAGACATTACCAATAAATATAAAGAAAATTGATAATCTAAAAAAAGTCCTGCAATATATGTCGTCAGAAATATTGGAATTCTATTACCATATTACTTCATGGGAAACCACCAACGCTGAATGTGAGGCAACTGAGGCGGACTAATAAAACTATTTTTATTGTATTATAGTATATCATAAATATGTTCTTTTCATCGTATCTAAGTGTATTTAGGTTAAATGTACATTAAATAATAAAAAGCATTCTAATTTGTAGTTTTATTTACTAATTAAATTCATGATTTGAGGCATGTTTAAAGTTGGGCGGAAAAACCATATAACTCCTAGTGACGTTTTGACATGTATATTATTTATTACAAAAAATAATTGATAATTCACTTTACATTCGTTCAGAGAACTTAATTGTCTACAAACTTGCAACGTATATATTTCTTGTATATTATATAGTTTTCAAACAAAACACTTTTTTGTGATTACCTCAAATTCGTATTTTTGGACTTATATCGTTATTACACTCACCGATTCAATTGTAGGGACAACTGACGATACGGGCCCTAGTTAGTCACAAACGGTGGTGTGCAGGTCGTTGTAGAGATATACGGGCGACCGACGTTACCTTTTGAGTAACATATTGAGACAGGAACAGCGGAGTGCTTTATAAATTAGACGGCGAGTTATTTTTTGTTTCACTATATTTTACTGATGTATTATATTTTAGGCATTTTTTACGAGAATGGCTAATTCTTACGAAAAAGAACAAGAAAGGTTACTACACCTATTTGAGGAAGTTCCAACTCCTTCCGCATCCGAGGTAGAAGATGATGATCAAAGTCTACAAGGTGATAATTTAGAAACACTCGAGTATGACACAAGGATGTCCAAGATCACGTTACCGTACAAGCAGCAACACGGGTGCCTTGCCTTATTGGAAAAGATGGTACGAGATGGAAGAAACATCTTGGATTGAAGCGTAACATTCGAACTCGGCAAGATAACCTCTACAGACAATTACCAGGTCCCCGAGGCGAAATACGGAAAAAACATATCATCAAAGAAATTTGGAAATGTTTTTTCACCACAGAAATGCTGGAAAAGATAGTAGGGTATACCAATATTTTTATTGCCATGCAGTCCTATGATATAACAAAATACCAAACCAATAAGCCAGTAGACATCTTCGAACTTAAAGCTCTGCTAGGCATGCTATATACGAGGGATGTCTTTTAAGTTTTGCATATAGAAACATAGTAGGCCGCGCGGATCGAACGTCAGTACTGAATCTTCACCTCACTCTTTAGTAAACTCAAATTCAAAGTTTCACAACAATACTTGCAGTGTTCTCACTACAGTGAATTTTTAAGTGTCACCAAGTCATTAGAAAAATGGAACTCAACCGAGAACATTTTCGCGCCATAATTTATTACAACTTTCAGAGACAATTATCGCAACAAGAATGTCTTGCTGAGTTACTGTCTGTTGTCGGCAACGAAGCGCCACATCAGTCGACAACTTTCCGTTGGTATGGAGAACCCAGGAAAACGTCGATGCTGCGCGCAAGCTCATCACTGAAGATAGACATGAGAGATATCGCGAGATTGAGGCGTCCTTGAAGATCTCGAAGACCTCAATTCAAAAAAGTTTACATGAAGAATTAGGAGTAAGAAAATTAGTTTCTCGTTGGATACCCCACCTGTTGACTGAAGAGCAGAAAGCAGCCAGGGTTAATTGGTGTCAAAAAACGCTTGACCGTTTTACTTCCGGAAACTCAAAAAATGTGTACAGTATTGTTAGTGGTGATGAATCGTGGATTTACTGTTATGAACTAGAAAATAAACGACAGTCGGCTGTTTGGGTGTTCTAAGGTGAAGAAAAGCCATCAAAAGTCATCCGTTCTCGAAGTGTTTCGAAAAAGATGGTCGCGACATTTGTGTTAAAAGCGGGTCATATTGCAACAATTTCTCTTAATGAGCAAAGAACTGTTACTGCGGATTGGTATACCACCATTTGTTTGCCAAAAGTCATCACCGAGCTTCGAAAAATCGACCCCGAAAGAAGAATCATCCTCCACCAAGACAATGCAAGCTCGCGCACAGCCCAAAAAACAAGGCAGTATTTAACGGAAGAAAACGTGGAATTATTGGACCATCCTCCATATAGTCCCGATCTAAGTCCTAACGATTTCTTTACTTTCCCGAACATTAAAAACAGACTGCGTGGTCAAAGGTACCAGTCACCAGAAGAAGCAGCTGACGCAATCAAGAATGCCGTTTTGGATCTGCCAGCAAACGAGTAGAATAAGTGCTTCGAAAAACAATAAAGTCATTTAAAACTACCTACCGTGTTGTTTTATTTCCATATGCAAACCTTAAAAGACATCCCTCGTATATATATATATATATCTGCATCTCAAAAAAGTAACCGTCAGAATGCAGAAGATCTGTTCAGAACAGATGGTAGATCAATAGAAATAAATAGACTCACGATGTCGATGAGGTTTCAATTTCTCCTCAGGCACATTCGTTTTGACGACAAAAATACACGAGTGCAAAGACAAAGTATTGGCAAGTTGGCTCCAATACGTGAGATTTTTGACACATTCAACTCCAATATCTCTAAGCCTTGCAGCCATTCAGCGTACACTACTGTCGATGAAAAATTAGAAGCCTTTCGGGGTAGGTGCTTGTTTAGGGTACACATGCCAAATAAGCCCAATCGATGCGGCATAAAAATGTATGCATTAGCAGATGCTAAAATGTTCTACACATCTAAGATGGAGGTTTATGTTGGAAAACAACTTGTAGGGCCATTTTGTGTAGATACCTCAAATATTGCATTGGTACCTCGGCTTACTGAACCCATTTGGGGAACAGGAAGGAACGTCACAATGGACAACTTTTTTACAAGCATGAAGCTTACTGAGCTGCTTTTACGGGAACATCGTATCACTGTAATTGGAACGCTAAGGAGAAATAAACCGCAAATACCACCAATTATGACAACCGTTAGGAGGCCGGAAAAAAACAGTATGTTTGCTTTCCGGGAAAACTCTACCATAGTTTCGTATATCCCTAGAAAAAATAAAAACGTTTCAGTTCTCTCATCTATGCATCATGACGATAATATTGATGCGACTACAGGAAAGCCAGAAATAATTATTGATTACAATCAAACAAAAGGAGGAGCCGATATTGTAGACAAACTGGGCGCTGGCCCATGGTAATTTCTTACAGCTGTCTGAATGTAGCCGGAATAAATTCCTACATAATTTACAAATCAAATACTGAGAAAAAAATACACAGAAAAAAATTTTTGGAAAATTTGGAATTTGAACTTATTCAGGAACATAATGTAAGAAGATCTCTTGAGCAAAATATTTCTAGGACAATTCGTTGGAGACTTACCGAAATTTATGGAGGGAATGTAGAGAACTTACCCTCCCAGAACGCGATCCATGGGCGATGTGCGTTTTGTAGTATGTAGTAGGAAAAACAGAAAAACTAGGTATTTTGACTGCTACGCAGGAAAAACTGATGAATAAACTTCCAGCCTGTCCAAATAATTTTGACTTCAATTTTGCTCTATCTATTACTTGATTATTATCTTTATGTTACTTCTATTAGAAATGTAAATCACGATTTATTTTTTTTGTTTTTTGAAAAAAATGAAATGCTGCCAAAAATTGCATGATATTTTTCAGTCTTATTATTGTCCTCCTTCAAATTATAAATTTCACCATATATCAATAAATATTATCCTACAATAGTGTTAAATTTAGTCTCAAATCAAAATTATTCCATACCAACTATTATACTCTTCTAGAATGCTACAGCTATAGAAGGGTCTCACAGACCGATGCACAGTGTTTCGATAGCATCAAGTTGGCTGGTCAAAAGTCATTAACGAATTGTGGCGAAGTGACATTAAATATTGACAGACGTCACTCCAATAGTTGTGATTTCAGTAATTATTTTGCTTTGAATTAATTAAATGATACGTTTAATATCAACATATCAGTTGAGGAGTTATTGTAAAATTTATTCCTTATTTTGTACTTCGTGCGACAATATTATTATAGTGGTTGTTGTTGCCGGACAATATATCCGTAGCGATGGATTCTGTAATTAAAGGTAAGCACTGCTTAATGTTAATAACCAACTATATTAAATACACCTCAGTAGTTGAAAAAATCTTAATTTTTGAAAAGTATTGATTTTTTATCAATTTTTTTATTTTATAAGAGAGGAAATTATATGCCCCCGTGTGCCCCCGGGCTAAAATTCATTTATGTCATAGGTGTTAGTTCCTACTCTTAAAATATAATAGATTTTAGCTGCATCTTTTTGTACAACTAATTTTTTTCCATCGTTTTTCAGTTTACGTCTACACTATTTGGAAAATGGAATTTTTAGAGGAATGGCTGAAACATGAAAAAAGGGACCAGAACAGCAAGTTATACCAACTTTTATCCACAAAATATGACTTTCTGGGTATTACCGAGGCTTCATTGAGGGAAACAAAAAACTCTATCTGTAGATTTTCGTCAAAACTATCCCAGAAATTTTCTAATTGTGGAAAGAATCGAGAACGCTTTCTGTTGAAAAATTCGGAATGGATGGCTGGCGATCTACGCTTTAATATTTCTCTTCATTATTCGCAACCATTTCTATCTGAAAGCTCTACTGCACTTGGAAGACCGCGAAAAGAATTCGCCGAGTCAAGCCACAAAACGAAAAAGAGACGAGTTGAACGGACTCTTTACAATTTAGAAGTTTAACCTACCAAACAAAATGACAGATGAGCCCCTTAAAGTAAAAATGCTGATGGCAAAAGTAAAAGCAGTTTTGAGTTGCAAAAAAGACACAACAGACATCATAAGAAACCAAAAAATGATGAATTTAAGATTAATTGAAAAATCAGCAAGATCAAAGAAGGACCCATCTCCAATAACAAGTGCTATGTCATGCATGGGACTAAAGTATCCTATCTCAGTAGACAAAAAGAAGGCTGATGAATATAAAATACCTAATATGTTCCTACAGAAAGGAAAAGAAGGGGAGGATAGACACACACATGGTAGGATTCTATGCAAAAAAGAGGCCATAGACTGGTGGGTCTCTCAGAGTGAGGTTCCAAATCAATCTATTCAGGATTCTGTAAAAGTACTTTATAAGGTGCACACAGAAGAAGTGGAAAAGTATTACAACATAAACTGGAGCAGGGCCACTATCAAATATGGGATGCCCGTGATAGAAAGAAGACATGTTAGGACCAGGAATCCAATATTTGAAGTGCCAAAATCAATACAGAATTCACTAATCAAGGAAGCATTGTTCCCGGAGCTCACATTACCTGATAAGAGAATAACTCCAGCTATGAAATCAGAGGCATCTTTGTTAATAAATTTATCACTTGAAGGGAAATTAGGTATTGCTTCCCAAATAAGAATACTAATTAACAACCTTGACCCGAAAGTAAGATGTCTCCCTACTTTACCAGGATCTTCTGAAAGCTCTGCAACCATGAAACATGCAATATGCCACTCAAACTTTGTTATCACAAACATAACTATAGCAGACAAAGATGCCATGAAGAAGGATACAATGAAGCTTCTCCTCCGTGCCTTGAGATCTGTAATATATGAGGCAAAGAAGCACAAATGGGATATTGACACTACCAAAAAAGTCCTATTGTCCTTCAAGATACAAGGTCTGACAATAGAGGAAATGCTACAGCACTGCTATGACAGAAACTCAGTGGAAGTGAAATTCGCGAGAGCTATATATGGATATCCTGACACGTTAGAGATTGAAAGAGATGGATTTATACAATGTCCCAAACTCTCTAATATCAGAATCATGTCAGCAAGAAACAAAGCCAATGTAAGATTTCATTTCAATAGCTCAGAAGAGATCGTGAATTTCAGATATGGGGACATAAGAGGAAACTATAGCCATGCAAACTGCATACTTATAAGTGCTACCATGAACTACACTTGCAGAAGAGACCTTATAACAACTCTCACAGAAATAGCAATATCTATAACAAGTGCTATGTCATGCATGGGACTAAAGTATCCTATCTCAGTAGACTAAAAGAAGGCTGATGAATATAAAATACCTAATATGTTCCTACAGAAAGGAAAAGAAGGGGAGGATAGACACACACATGGTAGGATTCTATGCAAAAAAGAGGCCATAGACTGGTGGGTCTCTCAGAGTGAGGTTCCAAATCAATCTATTCAGGATTCTGTAAAAGTACTTTATAAGGTGCACACAGAAGAAGTGGAAAAGTATTACAACATAAACTGGAGCAGGGCCACTATCAAATATGGGATGCCCGTGATAGAAAGAAGACATGTTAGGACCAGGAATCCAATATTTGAAGTGCCAAAATCAATACAGAATTCACTAATCAAGGAAGCATTGTTCCCGGAGCTCACATTACCTGATAAGAGAATAACTCCAGCTATGAAATCAGAGGCATCTTTGTTAATAAATTTATCACTTGAAGGGAAATTAGGTATTGCTTCCCAAATAAGAATACTAATTAACAACCTTGACCCGAAAGTAAGATGTCTCCCTACTTTACCAGGATCTTCTGAAAGCTCTGCAACCATGAAACATGCAATATGCCACTCAAACTTTGTTATCACAAACATAACTATAGCAGACAAAGATGCCATGAAGAAGGATACAATGAAGCTTCTCCTCCGTGCCTTGAGATCTATAATATATGAGGCAAAGAAGCACAAATGGGATATTGACACTACCAAAAAAGTCCTATTGTCCTTCAAGATACAAGGTCTGACAATAGAGGAAATGCTACAGCACTGCTATGACAGAAACTCAGTGGAAGTGAAATTCGCGAGAGCTATATATGGATATCCTGACACGTTAGAGATTGAAAGAGATGGATTTATACAATGTCCCAAACTCTCTAATATCAGAATCATGTCAGCAAGAAACAAAGCCAATGTAAGATTTCATTTCAATAGCTCAGAAGAGATCGTGAATTTCAGATATGGGGACATAAGAGGAAACTATAGCCATGCAAACTGCATACTTATAAGTGCTACCATGAACTACACTTGCAGAAGAGACCTTATAACAACTCTCACAGAAATAGCAATATCTATAACAAGTGCTATGTCATGCATGGGACTAAAGTATCCTATCTCAGTAGACTAAAAGAAGGCTGATGAATATAAAATACCTAATATGTTCCTACAGAAAGGAAAAGAAGGGGAGGATAGACACACACATGGTAGGATTCTATGCAAAAAAGAGGCCATAGACTGGTGGGTCTCTCAGAGTGAGGTTCCAAATCAATCTATTCAGGATTCTGTAAAAGTACTTTATAAGGTGCACACAGAAGAAGTGGAAAAGTATTACAACATAAACTGGAGCAGGGCCACTATCAAATATGGGATGCCCGTGATAGAAAGAAGACATGTTAGGACCAGGAATCCAATATTTGAAGTGCCAAAATCAATACAGAATTCACTAATCAAGGAAGCATTGTTCCCGGAGCTCACATTACCTGATAAGAGAATAACTCCAGCTATGAAATCAGAGGCATCTTTGTTAATAAATTTATCACTTGAAGGGAAATTAGGTATTGCTTCCCAAATAAGAATACTAATTAACAACCTTGACCCGAAAGTAAGATGTCTCCCTACTTTACCAGGATCTTCTGAAAGCTCTGCAACCATGAAACATGCAATATGCCACTCAAACTTTGTTATCACAAACATAACTATAGCAGACAAAGATGCCATGAAGAAGGATACAATGAAGCTTCTCCTCCGTGCCTTGAGATCTGTAATATATGAGGCAAAGAAGCACAAATGGGATATTGACACTACCAAAAAAGTCCTATTGTCCTTCAAGATACAAGGTCTGACAATAGAGGAAATGCTACAGCACTGCTATGACAGAAACTCAGTGGAAGTGAAATTCGCGAGAGCTATATATGGATATCCTGACACGTTAGAGATTGAAAGAGATGGATTTATACAATGTCCCAAACTCTCTAATATCAGAATCATGTCAGCAAGAAACAAAGCCAATGTAAGATTTCATTTCAATAGCTCAGAAGAGATCGTGAATTTCAGATATGGGGACATAAGAGGAAACTATAGCCATGCAAACTGCATACTTATAAGTGCTACCATGAACTACACTTGCAGAAGAGACCTTATAACAACTCTCACAGAAATAGCAATATCTATAACAAGTGCTATGTCATGCATGGGACTAAAGTATCCTATCTCAGTAGACTAAAAGAAGGCTGATGAATATAAAATACCTAATATGTTCCTACAGAAAGGAAAAGAAGGGGAGGATAGACACACACATGGTAGGATTCTATGCAAAAAAGAGGCCATAGACTGGTGGGTCTCTCAGAGTGAGGTTCCAAATCAATCTATTCAGGATTCTGTAAAAGTACTTTATAAGGTGCACACAGAAGAAGTGGAAAAGTATTACAACATAAACTGGAGCAGGGCCACTATCAAATATGGGATGCCCGTGATAGAAAGAAGACATGTTAGGACCAGGAATCCAATATTTGAAGTGCCAAAATCAATACAGAATTCACTAATCAAGGAAGCATTGTTCCCGGAGCTCACATTACCTGATAAGAGAATAACTCCAGCTATGAAATCAGAGGCATCTTTGTTAATAAATTTATCACTTGAAGGGAAATTAGGTATTGCTTCCCAAATAAGAATACTAATTAACAACCTTGACCCGAAAGTAAGATGTCTCCCTACTTTACCAGGATCTTCTGAAAGCTCTGCAACCATGAAACATGCAATATGCCACTCAAACTTTGTTATCACAAACATAACTATAGCAGACAAAGATGCCATGAAGAAGGATACAATGAAGCTTCTCCTCCGTGCCTTGAGATCTATAATATATGAGGCAAAGAAGCACAAATGGGATATTGACACTACCAAAAAAGTCCTATTGTCCTTCAAGATACAAGGTCTGACAATAGAGGAAATGCTACAGCACTGCTATGACAGAAACTCAGTGGAAGTGAAATTCGCGAGAGCTATATATGGATATCCTGACACGTTAGAGATTGAAAGAGATGGATTTATACAATGTCCCAAACTCTCTAATATCAGAATCATGTCAGCAAGAAACAAAGCCAATGTAAGATTTCATTTCAATAGCTCAGAAGAGATCGTGAATTTCAGATATGGGGACATAAGAGGAAACTATAGCCATGCAAACTGCATACTTATAAGTGCTACCATGAACTACACTTGCAGAAGAGACCTTATAACAACTCTCACAGAAATAGCAATATCTATAAGATGGGACTTTCAAAATACAAAAGGAACAGACAGAAGAAAAATACATGAAGAAACAAAAAGAAAAATAAACAGAGAGCCATGGCTACTAATAAGTGCATCTGATGAAAATTTCAACAATGCCAACTGGAGCAACCCTAATGGTTTTCAATGTGGATGCTTAGTAATAAATGAAAATGCAGAATATTTCACCACTGGAAAGATAAACCTTAAACTAAGCAGAAACATGAATCTTATGTTAGAGGGGACAAGGCAAGAAATAGAGGTAAACATTCAAAAGGATCTGTTGAGATGCTACACCGAGGAAATTGAATGTTCCAAGGGAAGAATGTTACAATATTTCACATTCAAGAGAATGGTAAAAAACAGATACCAATTTTTCTTAGAGAGATGGAAAACTGTCAAATCAATGGTGGAAAATAACAATTTTAAGTGGGAAAATGAATACGTAAATCCTTATCTTGAATACAAATCCAGACAGCTCTCTAAAGGATGCAGACAACTGCTTACTTGGCTAATAACAAATGACGAATGGAACAAAAACTTTCGCGGAGTACATCCGAATTAATCTCTGCCGCGGAAATATCAGCACGACTTTCTGGCTACAGAGGCTTGGCTACCGTAATTAAGAACGCTAGTGAAAGTTCGGTAATATGCAAGGAGATGAAGAAATGTGTAATGTCCAATGACTGCTTCACATAAGTTATCGTCTTGAAGTTAAAAAATGGCAATTACGAGATTCGGTTGATAAAACTAATGTAAAACAACGTTCCATTACGATTCAGAATCGATTTAAGAACGAGATGGGTTTAATTGTAGATAAACCAAAACCAGGCTATGGCAACACAAATGACGGAAATACTGCTCGTAGATTTTTTGGGAAACCCGAGTTAAGTGCAGAGATTACAGGACTAGATGTGAGCCTTATAAAAAAGTTTAACACCTTACTTAGAGCTTTATCATCTGGCTATGACATAAATATAGACAAATTTGTAAAACTAACACAGGACGTAAGAAAACTGTATTTAAGTCTCTATACGTGGTATTACATGCCTGCTACTGTACACAAAATTTTGGTGCATGGTACCGATATTATACAATCGGCTCTCCTGCCAATCGGGCAGCTTTCTGAAAAAGCACAGGAAGCCCGCAATAAAGATGTCAGGAGATTCCGAGAACATAATACGCGTAAGCGATCACGCATTGCCACGAATAGAGATTTACTAAATATGTTATTAATCACATCTGACCCTGTAATTAACAGCCTCAGAGAAGTTACCAAAAAAAAACAATGGTAATCTGCCTTCGGAAGTTTTAGATTTACTGTTACCACCATCTACAAATTTAGATAGAAATATTAGGACTCGCGATAGTGATGTTCGCTTATTAGACTACATTGAAAATGATTCCTCAGAAGAGGAGTTGAGCGATGATGATGATTAGCTAGGAACTAGTTAGTACGTAGTTAGGTAGTTAAAGTTATTGTAATTAAAATTAGATTAATAACTATAATAATAGTTTACATTTGGTATATAAAGTGTACCGTATATTTGTTTACATATTTAACCATTAAATTAATTTTTATTTAATAGGACCAGTTAAATGTACCAAAAACTCTTCACTTTAACTTTAGAATGATTAAAATGTTTATAAGAATAATTAATAAAATCATTAAAAACATTAAGTTCAGCTAAATAATTTTGTCCAGCTATCTTGTACTGATCGAAACACTGTGCGATGTTACCAGTTGTGCCAAGTTTCGTGGCGTTACCAGTGGAGGGTTAAAGAGGCAAAAAAAAACTTTTTCACATCATTGTAACTGGTGACGAACGTGGTGTTTTCAATACGATCCCGAAACCAAGCGTCAAAGTGCCGCATGGGAGCACCCAGCCAAATCCGGAAAAAAATACTCTTACTATGCACAATTATTTATCTTCAACTGTACATTTGAATTCTTTTCAACACGTTACAAACCTCTGCATGTGAGGCACCAAAAAAATCGTCTCATATGACATACTTGTATGCTGTACATTCTGGGTAACCCGTAAATAAATACTAGTTAAGTAGAATTACAATAAAAATATCTTCACTGGTGAAAAGAAAAGTAAAAATACATCATTACAGCCCTGATGAGTTGCTTGTTGTAACAGTGGGTGGAAATGTACTTTTCACGCGTTGATCTTCTCGTTGATCTCTAAAAATTAATATTTTGAAAATAAAGGATAATCGCCGAAATGTAGATGAAGTGATGTTATGTTAAATGAACGCAGATCACTGCGGCAAAAAAGTGTGGTCATGTAGACTTTCTCAGTAGTCTACTCAATAACTTAACTCTACTTGAAATTCTAGGCTCACGAAAATTGTACGCGTCATTTAAGCAAGAGGAAAAATGTGTGGAATGTCTGGTTTCTCATTTTTTGGCACTTAAAGCGCACTGAAGTAACCAGAAAGGTCAGAAATGTCGAAAAAGGGAGTTTTAGGGAGATCAGAGATATTCTGCGATTTCCCGAGTCATAGGAGGAAATAAGGAAAATGTCCTGAAATGAGTGACATACGACATGGTGCTTTATGATATACATATTATTCAGGTCCAGAAAACATCATTTTTGGATTCAGAATGTTTCTTGGTTACAGTAGTTTCTGCCCAACGTGAGAAGGAACATTAAGGGTCTTGTGAATTTAGATTACTTAACACATTATATTTCATTTCTTATTTTAAAATGAAATATTAGGTTGTAACATGCACGAAAATATCATTTTTTTCTTTAAGGAACCCTCTGCTTGCTATTTTATAGAACTTCAAAGTTGCATTTTGGGTGCTAGTACTGTGGTATAGAATACCGCTTTATAAGCTATTTTCATCTTGTTTATACAAGAGATTGTTCAAAATCAAATCAATAAAATGTGCACTGTAAGTTACTGCGATACTGTTCATCGCAATAATGCAAGTTTGCATTATTTTAATGATGAAAATAGTTCATTGTTAAGTAGTCATTTCTTTTATTTCAGATAATTATTCCCATCACTACACCACCGTCTCTGTCATATATTCTCTCCATCTAGTTGCGATGTTGCCAAATCATGGATAGTAATATACATTAATTTGGTTTGTCAAATTCTTACCTATCCCAGAAGTCGACGTAAAGCCAAAACCGGGTGATAGGCAAAGTCATAACAGCTATCAGAAAAATATTTAAAAAAATTTTATGTATGTGTTTTGAAAATTATAGGTTTTTGAAAAAAATATAGAAATTTCACACCCTACGGCAGTCTGTCAACTCCTGTTACTACAAATATTAACTTTTTTTGGATTTTATTTTTACAATGTAATGATAAATAATGCATCTTCAAACTGGTGTCTGAACCTTATTGCCAACTTTTCTCGTTCAGGACAAATTGCCACTTATTTCCCAACCAAGTATTCCAAAGTAATACTTTGCTCAACTTTAACTGGCTGTACTTGAAAAAAATGTACTACGAGAGTTTGGCAAGTAACCTTAAAAGTTGGCTCATTTAATAAGGATTCCAAAATGGTATAACACTTAGAAGATTACTCGTTAACTTATGCACAATTTTTATTTGAAGAAAAACTGATGAAAATTTTTCAAAATTTCCTAATCAAACAACGATTATGAAAACGCACAAGGACCCTTAAGGATAACTGTTTGCACAGCAGTGGGCGTCAAAATGCTGCTGCTGATGATTTACCTTTACAGCAAATGCTCAAACTGTTTTCCTTCAGCCGCAATACAGGCTCGACATCTTCTTAAAAAAGATCGGGTTATTAAACGAGCGAATCCACGGTTATTAACAAACTCAGCTGCTTCCAATAGTCTTTGCCGTAGCTCAGCTACATTTTGAATCGGCTTGAAATACACTTTTTCTTTTACAGTTCCCCAGTAAAAAAATCTAAAGGATTCAAATCTGGTGACCGGGCTGGCCACGGTATTGTACCAGACCGCCCTATCCATCTGCCTGGAAAGTTTTGATCGAGATACTCTCTCACTGAGAGTGCATAGTGCGCTGGGCAGCCATCATGCTGAAACCACATGTCACTGTAAATACTCAGTGGCACGTCCTCCAATAAATTTTCTAAATGATTTTGCAAAAAACCTAAATAAACCTCAGCAGTCAAAGTCTCTGGGAACTCAAACGGACCGATTATTTTACCATTTAAAATTCCTGTCCAATGGTTTATCTTGAAGCGATATTGAGATTTATCTTCTCTCATCAAATGTGGGTTTGCTACGTGCCACTCGTGTAAGTTCTGCAGGTTCATGTACCCATCTTTCTTAAATGTGGTCTCATCCGACCATAAAATTTTTTCAAAGAACTGTGGATCTTTCCTGTGTCTTTCTAACATTGTGCGACGAAAAGCAAGTCGGGGCTCATTATTCCGGGGCAGGAGAGGTTGAACACGCTGTATGTGGTATGGATGAAGCACATCACTTACTTGCTATTGCACACTTTGATACCGATCAGTACTCCTTCGTTTACTGCGCATTTTTACATGTTCGTGCTTGTTGATTTCGTACTGTTACTAAGTTTGGATTCGTGAACTGGACTGTTGATCGCTTGTGATTTGGATTTGGACTGTTTAATTGCTCTTCAAAACAACATTTGCTTTCCTTAGACTATCTTTGATAGTGTGATTGTGCAGTGCCGCTATGTCCGTGTACACCGTACAAGAATATGGTAACATGCACCTCATTTATGGGGAATGCAGATGCAACGCTAGTGCTGCAGCGAGACTTTACTGTGAGATGTAACCGAATGCAGCTCGTCATCCAGATCATCGAGTGTTCACAAATGTGCACCGCTTACTGTTCTCAGAGGGCCAACTACCAAACCAATCACACGGTGAGGGAAGATCTTTCCTTCCTTACGAAGACGTGGTGCTAGGAGCTGTCGAAGAAGACCCGAGTACTTCAGTGCGTGCAATAGAACTAAAAACATACATACATCCATACCACGTACAGCGTGTTCAAGCTCTTCTGCCCCGGGATTATGAGCCCCGAGTTGCTTTTTGTCGCACAATGTTAGAAAGACACAGGAAAAATCCACAGTTCTTTGAAAAAATTCTATGGTCGGATGAGACCACATTTAAGATAGATGGGTACATGAACCTGCATAACTTACACGAGTGGCACGTAGCAAACCCACATTTGATGAGAGAAGATAAATCTCAATATCGCTTCAAGATAAACCATTGGACAGGAATTTTAAATGGTAAAATAATCGGTCCGTTTGAGTTCCCAGAGACTTTGACTGCTGAGGTTTATTTAGGTTTTTTGCAAAATCATTTAGAAAATTTATTGGAGGACGTGCCACTGAGTATTTACAGGGACATGTGGTTTCAGCATGATGGCTGCCCAGCGCACTATGCACTCTCAGTGAGAGAGTATCTCGATCAAAACTTTCCAGGCAGATGGATAGGGCGGTCTGGTACAATACCGTGGCCAGCCCGGTCACCAGATTTGAATCCGTTAGATTTTTTTTACTGGGGAACTGTAAAACAAAAAGTGTATTTCAAGCCGATTCAAAATGTAGCTGAGCTACGGCAAAGACTATTGGAAGCAGCTGAGTTTGTTAATAACCGTGGATTCGCTCGTTTAATAAACCGATCTTTTTTAAGAAGATGTCGAGGGTGTATTGCGGCTGAAGGAAAACAGTTTGAGCATTTGCTGTAAAGGTAAATCATCATCAGCAGCATTTTGACGCCCACTGTTGTGCAAACAGTTATCCTTAAGGGTCCTTGTGCGTTTTCATAATCGCTGTTTAATTAGGAAATTTTAAAAAAATTTCATCAGTTTTTCTTCAAATAAAAATTGTGCATAAGTTAACGAGTAATCTTCTAAATGTTATACCATTTTGGAATCCTTATTAAATGCGCCAACTTTTAAGGTTACTTGCCAAACTCTCGTAGTACATTTTTTTCCAGTACAGCCAGTTAAAGTTGAGCAAAGTTTTACTTTGGAATACTTGGTTGGGAAATAAGTGGCAATTTTTCCTGAACGATAAAAGTTGGCAGTAGGGTTGAGACACCAGAAGATGCATTATTCATCATTACATTGTAAAAATAAAATCCAAAAAAAGTTAATATTTGTAGTAACAGGAGTTGACAGACTGCCGTAGGGTGTGAAATTTCTATATTTTTTCAAAGACCTATAATTTTCAAAACACATACATAAAATTTTTTCAAATATTTTTCTGATAGCTGTTATGACTTTGCCTATCACCCGGTTTCGGCTTGACGTCGACTTCTGGGACACCCTGTATACTAGCGCAAAAATGTGCAATCGGCACAGGACTGTCATGAAAATGCGATTTGGAGTTGTGGCCGGCAGGTTTTACTGTACTAAATCCACCTTGTGCCCTACGATAGCGTTAGCTAAAGAGACTTTTTTGAAGAATACATTATGCCTTTCACAAAAGGACTTCGGTTAATATTTTTCCTATATTATAGTTATAATCTATTTACTTTTTGTATGTATGTACTTGAAGAATTATTTAAAATGAAGCTGATGTTACAAAATGTACCTAATTAAATGTGATATGAGAAATAAATGTGTATATGTGTATATGAGAAATAACTGAAAAAGTAGCTGTTGCAAATCACTAAATAACGAAAACATACCAAAGAACATTGCAAGTTTTTTGATGATTTGATGAAATGATCGTTGATCTTTATTTTTATAAGCAATGACCGCTGGTACCTTTCGTATTTTTATGTCACGCGAGCCGTTGCTGCATTTTCCACTGTTTAGACACAAACTGTTTATTATTTCATCTAGTTTTCGGTAAATATTGGGTCAACTTTTCGTAAAACAAGCCATTTACAATAAATTAAGACTTTCGTTTTGCAAATAACCTCATTTCTAATTACGTATTTCTTCTAAAAAATGCACAACTTGGCAACAATGAACCTCATTTATCTTGTCTGTCAAGAAATGAGCGGTATAAAATTGCCATTGAGAATTGTTTGTACTTTCAAATGTTTCTTATAAACGCAAAAACTTGGATCTCATTAAAAATTCGCGAAAAAAATGGTTCAGAAATTTCAGGAAGATATTAAAAAATCACAAAACAACACCTCTACACAGTTTACAAAGTAAATACCATCATTTACGTCTGGTTTTGAACCTTTTTTTTGCCAAAAACAACGATTTTTTACAGTTTCACATCTATTTTCCTTAGTACTATACAGTGTATTCTTATAATTTTCCTTTTGTACAAAAATGAAAAAAAGACAGCATATAAAACAGTATTCTATTCTCGAGTATTACCATCAAAAATGCAAACTTCGAAGTCCTATAAAATAGCAAGCAGACGGTTCCTTAAAGAAAAAATGATATTTTCGTAAAAGTCCTAATCTTTCATTTTAAAGTAAGAAATGAAGTATTTGAGATATGCGCTAAAGTATAGTCATACCCACTATGATATTTAATTTTCGATTTAGGGACAATTTAATATGTCTTTGTGGAAACGTCCCAAAAAATGAAAACCTACGTAATTTATGAAAAAAAATCCTAAAAATGAATACCCTAAAAATAATGAGAAAAATGAGTCCGTGGTACCAGGATTAGCAAAACTACTCATTGGTGGCAATCTTACCAGTGTTTTTCGACCAATGTAGTGATCAAATAATGGATAACGGAACGAATTTCTTAATGTATTGAACAAATTATGGATAACGGAACTAATTTCTTACTTACTTGAAAAACGCTAAATGCTGTTCTAATAAAAATCTATTATTGCAATGCTTCAGTTCTGGCCAGTGACTCAAGACTCGTCGGAGATACACTTGTAATCTTTTTCTTCTATCTTCGACTAATGCAGAGTCCTATAAATGAATAGAATTTACTTGAACAGTAATTTCTGCAGCTTCGATAACATGCTAGGTTGCCTCTTGGCTGAGAATTTGTCGGTTGAATGAACTTGTGTAGAGAAAATCTACGTGCCAAAAAAAGCATATAGTTTGTAATAATTGAAACCAGGACTAACCTTTTTACCTATACTTTTCTTAGGAGGAAAATCAAATGCTGCTACAGCAGGATCTAACTTTTTCAGATCGGTGTGTAGGGCATGGAATTGAGCATATCGTCTGTAAATATTCCATTCGTCATTTCCTACTTTTAGATATATTTGATACACATGATGCGAATTCGAACCACTACCTAAAATTACAAAAACCTCAACCACCAGTACATTTCATCGAATAAATTCAATTTGCAACACTGCTACAAATTATCCAAAGTTTCCTTATTATTTAAATCCTATTTCTATATTCTCATCTACCATATTAATTTTTCTTGTATACCGAAGAAGCCGCGCAGGCAGACGCCTAAATACCAGGGCACGGCGGCTGCTACGTGGAGCTTAAAGAAACTTTGTTATTCCTATTTTTGAACTACCTAAGATTAATAGAACTGGGAAAAACCTTCTGAGGTAGATTGTTCCACAATCTCGATATTCTAGGGACAAAGGAGCGGTCGTATCGGCCAGTTAAGTAGAGTATATCGGTAGTTACCAGTAAGAAATGCGGAAGGTATCCAGACATGAACACTACTTGATTCTCCTATTCTCATTTCAGGTACGGGACCTCTGAGTATTTCGAGCTCCTTTTTAAGCTTCTCTATCATCTGATCTTTTTGAAAAATAGTCTGTTGCAGCATAACGTTAAAATCCATTAATTCCGCGTGCATATCGGCAACCTAAAAACGTTATCTGATATATAATGATGAAAACATGACCAACCAAAACCATATCTCAATGTTATTAGATTGTAATGTCTCTCGAATTTTATCAAAAAATATAAGCTACATCAGAAATTTCTACTAGAAATCGAAACACCATAAAAAATATCCAATTTTTTTTCTAAATATTTGTACTAGCTGCTTCAACAATAGCAGAATCGAGCCTTAGTGGAATATGTTGATCATTCGTTTAACAAGGCTTACCTGTATTAGTTTTTGTTCAAAGAATCTAGCCTCCGACTTGTAATCCGGTTGCCCCTCAATCTGCAACCCCTCTAATGCCTTGTTCAACCCCTCGTCATCCCTCCTCAACATCTGGATTGCACTCATATATTTTTTAACTTGCTCTTTTAACCCTTCATTTTCCTTTGACAATAACTGTATTTTTTCCTCTTTTCTTTCCAATTCTTCCTTGTTTTTCTCTTCAACCGCAGTCAGAACGGCACTGATGTCTGACGGTACCTCGACAGCATCGTCGGCTCTGTCACCAGTCTAAAAATATAATCTATCTAAAAGTTCAAATTTCTGAATTCTATTACGTTAAATTTAAGAACGCTTTTATACTTATTACCTACGCGTACTAAATTTAATTAACTAAATTTAGTGAACTAACCCTAGTTTGTTAACTAATACTATTAATTTAAATTTAAGAACGCTTTTTTACTTACGCTTACTAAATTTAATTAACTAAATTTAGTTAATTAAGCCAAGTTAACTAATACTATTTATTTAAATTTAAGAACGCTTTTATACTTATTACTTACGCGTACTAAATTTAATTAAGTAGACTTAATTAACTAAACCCAGTTAACTAAATCTTATTAATTCAAATTTAAGAACGCTTTTACACTTATTAGTTAAGCGTACTAAGTTTAATCAACTAAATTTAGTTAACTAAACCTAGTTAACCAATACTATTAATTTAAATTTAAAAACGCTTTTATACTTTTTACTTACGCGTACTGAATTTAATTAATTGAATTTAGTTAGCTAAGCCTAGTTAACTAATACCATTAATTTAATTTTAAGAACGCTTTTATAGTTATTAATTACGCGTATTAAATTTAATTAACTAAATTTAGTTAACTAGGCTTAGTTAACTAAACCTAGTTAACAAAATCCTATTATTTCAAATTTGAGAACGCTTTTATACTTATTACTTACGGGTACTAAATTTAATTAATTGAATTCAGTTAACTAAGCCTAGTTAACTAATATTATTAATTTAAATTTAAGAACGTTTTTGTACTTATTACTTACGCGTACTAAATTTAATTAACTAAATTAAGTTAACTAAACCTAGTTAACTAAAACTATTAGTTTAAATTTAAGAACGCTTTTATACTTATTACTTAAGCGTACTAAGTTTAATCAACTAAATTTAGTTAACTAAACCTGGATAACCAATACTATTAATTTAAATTTAAAAACGCTTTTATACTTATTACTTACGCGTACTGAATTTAATTAATTGAATTTAGTTAGCTAAGCCTAGTTAACTAATACCATTAATTTAATTTTAAGAACGCTTTTATACTAATGAATTACGCGTATTAAATTTAATTAACTAAATTTAGTTAACTAGGCTTAGTTAACTAAACCTAGTTAACAAAATCCTATTATTTCAAATTTGAGAACGCTTTTATACTTATTACTTACGGGTACTAAATTTAATTAATTGAATTCAGTTATTTAAGCCTAGTTAACTAATATTATTAATTTAAATTTAAGAACGTTTTTGTACTTATTACTTACGCGTACTAAATTTAATTAACTAAATTAAGTTAACTAAACCTAGTTAACTAAAACTATTAGTTTAAATTTAAGAACGCTTTTATACTTATTACTTAAGCGTACTAAGTTTAATCAACTAAATTTAGTTAACTAAACCTAGTTAACCAATACTATTAATTTAAATTTAAAAACGCTTTTATACTTATTACTTACGCGTACTGAATTTAATTAATTGAATTTAGTTTGCTAACCCTAGTTAACTAATATGATTAATTTAATTTTAAGAACGCTTTTATACTTATTAATTACGCGTATTAAATTTAATTAACTAAATTTAGTTAACTAGGCTTAGTTAAATAAACCTAGTTAACTAAATCCTATTATTTCAAATTTAAGACCGCTTTTATACTTATTACTTAAGCGTACTAAGTTTAATCAACTAAATTTAGTTAACTAAACCTAGTTAACCAAACCTATTAATTTAAATTTAAAAACACTTTTATACTTATTACTTACGCATACTAAATTTAATTAATTGAATTCAGTTAACTAATACTATTAATTTAAATTTAAGAATGCTTTTGCACTTATTACTTACGCGTACTAAATTTAATTAACTAAGTATAGTTAACTAATACTGTCAATTTAAATTTAAGAACGCTGTTAAATTTATTACGTACGCGTACTAAATTTGATTAACTAAATTAAGTTAACTAAACCTAGTTAACCAATACTATTAATTTAAATTTAAAAACACTTTTACACTTATTACTTACGCGTACTAAATTTAATTAATTGAATTCAGTTAACTAAGCCTAGTTAACTAATACTATTAATTTAAATTTGAGAATGCTTTTGCACTTGTTACTTACGCGTACTAAATTTAATTAACTAAGTTTAGTTAACTAATACTGTCAATTTAAATTTAAGAACGCTGTTAAATTTATTACGTACGCGTACTAAATTTGATTAACTAAATCAAGTTAACTAAACCTAGTTAACTAATACTATTAGTTTAAATTTAAGAACGCTTTTATACTTATTACTTACGCGTACTAAATTTAACTAACTAAATTTAGTTAACTAAACCTAGTTAACTAAATCCTATTAATTTAAATTTAAGAACGCTTTTATACTCATTACTCACGCGTACTAAATTTAACTAACTAAACCTAGTTAACTAAATCCTATTAATTTAAATTTGAGAACGCTTTTATACTTATTACTTACGCGTACTAAATTTAATTAACTAAATTTAGTTAACTAAACCTAGTTGACTAAATAAACGGTATGGTATTGGTATCTATATCTGAAGTTAATTTGATTGGAATTTCGCTGATAAATATCGATGGAATTCCTAAAGGTCGTTTTTTATACCGAAGCAGCCGCGCAGACAAAAGCCTAAATACCACGGCACGGGGAGCTTTATTAATCCGATTTTGGAACTGCCAGATTATGCTCCTGCAACCTGTATCAAGACAAAAATACGTACGGCTGAAAAATTTTCATTAATTTCCACAGACACTGGCCTCAGCTCCCCGATCTCCTCCTGAGTGACAGGCGTCAAAGACTCGACATTAGAATAGTACTTCTCCCTTGATCCACTATTTTCTATTGACAGCTTCCGTTCCCTTATTTCCACTGACGGCGTTTCGGTAGGCTGTTCCATTTTTTTTCTACTCATTCGTTTAGGTTTTGCCTTGATACTTTTTGTGTACTCTAGTGAAAAGCTGTCAGAAGTGGTACTGCTGGAGCTTGACGGAACGCTAGTTGAGATGGCACTATCGTCATCGTCAAAGGATATCAATTGTCTAGCGACTTTTCTTTTTTTCTTGGGCTTCACACTTTCCTTTTTATCTAGAAAACAACAACAAATAAATATTAACTGTCCTCTTATTATGTGGTCTTTCTACGAGGGTTTGTTCTTGAAGCATTGGTTAACGTAATTCTCTAGAAGATACCTGTGTCTGCGTAAAAATAACCGATAAATATCTCTAACACACGTGTTTACCCAGACTTTTTAAAAACATCAATAGCTTTTCCTACGGAGTGCCAAACGATTTACCGGAAAATACTCAAATTTAATCTTAAATTAGTAGTACCAGTCTCCTTCACACTAACGCAAAACTAATGACGTATATACTTTACACTACTTTCACGTGAGCGGAGTCTAGTATGGCATAAATGGAAGCTTTTTCAACATCCAAATACAGCATGAGATTGGGCATCTTCTAGGATCTAGGGATTTCAAATTTATCTGTAAAATTAAATTTGACAATAACCTGGTATGGGAGCTTCAATTATAGGTTCTGCTTTAGCCTTCAATGCTGCAGGTCTACGTGCTATACCGCTATTTAGTTCAGGTTTGTCAATACTTATTGCAAACAGTATTGATGCTAGACCTGCTGCCATGTTAGGCAGCATGCTGTTTTTCTCATCATCTCGTAATATTGCCCAGGTTTCATAATGTTCTTTTAGTATCTCTTGATTGCTCAAAACTGTGTGGAAGTACCTACGAAAGGGAATTAAACGTTTTAACGATATGCAAAGTACTTAGGTTCTATGTATTTACTCATAGTAGAACGTAATTACTTCACATAACCATGAGAAAGAATATTATTGAATGATATAATAAATGTTGATGGTACTTATACTATACCAATCGCAAAAAATCGACCGTTCGTCATCCAGATCACCTACGATACAGACTAAACCTTATTTACACGTTAATGCATGTTCTAATATCACGACGATGAACGCAAAATACAGATATTTATTTTTCAATAAACTCAGGTTTATAATTTAATTTCTGTAGGACTTTAATTACAACTTAATTCGTAACAGTGCATATGTGGGTAAAATTTGTCGGATAAGTTGTGAAACACCCTGTATAATAAAGTGCATACTAATGTTATATCGTTTTGCATTGACGCATTCTGCGTCACTGATAAGTAAAACTCTTGCTACTGGTTGCGGTAGGACCAATGATGTCGAAATGGGTTCTTACCAATATTAGCTACCAATATTTGCTACTTCCCAAGTATAGTATAAACCAAGTGAAGTATGCTCATGAACTATGGGATTAATTTTATAAAAGTCAACCTAACAAAAATAAGCAAAATGAATTCCTGTCAGTCCCTCTAGAAATTTTTGGAAAGTCATTAGAAACCTTAGAAGGACTTCAAATTTAGGTTTTAATTCTTCTTCATTTTTTTTTCGTTGCAAATCCGCCCTCAATACACCAATTTATAGAAAATACCAGGATGTTTCTCCTTTGTCTAAAGTAATAATTTACATCACAATTTCATACAAATTTGAATATTTAAGTTTGCCTCATGAAAGGGACAAATATTGCGGATTTTTTTTTAGATTAGATTATAATATTGCTACTGGACTGATTTACAGAAACTATAAAGACACAACAACCGAAATGCGTTAAATAGTTCTCATATATTTATTGTCAAAAACTTAGAAAACATGGACTAGTAGCCAAACTCCTATACAACAATCATGAAGTTTGAAAATCATATTCCATTTTAACAGGTTTTTCATCCTTGTCTTTAATTTTTTTACGTTTGGTCAATGTTGCATTTTCATTCAAATATTGATCAGGCATTATAAACCAGTATATAGTACTTTAAAATTACAAAAAAAATGGCATCATATTGCGAAATCAATGATATTTTAATTTATTACATAACTGGTTTATTCTTTACATTATTATGAATCAAGGTAATTCCTAAAATAAATTAATCCATAATATCATGTTGTCTTTCATATTTGTACCCAAATGTAAATATAAATAATTGTAAGCTCAAGGAAGTGAGGGTAGGCTCTATATACCTTTCTAAAGACTTCTCATTCAACGCAGACCTGATCCAAGCCTTTCCTCTGCCACTGTCAGTCCAAATTTGCTTTAGAGCTTCAAACCTCTCTTGCTCATGTTTTGTCAAGTGTTTATTAACAAATGGCCAGAATGCTACAAAAAGAAAGCAAGAATTTTGTCTCTTTTAATGATAATAAAAAAGGTGTCATTACTGTTACAACATTACATGTTTAAAAACCCTCAGAGATTGAGATATTTCCTCAAAATGCAAAATATTAAGCATTTCTCAATATTTCTGATTTTGAAACTAATTGGCGAAATTTTTGGTAGATAATATAAAGTTATTGATATACTGAGTTAATAAGTATCTATAACAACGCATGCAAATTAAAAATATAGGTGCCTGAAGGTAAACACAACTTTCATTTTTTAATACACTGATATTTGATTGTGGATTGTTGGGGGTACAGTATAGCTCGTAATGCTATTTATCAGAATTTTCATCAAATGAAATGTTATAGTAGTAAGGTCCAAATTACAGACATCCAAATGTATGTCAAGATGTGTGATACAAATAACAATAATTTATTCACATTACTTTATAACACACTAAGCAAAAGTTAAATCCATAAATGGATCACATAATGCAACTTAATAGCCTGTTTAACTTAAGTTTCTGATTGTGCCTTAAATATAAGCAAAAATAGATCACCAATTCAACTATTTTAAGCATTTGTGACCTCATTTAAGACTGTTCCACCAAAATAATGCATATTGTAGAGTAGACACATCATTTTGAAGCTATGTTGATTTAATATGCTAAGCATATCGACCCCTGCAAGGAAGACTATTGTAACTCAGTTTTGGTTGAACTGAGATATAGGCATTAGAAGATTTTCTGATGGATTTCGTGGTCAGAAAAATGATGATCTCATCAAAAATATGTTGCACATTGCAGTAATTCTTGTACTTAGAAGGTTATAAATGGTATTACTATACAAACCTAGCGAAAATGACAATTTCTTTTATAAATCTTGCTAAATGCTAGAAAGACTGTTTGCTTTTGATTTACATAGGTCTAATAACCGATTTAATTTTCTAGGATCAACTGGAAGCAAGCTTGTATAGAACAAAGGTAGTTCCTGAAGCGTATTGTTTTGCAGTCTCATTCTCTGATAAATAATCAACGTTACTATTGGGAAATCATCAGCATAGTCACACTTATATGTCATTTCACAAGGCACTTATCTTATACATTTTCAACTTTTTACCACAATCATCTTTGTTCCAATTTTCTGATTTTACATTTAATTTAAAACTAATTAATCCTCGACCAATCGCAGAAAGGGCTCTTTAGCCCTCATCAGTAGCAAGGATTTTTTACTCACTATAGTCTTCGTTGCAGGGGTCGATATGACAAAGTATTGTGAAAACCTTACATGGACTTTCATTAGCAATATGTAAGCTTTGAGCAACAATTCCTGAAACTTGTTTTAAAGCAGATGAAGCATTCTCAGCATTCAATGGCTTTGGTTTCAATCCATGGAGGAAAATTGCTTCCAAAGACAAACACAATCCAGCAACACAACTATCAAATTCAGTGGCAAGTTCCGTTTTACCACCGTATCTTTTCTGGCATTCCTTTACACATTCCAGCAGTTGCTTCAGTAGGTCTGCTCCTTCGTTAGAGCTAGTTTCATTTGGTGATGAAGACGTTGCTATTACCGACATCAGTTTCAAGGGCTACAAAATAATGGGCGTCGGATTATTGAATACGGAAAAGAGGGGATTAATAATACCATAATAGACGATTACGGAGAAAATAATGCAGAGTCCACACATGTTCTGGTGAGAATACTCATATTGTGGAACCAAATATTATCAGACAGGGCTTATCGACAGATGGAGATAAACATGCGTTTGGGGATAATGTTTTGATAATAATGTGGTTTGGGAATGGAAATAAACCAATGTTAAATCATCCGAGATGCAACGCAACAATACTAGATGACGTTTCTTTGTTTATTCAGTTGATTGATTCATACCTAGTACGTTGAATGTCAATTTATAACAAATCATCAGTGTTAAGCCCCCCACCGACGTCGTTTTTTCCTGTTCGATCCACGACGTCCTTACGTGTCATCCGAAATCACGGATATAGTCCAATTCCAATCTGTGTACCTAGGCATGATATCTCAGGTCAACTATGAACCACAACTTTGAGCTGAGGGTATGATATTGATCCTTAGAAGTACGGGTACTTACAACGGATTTTATAGGAGGGCACAGAAACGCGCTCCTCTCAACAGACGTACGAGGGTGGTCCTAGAAGTACCCGACCCAACGGAGAAAACACAAAAATTTTGTAAAAAAATTTATTTATTTTTCAACATAATCTCCTTTAAGCTCTATACACTTCTTCCAGCGATGTTCAATAAGTTCTATACCCTTTTTATAATAAGAACTGTCTTGCGCCTCAAAATAGCCTTCAACTGCCGACATTACTTTCTTCATTGTTGGAAAATCTTTGACCACTGAGCCATTTTTTTTTTTTAATTTTGCAAACAAAATATTCCGAGGTGGTTAAATCTGGTGAATAGGGTGCATGAAACTTAATTCGTCAATTTTGGCCATTGCAATAACGGATTTGTGAGCTGGTGGATTGTCTTGATGAAACAACACTTTCTTCTTAACCAAATGCGGCCGTTTTTGCTTGATAGTTTTACGTTTCAAGATAGTCAATGAAAATTATCCCACGCGCATCCGAAAAAACCGACGCCATAACCTTGCTTGCAGATGAAACGGTCTTCGCCTTCTTTAAAGCCGGTTGTCCCTTTCGAGTCCATCGTTTTGATTGTTCTTTTGTGTCGGGTGTGAAGTGATGGACCCATGTTTTATCCATGGTTATGAAACGACGCAAAAATTCTGCTTTGTTGCTGTGAAACTTCGCTAAACACTCAATTGAAACATCTTCACGACACTGATTTTGCCCGATTGTGAGCAATCGCGGCACCCATCTTGCACACAGCTTTCTCATGTCAAAATTTTCAGATAATATGCGATGAACCGCAGCTTTTGAAATGCCTACTATGTCTGCTAGCTCGCGCACTTTCAGTCGACGATCATTCAGTACCGCTTTGTAAATTTTCTTCACCATTTCTGGAGTCGTCACCTCATTTGGTCGACCACTGCGTCTTGGCAGCTCATGCGGCCTCGTTTAAACTCTACTACCCAATATTTTACTGTTGTAAACGAAGGAGCAGACTCGCCCACGGTATTTTTTTTTTTTTTTGGTGAGGGGGGAATGCATTTACGCACCATACCATAGCCCGAGCTACGGCGTGTGTGGGACTCCAGGGTCTTGAGGAGAGCACCTAATACCCACTAAACCCTAAACCTCCGCGTGGCACGACTCATCAGCGTCTCGGTAGGCCATGTGTTGTGCGTGACCTGCGGTCTGCTACAACGTCTACTCATGTGTTTCAGTCTCTGGGAACGCCGGGTTGGTTCCCTTTACCTCGCACATTCTATCGATGTCGTTAAGCGATCATCGATAGAGGGTCTGCTGGTTCTCTTGAAACTCTTGTTTTCGAAAAATCAAGAGTTTCAAGTCCTCTTACCAATATGTTGTTCCTGGTCCTGGTCCTGGTGGGTCCTGGTCGTGGCGGGTCCTGGTCCTGGTCCCGGTGGTTCCTGGTCCTCTGCATCCACGCCATGGGGGGGAGGGTAGCAACCGCGGGTCCTCCTAGTCTCCTAGTCAAGGTTCCAGTTAGCGGGTGCCAACTGGGACCTTGGTCTGGGGTACCTGGTTCTGCGGTTGCGAGGCCTCTCGTCCGGATCGTAGTTCATGAGGAATCGTAGCTGCTCGTTCGGGTGGTCCTGAGCTTTCTCGAAGGTCTTCTCCGCTTTTTTCCTCATGTACTCGTGGATGGTGTCCCAGTGCAGGTCTCTACGCAAGGTTGAGTTTCTTACGTAGGATGGTGCACTGGTGGCGATCCGGAGTAGCTTCATCTCTAGAGCAGCAAGTCGCTTGCGGTAGCTGGGGGCAGCGTACCCCCAGACCGCGGAGGCGTAAGCGAGCTGAGGTCTGGCGATGGCCTTGATCAGCCGTAGCTTGGTCGCTAGCGGCATCTGGCTGTGTCTACCCAGTAATGGATAGAGTTGAGCCATGGCTGCTCTGGTCTTTGCGATGACAGCTTCTATGTGCGCTTTCCAGGTGAGGGACTTGTCAAATACGATCCCCAGATATTTGACATTGTCGCTCCACTGGATATCTTCGTCGAAGATGGATGCTTCGAGAGGTCTTGCAATCCATCTTCGTTGAATGAAGATTGCCTGCGTCTTCTGGACGTTGATGCGGATTTTCCATTTCACGCACCAGTCCTGAATGTGGTCCAGTTCATCCTGTAGTCTCCTACGGATGATCTCGGGTCGTCTATGCTTGGCGGCTATAGCAGTGTCGTCTGCATATAGGGCCAGCATTGTGTCAGCTGTCTTCGGCACATCGTGAGTATAGATGTTGTAGAGCAGGGGGGCTAAGGCTGACCCCTGGGGCACGCCTGCTTCCAGCTGTCGTCTTGTTGAATGGCATGTACCAATCTTCACCGTGAACCATCTTTGTGTTAGATAGCTCTGGATCAGTTGGCACATGTTCGCATCGATTCCGACGGCTTCCATTTTGGCGATGAGTCCATCGTGCCAAACTCGGTCGAAGGCTCGTTCCACGTCCAGCAGGACGAGACCAGTTGCCTCCTGGAGATTGAAGCCGCTGGTGATGTTTTCTGTCAGTCGTAGCGCTTGGAGTTCCGTGTTGTGCGAGGATCTGAAGCCGAATTGCTCTGGGGGGAGAAGTTGCAGTTCTTCTGCCTGCTTCTCTAGTCGAACGGCGATAGCCTTTTCGACTACTTTGCCCATCGAGGAAACCAGGCTGATGGGCCGGTAGTTCTGGGGCAACTTCCGGTCCTTGCCTGGCTTGGTGAGCATTATAACCTGGGCTTCCCGCCACCGCCGCGGGAAGTGGTTAAGTCTCAGGGTGGCATTGGCGATGTTGGTGAGCGCAGCAATGCCTTTGGTGGGGAGGTTCTTCAGCATCCTGTTGTTGATGCCGTCCCTTCCCGGCGCCTTTCTGACCTTCAACCTGCGGATGATCAGACGGATTTCCCCTGGACTGGAGGGGTGATCCGTCTCCTGGCCAGGTGGTCGACTCCTCATGTTTTCGGCTGCGACTTCCACGGCCTCCTCGTGGTTGTCGTCCTCGTCTTCATGGTAATTGAGTCTGCATTCGGATTCTAGCGAATCGGCGAATGCTTCGGCTTTTTCTTCACTGGAGTAGGCCAAGCCGCGTTGGCCGTGAAGAGTGGGGATCGTGGTGCGCTGACGACGAAATTTTCGCTGCATAGACCAGGCCGTACCATCCTGGGTCTCCAGTTCTGCACAGGCTGCATTCCATCTGCTGTTTTGGAGTTCCGCGAGTGCGTTCTTCAGAGCTAACGATGCTCTGTTTCGCGCAACTCTCGACTCCTCTGTCAACAGTTGGAGATGTTCTCGCTTGAGTCTTCTGTTCTCCCTGATCAGGTGCCTAATATGGTGCGGTGCTGGACCATTTAGGTGTCTAGGAACTGCCGTAGTCTCGGAGCGGGTGCTGTCCTCGTGCGCTCGCAGGTCAGCATTCTCCAGCTCCTCTACTGCGTTGTCCAGTTCCTCCGCTGATCGGATGGTTGGAATTTGAGTGATGTTCCTTTGGACGTTGGATTTGTACAGGTTCCAGTTCGTCCGTTTGGTGCTCAAGCTACCTCGAGTTCTAGACCCTGTGCCAAGTGTTAGTAGAATCGGATTGTGGTCCGACGATCCTTCCACCAGGGTCTCTATCTCGAACTCCTCTCTGATGTTGCGGAGGATGGCTATGTCCAGTACCGCAGGTCGCCCAAGGCCGAATGGAATGTAGGTTGGTTGCTCCGGACCGACGATGACCCCCGCCAGGGCATCGACGTGTTCCTGGAGCTGCCTTGCATTCCTGTCTTCGACGTTGTTGTTCCATGCCGGAGACTTGCAGTTTAGATCTCCGATGACTATGCGTGCTCCTGGGCCTCTCAGGAGGTCAGCGATGTCATCTTCGTCTAGGGCCTCCCCTGGTGGCACATATAGGGAGGTGATTCTGTAGGGACGGTGGTTGTGATGGACCTGGACCGTGATTCCGTCCCCATTTATGTCTGCGGCATCGTCGAGGACATGACTCGTCAAGGTACGTTTGACGAGTAATGCGACTCCTCCACCTCTGCCCCTTCTGTCGTAGCGGTACGTCTCGTACCGCGGGAACGTCAGACTATGGGCAGCATCCAATTTCGTTTCTTGGATGGCCATCACCTCTGGTTGGTACTGGTCTAGTATCTCCTGGATTTCTGGTTTCCGTGCCCTGAATCCGTTGATGTTCCAGGAGATAATGCGTAGAGATTCTACGTTTTGCCCTGTAGACATTTCGGGTCTAGTGCTTGTCTTGCATCTTGGCCTCGAGTGCATCCAGGCGGGTTATGATGGCTTGCATCATTGCTAGCAGTTTGTCATCGCCGTGTTGCTTCTGCGCAGTAGTTCCAGTAGCAGTGGCGGCTGCTGGGGCAGAAGTGGACATAGGTTTCTTCGCTTTTTGAGCGTAAGAAGTCCTATTTGTGGTGGGGACTGCTTTGGGGGCAGAAGCAGCTTTCTTCGGGGCCTTACTACATCCCTTGTAGTTGGCGGGGTGGCCTTCTCCACAGAGGCAACACTTGGCGTTTCGTTGCCCTGTTGGCGGCGCTGGCAGACTGCAGCTGTTGCTGTTGTGGTCCTCTCCACACTTAACGCACCGTTCAGCGAGACGGCAGTTCCGCTGTGTGTGCCCGTACCGCTGGCAGCGGTAACATTGGCTGGGCTCGGAAGACTTTTTCTTCCTCTCGAAGCTGACCGTGAGCATGGCCAGCCTCTGGATCTCTGCAAGCTTTTCCGGCATCTTCGTCTTGACGAGGAAGATGAGGTCATCTGCTGAACCTCGGCGTCTGCGATGCCTTGGCTCACTAGATCCTCTTTGATGTCATTGACTGACATCTCCCTGGGTAGCCCACGAATGACCCTCTGGTCCATCCTGTCCTCCTTCAGTTGATAGGTGAAGAAGGGCCGCTTGATGGATTCCAGCAGTGCGACTAGCTGACGGTAGTCAGCTGGTGTATTTGTGAACACCTTCACACTGTTACCCGCCGTCCTCGCCTTGGAGAATTGGATCCCCTTGCTGTTCATCATCCTGCTTAAGGATGACCAGTCAGCGGTGCCCTCGATGCTGATGGGGGGAACTCCTGTTCTCGACATGGGGGGCACGATGGTCCTGGCTGCTCTAGGACTCTTCTTGGTGGCAGCAGCTGGCATCTTTGGCTGCCTGGGCGACTCATCTTCGGAGGAGGAAACTCGCACCCGCTTCCTCCGTCTAGTGGCGACACTGAAATCGGTGTCGTCGGTCCTCTTCTCGGCTTCTTCTTCTATTTCTTCGGTCCGTTGAGTGCCCTCTTCCTGAGCGTCCATCTCGTCCGACGTAGCCTGGTGGTCCTCTTCCTCCTCTTCTTCTGTCTTCTTTGCGGCCTTCTTCTTGGCCCTGCGGAGCTTCCCATTCAGCTCCTCGATCTCCTGTTGAGCCTGCAAGAAGGCTTCTTGCAGGTTTCGCATCTGCTCTCCCAGCATGGCGAAAGCATCTTTCTTTTCTTTCAGCTGGTTAGCCAGCTTCTCAATTTTTGCCATCGTAGATGGCAAACAACCAATCTATCGCAATGAAAATTGCAATAAGATTGCTCAATATGTCCGGGTGGGTCGCAGTCGCACAAGTGTATACTCGCGACGGCTGCTAGCTCGGAACTGGATCCGCCCACGGTAGAATCCAGTGAAGCTCTTATATTGGTTGGGTGGAGGCCTTTGAAATAGTACCAGTATTGTACCACATATCGATGACCAATTTTCTCCATTTTCACAAATTCACTGAACACGTTCAGTATTGATGGCTGCCAACAAATACTAAACAACGTGGCGTCTTCAAACTTGACACATATGCTTTATAAGTTGCATACTTTCTAATACAATGATATTTTTCAAACAACTATCGCCATCTCTAGGTCAGGCCGGGTACTTCTGGGGCCACCCTCGTACAAGCCTACCATTTTTTTGCAATAGAACGATGCAAAGTTCCTGTATTTTTCGCGCTGACATACGTCCCTCCTCTAGACGTATCTCACCTCGTAACAACTTTGCGCGTTGAGCCGGCCCAAGAAGAAAGTGTTACGTCAGTGACGGCCCTAACACAGTGCTACTCTGGTTGCCTATACCAGCTTTCATAGGCGTCAAACCCACCCCACATGACGTGCCTGACAGACGTCATATTTACGTTTTGCAAGTATTTTCCTTGTCAACAAAAATCGTCACCGGTGTCTAGTTTATTCAGTTTTTGGAAAATCGCTCAAAATGAGTTGTCCAATAAGCAAAGAAGCCCTTGTGCAACTAAAACAATTTATTGACGTATGCAAGTCGAATGCTGCCATTCTACACCTGCCAGAACTCAAGTTCTTCAAGGAGTTCATTGAAGCACTAGGTATTAGCAGAAAGGAAACATGCTTGTGGTCCATATATAACATTTTTTTCTTCTAACCAAGGTGGTAAAATTCCGGTCGCCCCCAAGATGTCGGCTGGTCCCAAAGTGGAGGTCCCAGAAGAACCTGCCAAGCCTACCGAAGAGCCTGTAGAGTCTGACCCAGAGTCTGATATAGAGCTTGACATGAGTGGATGTGTCGAGCCTGATATGCTTGATGAGAATCAGAAAATGGGAGACCCAAATAAGGAGGTAAAATATTACAATTCTAATATGGATTTTTTTTACATGAATCTGTCTAAAACTACATGATTATATCTCTCTAATAATATCTATAATTTTTACCATTCCAAGTTGATGTTTATTCTTTCATCCCATGTGAGATTTGGGGACAGTTTTATATATAACTGACTGGCTTGTTTCTCTAAAGACTTTAGAATAAAATCAAATAGATTCAATCAACAAATTCAAAATAGATTAGGAGCCAAACCTATATGTTTACATTGCATTTTTTTCACCAAAATTACGTAGTTTTAGTGCATAGTTTTCACCCATTCATCTACCAATCCCCAGCAAAGTGTCAGTATAACAGTAATAATAATGCTTACTGGTGCAAACATTTACCTTCATTATGCTTGTGCTGCTCATGTAAGAAGAAGTTTCAATTCCTTGGGTGACTCCTTCTTCTATCTAGTCTGAATTTATTGGATTTAAGAGATTCAATTCAATTGCTTATTACTAATTTTTTATAGATATTTTCCCACTTTTTTATAGATATTGGCAAGCATATTCTTGAATAGTTTCCAGAATATGTTTTCAGCTGCTCTAGTGCTTGATTTACTAAATCTTATTCTTTAGAACAGGGCTGTCCAACTTAATGTGGCCCAAGGGCCACTTAAAAAAAAAATGCAGTTTGGAGGGCCGCATTATAAAATCTTTCTATACAACATTATTACAGAGTTAATGTAAGAATTGTGCATATTCGGTATTTGAGAGTAATTTATACATGTGATGATGACCCGGGCCGCAAGAAAGGAGTTCCATTCATGCGGCCTGCAGGTCGTATGTTGGACAGCCCTGCTTTAGAAAATCATACCCAGAAAGAAGACTAGGGCTCTTAAGGCTGGTGATTTGGGAGCCATATAACATTGGTTAGTGTGGAGATGAAAGACTGAAAAAATTGTTTGCAAAACACTGATTGTTTTTTAAGCATTACTCTGACCTGTTGCAACCACATCTCTTGAAGGTTTTGTTGTCAAACTTTGGAAGCCACAAAGCTTTGCATCATATTGTGCTACAGATTTTACCAGTGGCAGTACCTGCAGCTTGTCATTGGACCTTACCTTAGTGTTTTCTCAATGCAAATGTTTTCTGACCTCCAATATTACTAGCTTTAACAGACGTTTCTGTGATTTATATGAAGTTTGGTTTAATGACGACAAATCAAACGCAAAATTTCATTATGTCATATATAGAGAAGCGCGGAAGCGTGCAGTACGCATGTCAGAAAGAGTTGGAAGCGTGTGAGAGAGATGGATGTATGAAAGTAATTCCTGTAGTAGAGAGATATAGATCTGAGGCAACAAACCACACTATAAATATTTCTACTGAAGAAACCTCCCAAAAGGTGATGGAAAATGTGATTAAGATAGCGCATATTTGTAGGGCTTCCTTTGACATCATTTTTCATACATAACTCATTAAAAGATCAAGATTTCGTTTCTTAAACAAATCAGTCAGTATTTAACAGACGATTCTTTGAGTAATTTTAAGGCAAAAAGTTCATATAAACAAATTCCGCAAATTCTTAGTTCTCAATATACAGGGTGACTTCGAAGTTGAGTCATTTATTTTAACAGTGAGTAGATCTGATCAAAAGAAATGTTTTTTCCTTTACCATTTTTCTGGTAAAATTAAAGTAACAAAGTTATAGCCCTTTGGAAGTTTGAGTACTGCCCTGTCTCAATAATGATATTATGTTCTCGTGTTTGGCAACAACAGATATAATCCGCCTTATCCGTTCATCGCATCGGAAACAAAAAAGCGAAAGAATTTGGAACGATCTTTTTACAATTATTTTCTTCAGTTGTATACAGTCAGTATCAGTCGGTAGTCGGTAACGCGTAAGTGAATAATCGTGTCTGTTGCGAGGCTCAAATCAAAAATGGCACATGTTTACGAAAATGCTGAACTTGTGGACATGGTTCTTATTTACGGGGAGTCTTTACAAAATGCTGCCGCGGCATCACGGATCTATGCGGATCGGTTTCCCAATCGAGTGCAACCAACCCCTCGTGCCTTTGTTAATGTAGTGCAAAGAGCTCGTGAATCAGGTGACTTAAGACCTCACAGAGGAGATCATGCCAGTGCTCCAAGACCACACGATCAAATAGAACTAGGAGAACAAATTTTAGAATTAGTAAGTGATGATCCAACAGTAAGCACCCGACAAATTTCAACTCAATTGGCGATTAGTCAGTATAAAACTTGGAAAACTCTACGTGAAAATCAGTTCTATCCGTTTCACATACAAAAAGTGCAGGCCTTACAACCGGAAGATCATGAACAAAGGGTTGACTTTTGCAATTGGCTTTTAAATAAACATCAAAATGATGACAATTTTTTAAATCAAATTTTAGTGAGTGATGAAGCCCTCTTTACTAGAAACGGAATTATTAATTCACGTAATTTTTACGTTTGGGCTATTGAAAATCCCCATGAAATAAGGGAAACCAATTTTCAACAGCGATTTGAACCAATCAACCTGTGGGCGGGAATTGTTAATGGAATTTTAGTGGGGCCTTTTGAATTACCAAATCGCTTAACTGGTGAAAATTATTTTGATTTCTTGCAACACAATTTGCCTAGTTTACTGGAAGATGTGCCTTTAAATATTAGACAAAACATGTGGTTTTTACAAGATGGGGCACCACCCCATTATGCAAGAAATGTGCGTGAATTTTTAAATAGACAATTTAATAATCGTTGGATCGGCCGTGGCGGTTTTGTACCTTGGCCGCCAAGGTCTCCGGACTTAAATCCTTTAGACTTTTGTTTGTGGGGTTGGCTAAAAACTCTAGTGTATAAAACACCGGTTAATACACGCGAAGAATTACGTGCTCGAATTGAGGAAATGAGTACAGTGATCAGAAATCAACCAGTGATTTTATTGCGTACTTGTAAAGAGACATGGCTAAGACGCGCCCAGCTGTGCGTCGAGCAAAACGGAAATCATTTCGAACAGTTTTTGTGACATGCTTTTGGGCGCACAGGTCCGCACTGAAATACTTGTCGGGAGGATACTTTATAAAACAAGGTAAAATTTTTTTTTAATTTTTTTTTATTTTTACACACATATTTTGGTTTATCTTCCTTCTACAATCATTATCTGAAAATTAATGACTCAACTTCAAAGTCACCCTGTATATGTACCAAAAATTTAAAATAAGTTTGTTATGTTACTAAGATATGTATAGGTATAGGGTGTTAAAATAAAAAAAAACTCGTTTTTCGTAAATATCTTAAATATAATTTTGTTGTAATTTGGCGGTGGTATTTATAACATTAAGGAGCCGATTTAGTCCTCACTTGATTAAATTTATTAAGTACAGTGGAGTCTCGAGCGGGATCTGAACGAATATTTGTGACAAAAAAAATATACTCCACTTTTGTTCAATGTTTATAATGTTCTTTGAATTAAGCAAATATAAATACAACTTTTTTGTCTCTTAAAGTTTTCGAGAAAAAAAGTCCACTTAAGTGCATATCCCTGGTCTACACAAGGAAAATGGGAAAACGTTTCTTTTGGAAATTAGTAAAATGCATTAGTTTAGATATTCATGTAATTTAATTTAGTGTTTATTTGTTGTTGTTACATAACCAGTAATAGAAAATTATAAAAAAATAATAATTTCCAAAAAAAAAAACCTTTTCCCATATTCCAACATACGAAAAAACTTCAAGAGACAAAAAAGTTGTATTTCCATTTGCTTAATCCAAAGAACATAATAAAAATTGCACAAAAGTCAGTGGCGTATATTTTTTGTCATAATATGTTATATATATTAAGTGACATATAAATCCGAACACCCAGTTTAAATGGTTTTATTTTAATGTATGTATGTATTTATCTTACTGTAAATAACAAGTGAAGAAATTTTCATCCTTATCAGTTGGACATTCCGGTTTATATACTGCTTTTTTTTAATTCACTAACGCTCTAAAAATGAATATTTCCGCCGCAGTAAAGAATCAACGTTGGCGGATTTTGGTTCTTGACATCCTTTACGATCGGTTACGATGCCTAGAGTACGGAGACCTGTACGATTTCGTCAACTTAGTGAGTTTGATAGGGGCCGTATAGTGGGACTTCGGGAAGCTGGACTTTCTTTTCGGGCAATTGCAGTTAGAGTGCAAAGAAGTGTAGACACTGTGGTTAGGTGTTGTCAGGCATGTCTTCGAGAAGGCCGTACGCAAAGAGCAAGGGGCACTGGACGCCGAAGTAGAACAACAGACCGTGAAGATCGCCGCCTAAGATTATTGGCCTTAAGGGACCGTTTCTCCACTACCAGGTCCATTGCAAATGAATGGTTTGCAAAACACGGAAGACCTATTGGCATGCGAAGTGTTTACCGACGAATGAGAAGTTTTGGCTTGTTTTCATACCGGCCACACTGGGCCCTCTCTTTAACTCGAGAACACCGACGTAATCGCCTTGAGTGGTGCAGACAACGGTCACTCTGGGATCAGGAATGGAACAGTATTGTCTTTAGTGACGAGTCTCGATTTTGTTTAGGCATGCACGATGGTCGTGCCAGGGCTAGAAGGCGACGTGGTGAAAGGAGGAATCCACAGTTTTTGTTGAAAGACATGTTCATCACACTGTTGGAGTTATGGTTTGGGGTGCTATAGCTTATGGTTCCAGGTCACCTTTAATCTTCATCAGAGGTAACATGAACGCGCATCGTTATATCCACGAAGTTCTAGAACCCCATCTTTTACCCTATCTTGACACCCTGGCAGATCCAACTTTCCAACAAGATAATGCCCGACCACTGTTGCAAGAGTCACAATAGACTTCTTTCAACATAGTGATATCACATTGTTACCATGGCCACCAAGATCTCCCGACTTATCCCCAATTGAGCACGTGTGGGATATGATGGGTAGGAGATTGCTCAATTTGCAACGTCCTCCTCAGACTCTAGAAGCACTTCGAGAGGAGTTGGTGGTTGCCTGGAATGAGATACCACAGGAGGACATTGACCACCTGATCAGAAGCATGTCTAGGCGCGTTGGAGAATGCGTAGCACATCAGGGTGCATCCACACATTATTAAAGGTCAAAGGGCTTTAAAGCAGTGCAATCATTTTGAAATTTTTATCATTTACTTATTATGCTTCATTAAGTACTTATACAAAATTTTATTAAAATAAAACCATTTAAACTGGGTGTTCGGATTTATATGTCACTTAGTATATTTTTATAATTTTAACATCCTGTATCTTGCGAACGAAGAACCTGCGGACCTATGTTTATATGAACTTTTTGTCTTAAAACTACTCAAAGAATCGTCTGTTAAATTTATGGTAGATACTTAATTAACACCATGTATATTTGTATTCACATTTTTCCCAAAATAGTGCACAGATGAGGATAGCGACAAGGCAGATGAAAAACGAATTGAGGCCATGCAGCAACTTTCTGAAGGAAATGTAGAAAAGGCTATTGAACTTTTCACAGATGCCATCGAGTTCAATCCACATAGTGCCTTGCTATTTGCTAAGAGAGGACAGGCTTACCTGAGGCTTACAAAACCTAATGCTTGTATTAAAGATTGTACCAGAGCTTTGGAGATCAACCCTGATTCTGCAGCTGCATATAAATTTAGGGGAAGAGCTTATAGATTACTAGGTAACAATTGAATCGTTTGATAATATTACTTCAATTTATATGAAAATTATTAGATGTAAGTATATTTATACAGTCCCAACCTCGGTAATTGTCTGTACCTATTAACCATATTTCTCATATCATAGACTTCCCCGTATATTTGCCTTTAAAACTCTGAATTATAGAGAAACGTTTTCAATATGCGTACTTCTATTTAAGCTCGCCGCCTGGCGCACCGATCCGGCTGACTAATCTATCCATATTGCAGCGTACTAGTGTATAGTTCGCAAACGAACTAGTTCAATCGAACGATTCTTATGATTGTACTAAGTGAACTGGTTCATTATTCCTTGAATATACAGGGTGTTTGGTGCATCGTTTGCCAAATTGAAATGGCGGACAGAGGAGGTCTTTTTCTATCACCCCAGGTCCCTCAAACAGTTTTTAGACCAACGAAATTAATTATGTAGATTTTTTATTTTTTTTTAGTAAAAACTCCAAAATGTAATACACAAAGTGAGATAAAAAAAAAATAAAGAGTATGTCCACCTAATGATTAATTTATCTTAATCGGTAATGGTGTACCAATTTAGTATCCCTTACTTGGTGAATTTGGACTCAACCGTCCACAGAATACTTGTCAAAAAGTCCGGATCGTCCACGTCTGTGTGCAGCAAGAAACGAAAAAACCGGACATTAAGATAAATTAATCATTAGGTGGACATACACTTTATTTTTTTTATTTCATTTTGTGTATTGCATTTTGCAATTTTTACTAAAAAAAATTAAAAAATCTACATAATTAATGCCGTTGGGCTAAAAACTGTTTGAGGGACCTGGGGTGATAGAAAAAGACCTGTTCGCCATTTCAATTTGGCAAATGATGCACCAAACACCCTGTATTAATGTTATTCAATTCGAAACTTAGCTTGTTGCATATTTTTTGTCTTGTGTGAAATCTAATACATTGTGTCTTGTTTATATTTAAATATAAATCATTATTTGAAAACCATTTATGTAGTCTAGACATTGAAACATGTACATTGTCTTGTTCCTTGTTCATAACAGACTTTTTGTCAGAGGATTTAAATTGCGTTGAGTTTGATCCTTTACGAACTGATGACGGCGTGCAGAGTCAACCCGCTTGACGCTATTTTTTAATGAAAATACCTAAAAACGTAGGCGAATGGGAGCTGGCCGCCAAAGACCTCCGTCAAGCATGCAACATTGACTTGGATGAACAAACCGATGAGTGGTTAAAGGAAGTTACCCCCAACGCGAAGAAAATCGAGGAACACCTGCTGAAGAAAGAAAGGAGGAAGAAAGAGAAAGAGGAAAGGGAGAAATTGGAGAGGTTAAGGAAAGCTAGAGAGGCGCATGCGAAGGCCGCTGAGAAGCAAGATGACGCGCCTGATTTGGGAGGAGCCGGAGCAGGTGGGATGCCCGGAGGGATGCCTGGAATGGGGGATTTCTACAAACTGCTGCAGGACCCGGAAATTATGACTGCATTTCAGGTAAGCGCATGAACAATTCAAAGCTTTGTGATAGTACAAACACTGTGATGATACATAGGTAGAATTTACAGCCTCCCAACCCCAAAATATAACTTAAATAAATCCAAAGATTATCGCGCATCTGAATCGATAAAAAACGTTGTATCATTGATTTTGGTTAATTTTTACCTGTAGAATAATCTACCTCTGCTGCAACTGAATCGAATTTGTAAGCTTTATCATCCTTTTTATGATAGTAATCATTTAAGAAAAATTCAAATGATCGAAAGAGTCAATAATAATAATGCCTTTATTAGCTGCAGTAAGGCGAAGTTTAGCCACACTCAACCCCACAACAGGGAAAAAGAATACTTAAACACATAAACAAAATAATAACATACCAAAAAAAAATACAATTCATAAGAATGACAACATTGCTTGCACGAGACAAATGCAGATAGTATTGCGAGAGTTTTAAATTTGAAACAAAAATAGTAGAAAATAGTCAAACAAAAAAAAAAATCACATGAACACAAGAAAAACTGAACCAAATGGACTCCAGCAGCTGACTTTTCATTAATTTCTTAAAAGAAACAACCTGTTTGGATCGATAGCCACTGTTGACTGCATTGTAATGCTTGACAGCATTATAGGTGTAACTTCTTTCAAAGACCGAGGTATTGTGAGGAGGCATGTTAAAATTAGCATTAAATCTAAGAGCTCTGGTAACAAAACTACCTCGGTGAACTAATTTGCTAGCGAGGTAAGCTGGTCTGTTAGATAATAGAACTTTATGCGTGAAGACGGTCAAAAGATCTAAAAATAACTTATCAATTCGCAACCAGTTGAGTTCTTTGATTTTATCTGAGACGCGACTAAACTTGCGTAATCCAAAAATAAACCTACAACAGCTGTTCTTAATTTTCTGGAGTTTCCTTTTGTGGACGTAGTCTAAACATGGGTAATAAAGAACAAGAGAGTAAGAAATGACAGACAACACAAGACTTTCAGCGAGCTTTTTTCGGGTTTTAAAATTCAAGATGTATCCATTAGAATAGAAGAGTTTCAAACGCATATACGTTACTCTCGATAAGAAAGAGACATGCCGATCGAATCTCATATTTAAGTCAAGGGTATCACCGAGATTCTTGGCGTAATCCACAAAAGGGATGAGTGTCTCATCCAAAAAAACACAAACCCTCTGCTTCATTTCACGGTAGGAGTTCTTCGAACAGTACAACATTGCAGTAGTTTTATTAGGATTGATCTTCAAGCAGTGTTTGTTACAGTAATCACCGATGGTAGCCAAATCTAAATTAACTTTAAAAGAAACTTCATCAACCTTTGATGGATCGAAACCAAACACTAACTGAGTATCATCTGCATAAGTTTGCATACTACAGTGGACTAAACAGTCTTGCAGATCGATCGTATAAATCAGATATAGTAAGGGACCTAATACTGAGCCCTGAGGAACTCCTGAAGGAACTGGCTCAGAGGAGGAAATTCCCTGATCAGTTTTCACTGTTTGTTTACGATTTAGCAAGTATGACTCAAAGAACCTTAGAACTATATCTGACATTCCATAATGAGATAACTTACTCAGTAGTATCTGGTGATTGACCATATCAAAGGCTTTCGAGAAATCTAACAGTACCAAGACGGTGTTGATGTGATTATCTAAATTGTGAATGATGGAATCAGTAAGATGTAATAAAGACGAAGTAGTGCTGTAACCAGCTCTGAAGCCTGTCTGATGTAGAGGAAATAAGTGGTTTTGTTGGAAAAACTCCACTAGTTGTGAGTAGACAGCTCTTTCGAGTATTTTTGATAGAAAGCATAATAAGGTAATTGGCCTGAGATCCGAATATTGTTCTGGATGATTAGTTTTAACTATTGGAATGATAATACCATTTTTCCAACTGGCAGGAAAGTAACCTGTTTAGGGTAGGTATCTATCTATCTAAGTTTCTGTTATTATAGGACCCGGAGGTAGCAGCCGCCTTCCAAGACATCTCCACCAATCCCTCGAACCTGGTAAAGTACACGTCGAACCCGAAAATAATGGCGCTGATTACGAAACTGTCAGGCAAGTTCTCCGGATCGGGCATGAACTTTCCGGGGTTTCCCGGAGGAGCCGGCGGGGGATTTCCCGGGTTCCCCGGGGGATTCCCAAAGCCACCATCAGGTGCTTCTGACCCGTCTGCGAATGCTTCGCATGATGACGACAATCTGGATTAGGTTCAGAAGCAGGGCGATGTGGAAGAGGTGTAAGAAATTCTTTACAAGGCGGTAGTTATTATCGCAGTTCTTTAAGGTTGGTGAGTGGATTGTTGTGGAAATAAAAAATTATAGACAAATTGTTCTTTTATCCTTATTGGCCTTGTACAACAAAAATTTGGAGCGCTCACACAACAGTTTGATGAGCATAGACGAGGCAAAAACTTGGCATTCGTGGAGGAAATTTTCCGATCCATTTTTTCATAATTACATTTTTTGGAATGCTACTTATCATGAATCAGATTACCGGGTGGTCTTTTAAATGTTTTTTTTTTTTAGTAAATTTTTTTTAGATTAGGTTAAATTACGTGTAAATCCATTGACCCTGGCGGAATGTAGTAAAACGCATCTGGCAGACTGAAAAAGTTGATAAGGTGATCTGAAATAACAGGGATTGTCATACCTACATAGTTTTATTGGGTTTACTGATTTTATTCGTCATTTTATTGGTTCATTTCGATAAATGAATAGTTTAAACATCCTGTGGCATATAGAACTGACATCTTTGAGTATTTTAAAACATCCATGATATGTAATAAAATAACCTTATAGATTTTTGTTGGTACTTTAAGGTGTTTTGGACGGAACTAGTGTATTGAGCAAAATATCCGTGTTATAAGAAGAAAAAATACCAGCAATAGTATAACTATGTCAAACTCCCTCAAGTCAGATGCATTTTCCATTTACATTCATCGTATCTTTGTATAGATTTTCTGTATGATATTTTGTTTGGAATCTAAACTTGAACATAATCTCTCAAAATTTTAAGAGTTTCTCATATTAACCAATCAACCTTATTGAGCTGTGAATTGTTAAGGCTGATCTTGGATATTTTCGTACTGATACTATGTGGTGAGGTATATATTAATAAAAATTATTTTAGTGTAAAAGTTTAATTTAGTTAATAGATACATTGGTCTTTGTAATGAAATATGATACTATTTTACACAGACTTTGTATTAAATGGTACCTTGCTCAGAAACTGGGGATCATTACCGTATAAATTGTTTTGCTGTCATCATCATAGTTTGATAATAATTTCTTTCAGAATAGTGTTTTTTTTTGTTCGGTGTTCCGTCCGATCAAAGTCCCCGATGGCATTGCAGTCTCTTGGTTTTATTGCACTTTCTCGTCGAATTTACAGTGCCGAATCCAGCAGTCTAGTGTTCTGTGCCAGTTGGTACAGTTCCCCTGCCAGTGCTGTTCTAAACTCTCTGGTTTCTAGTTATGGTTTCCCGAAGAGTTGATCTCTCTTGTGATCCTGCTAGGAGGCCTGTAACTACACTGAGTTGGTTTGTACTCATTGAAGATCCTTTTGTTATTCTGCCTGAAATGCAGGGGTGTGTCTTCCAAGTGGTATACTATGCCCAGGATTACACCCATTCCCTTATATGCCTACCAAGTAATTTCCCCTTGCAGGTTGTGCCTTTGGTGTTCCGTTCGATCTCCCATTTTAGTTTCGTCCGATCAAAGTCCCCTAGGGCACTGCAGCCTCTTGGATTTATTGGACCTTTCTCCTCGAATTTACAGTGCCCCATCTCGTAGTCTAGTGTTCTGTGCCAGTTGGTACAGTTTCCCTGCCGGTGCTGTTCTAAACTCTCTGGTTTCTAGTTAGGGTGTATGGACATGGTCTCGAGACAAATTATTTCACATACCTTCTTGTGTTCAGATCCTGTTGGCATTTCTAAATCAGTGGCAGAAGTCACTCTATGACTTCTTTACGGCTTGACTGTGTGTCTTCCAAGTGGTATACTATGCCTAGGATTACACCTATTCCCATAATATACATGCCTTCAGCTGTTCGTTGCATCTGTTATAGACAAACAGGCAAGTCTTTTGGAAGCACGTTGTCTCATCTTTGGCTACCACGCCAAAGATGCATAAGTTATCATGGGTCTTACCACAATTATGCACGTCCACAGTGTATCAATGGAAGGCTTAATACCTATGTTTTACCCTGAGAGCGTCTCGACAACATTAAAGTAGACTCCGCTTTCATTTTGATCTGCTGGTTTCAGGTCAGTGTACTCGTACTTGACTTTCCCCAAAAGTTGTAACTGTACTCCCAAAGGCATAGAGATCCTAATCCCTCTAATTTCTTTCTTCAGGTGAAAGCAACTATTCTACTGATTGAGAAATATATTGTTAGTGCCTAATTATTACAGTTTGCTACATGAACATCCGTCCGCTAATAGGCATGGTAGAATGTTTTCCTATATAGGTGGCATATGAACTTTAAATTTTTGTATGCATACCATTTTGGTATCAAAAGTTTCGATCAGTTCTTTCATTCCCACTTGAATTTTCAGACAGTTTTGTCGGTTGATCATTTATTGCATGGTTTTGTGTATAATGGTATCACTTATGGAGGATTGGAATTACACTTACAGCTACACCTAGCTTTTTTAAGCTAACATACTTCAGCATATTATACGTATAATTATTAGAGTTGTGTATATAGTCGTTTTTTCATCGAGTTTTGTCTTATGGCGTGTTTGTTATGATAATAAACTTATATCACATTATGTTGAGTATTTTTTTTTTTTTAGTTTTTTGGTTGGGAAGGGGCCATTCAGGTCTAGCAGGGCAACTTTCGTAGCAAGATACAGCATTATGTACCATTTTATTGAAATCTAAATCCGCCAATGCATTACCAAATAAATTGTAAATTTGCGACCCAAGCTAAAATCATAAACAAGACTGGCCACTACGACCATAAACTTGTTACAATGCTGCGACAAGAATCAATGAGTTTTGCGAGAAAGGAGTGACTTTGGCTTCGCGACCACATACAAGGCGTGGCAGCATAAGTTCCTTTTTTTTTAAATGCGCGTCATTAAGTCGGTTGATGTCGTAGTGGAGCGCCAGTGGTCTCGTTCGAGAGGCGGAACCAGTGTTACCAAGTCTACCGATTTTGGTCCTGGTCTACCGAACTAAAGCAAAATCTACCAAAAAGTGGACTTTTTTCAATTGAATAATTTTTGTTCCCTATACAGGGTGTCCGCAAAGTTGGGTTTTTCCTTTTCAGAAACAACTACCCTTGAAATAACAAAGGTAATGTGTAGTGAAACGAGGGCGACCAAGTAAAAAAAATTAAGGAAAAAGTACTCACTCTCCAGTTGACGAGAAGTGCTAAGTACATCTCTGCCCGAAACCATATCGCTCCAACAGAAAATGAAATCAGCTGATGCGCTACCGAGCAGACGCCGGCGGTGGTGCAGACCACGAACAGAGGTAACAAATAAGACGGCGTTGCCGCGTTTTCAGTTTTTAGGTAAACGTACTTTATAGGTATTGTTCGAAGTTATCGCCGTTTGATTCAAAAACACAGGTGCGTGCACGACGTAGCCAAGAATCGGTGCAGGCTTTGAGAATGGAGTCCCTCCCCGAATGAAAGCACCAGCTTGTTCAATTCTGAGACGAAGTTCGTCAACCGTATGCACTTCAGTTTTGTACACTAAGCGTTTCATTTCTCCCCAAAGAAAAAAATCACATGGTGTTAAGTCTGGAGATCGCGGAGGCCACGCTACGGGTCCATTACGTCCGATCCACCTATTCGGAAATAATTCATTCAAAAACTCACGCACTTCGCGTCTAAAATGGGGCGGTGCACCATCGTGCAGAAACCACATTGATTGTCTTACACTTAATGGCACATCTTCTAACAAGGAAGGCAAAATGTTGCGTAAAAAGTCTAGGTATTGCATCCCGTCTAATCGATTTGGGAGAATAAATGGTCCAATGAGCATACCGTTCACCATGCCAGCCCAAACATTCACCGAAAATGTTTGTTGAAAATGTGCCCGACGGACAGCGTGCGGATTTTCTACTGACCAAACACGAGTGTTGCGGAAGTTATTCACCCCATTAAGCGTGAACGTAGATTCGTCTGTCACCAATATGCACTTCAAAAAGTCCGGATTATTGTCATGTTGATGCAACAACCACTCACAAAACCGCACTCTTGCTGGAAAATCGTCAGGTTGAAGGGCTTGTACACGTTGGACGTGAAACGGATACAGCCCCTCTTCATGCAGCGTTTGCCACACTTTAGTTTTATTTAAAAAACATTCAAAGTACCCAACAAAAGGCGGAAGCTTTAATTTTTCACTTAACTGGTCTAGACGACAATGACCACGTCTCAAGTTATATATATATATATATATTCGCCTTTTGTTGGGTACTTCGACAAAAATTTAAGCAAAGAGGACTCTTTATACTTTTTTATTCTCTCTAGCTTTCAATGGACTTTGCCATCATCATCAGGAGAGTAGTATATGAGGATGTTGCTAATTGTTGTTTACGTTCAGGATGAGGGAAACACCCAGTAACATGGTGAAAGCTGAATAAATGGTACAATGGTCAAAATTATATAAAATACACACAACTGTGTGACAAGAACAAGTTGAAAACAGATTAAAAATTTTTAGGACATAAAAGCATTACATCGTGAAGCCACTTGAAGATGCTTTCATGTTCTAAAAATCTTAATTTGTTTTTAACTTGTTCTGGTCACACAGTTGTGTGTATTTTATATAATTTTGACCATTGTACCATTTATCCAGCTTTCACCATGTTACTGGGTGTTCCCTCATCCTGAACGTAAACAACAATTAGCAACATCCTCACATACTACTCTCCTGATGATGATGGCAAAGTCCATTGAAAGCTAGACAGAATAAAAAAAGTATAAAGAGTCCTCTTTGCTTAAATTTTTGTCGAAGTACCCAACAAAAGGCGGAAGCCTTAATTTTTCACCTAACTGGTCTAGACGACAATCACCACGTCTCAAGTTCTATATATGTATACAAAATATTTGTGCACAATGGCATTAACAATACTGTAGATGCACAGTTTTTCATTATAATACAATATGGGTTATACCATAGTTCATTCTAGAAATTATGTATTCATGTTTTCTTTTCAAAACCCTTCGATGGCTAGGTTCTTTCTTGAGATGGGCTGGAAAATCAAACACAGATGGAACTGCCACCTTTTTTAGTACCTTATTTCCATGAACACTAACTCCATAATCCTCTGGAGTGAAACGCTTTTCACAAATTACCGTTGTTGTACTGGGAGTAAAGTTTTCTCTCCTTATAGCATGTAACCACAACTTCCTCATGTTAGGATCTGTAGGTATCCTAAAAATCCAGATATTTTCTCGAATTACCAATTAACAGGTAATTCTCACATAAAAATGAATGGGATGATTAAAACCAACCTGTGAAACTTCATTTTCACATCTTTTCTGCGTCTATTGCGACAATTCACCGCACTGCAAGATTCAACCATTTTTAAACAAATATCACATAAAACAACAGCTCTTGAAGACTGTCAGGCATAAAAATGTTTATAATAATTGTCGCAAACTATCACTATTAACACGTTCGCTGCTCACGCCGACAACGTGGCGGCATAAGAATATGTATGCGAGTGCTCACGCCGCAACCTTGTCGGCGTAGTCCCTGTTGTAGTTAAATATAGTTATAAGCGAAGCGCGCCTCAGTGTGCCTTTTACTTTAGTAGGAGCATGTTGCTTAGTGTTCTAACCTTAAAAATTCACACGTGGTTCGGAATTTAGTACATTAATTTTGCAATGGCGGACAATCCCATTCCGGGACCTTCAGTATCGAAAAGATTAAGGTTTAGGGATCCTAGAAATCTAAACGACGAAGAACTACGTCAATTGGCATATCTTTCTGAGGATTCCTTAGACGACGAACCATTTGAAGACTCCGGAAGTGAATGGAGTGGTGCAGAAGATATAATCGAAGAGGCAGTAAACTCCTTGGAAAGCGACTCCGGGCATTCAAATGATGAGGCGGAAGTCCCTTCATTGAGCGAAATGTGGACAGAGGGCCCTCCGCAATTAAAAAAAATTATGTTTACTGGGCAGCAACGATTGAATGTACCAGTACCTGATAGAAGGAGGCCCATCGATTTTTTTTTCCTCCTCGTGGACGATAATTTTTTTGAACTACTGGTCCGAGAAACTAATAGTTACGCAGAAATTGTGTTGCTGAATGAATGTCAAGGGCCCCATTCCAGGATTAGCCGTTGGAAACCAGTCAATAAAGAAGAAATGTCAATATTTTTAGGAATGACATTTTATATGGGTATACTCCAACTACCAAGATTTAGGGACTATTGGCGTACCGACCGTTTATACAACTTTAGGATCAGGAAGTTCATGAGCAGAGACAGATATCTAATTATATTGCGATGTCTTCATTTTGCCGAGAACCCTCGAGCTGGGGGAGCAGCTCCAAGTGATAGATTATACAAGGTTCGCCCTTTGCTGGATTACTTCAACAAGAAAATGTCGATAATTTATTCGCCAGGAAAAAACCTGTCTATCGACCGAATGTGACGGAACTATTTTAAAAATACAGATTTATTGTGGTGTTTTTGACGATTTAGGTGGTAAAGGACACGCTGCAAATGTTGTTCTCAATCTGTTGGATAATTACTGTAATAATGGATATAGTGTGTACATGGATAATTTCTATAACTCTGTATCGCTTGCACGTCAGTTACTGGAAAATAAGATCTTTTGTACGGGAACGTTGCGCGCTGGAAGAAAGGATACCCCCAAGGAAGTAAGTACATCAAAACTGAAAAAAAGGTGAATCTATCTATCGTTATGGGGCAAATGTGTGTGTGGGTAAGTGGAAAGACAAAAGGGAGGTGCTATATATCACAACAGAACATGAAAACACATTTGAAGAAGTGACTTCTAGATCTGGTAATAAAAAAAGTAAACCAACTCCTGTAGTGCAATATAACAAATATATGTCTGGCATAGACCTGCAAGACCAGATGCAGTCTTATTATCCCTCACATAGAAAGACAATTAGATGGTACAAAAAAGTGGGTCTACATATTTGCGAGATGATGCTCCATAATTCTTACATGCTTTACAACAAATATTCTGGGCAGAAGATGTCATTGTTAGATTATAGAGAGTCAGTCATAGAAGCGCTGCTTCCAGATATTCCAGATAGCGCAATTCAGAACCAGACCAGTGGGAAGGAACCATCAACTCAACATCTTCCATCAAAATGTGAAGCAAGGAGTGAAAATAATAGAAGACAGCGGAAGAGGTGTCGCTGCTGTTCAAAACGTGGTGTTCGCAAAGATGCCATGTACTTTTGTAAATCGTGTCCAGATTTACCAGGACTATGTCTAGAACCTTGTTTCAAGGAATTCCACGAAAATCTAAAATAAAATTATATATAGGTTTGTTTTATTTTCTTTTAATTTGCTGTTTATAATTTATGTTATATAAAGAATATATTTTTTATTATTTGAATGTTAAGTTCAGGGAAGTATGATTTTGTTTTTTAATTATAGTCATTTATTATTTGCTTTTATATTTTGTGCAAAATATATAGTAAATAAAGATGTTTGAAGGATAGTTATTATTGACGACACATGTGCGTCATTGAGCACCTAGCAAGAATAAATAGTGCGCAGTGCTCATGCCGCCACCTGTGCGTCGTGTCTTTTTTTTCTGTAAATTTAAAGAAAAAAGTATTTTTAATTGTAGTTTCAACTAATTTATGCTTAAAAAATGTCAAATAAAAGCATTTGACAATGCCGCACCAGTGACATGTATATAATTGTTGGTGAGCAGCCAACGTGTTAATCTAACGTCACTAAAAACAAACATTCACCAAAAATCCTTAGAACATATATGGAAATACCACAATAGACCACGATGTTTTGCCTTGACTAGCGCTATCCTTCTCGTTTCTCATTCTAGCCGCAATGAATTCGCGTTACGCCTGTTCTATCAGTGTTGACAGTTCATTGATCTAAAGTCGCGAAGCCTCGGTAGCATTTCGAAAACACTCACCTTAAATTAAAATGATATTAACAACTCCGATATTGGTGTATCAGTATGCCATTTTAGGTTTGTTTGTTTTAGAACCGATGTGTAAAGGTTTTGTTTACCAACGCCTGGATCGAGTACAGATGCTCATTGTACGTATTCACGTTTGACCTGAGTGATGTGTAGGATCGAATTATGTTTATTTTGCGGAACCTAACATCTCAGTAATCTACGGGCCGTATCGTCAGTCGCTCCAATTGTAGGACTCCTTTTCCGAAAGGCTGGGTACCTTAGACTTATACTGTTTCGCGTCAGCGTTCTCCTATCGTGACGCAGTGTTTTTTCATTGGAGGAAATTTCAGGCTGATATAAATCAAAAGCATGAACAATTTGATACAAATATATATTTGTAACATAACCTCAAAAAGAAGCTCTGACACGGAACTGTAGGTAGAAAACTATGAAAATCACACCCTGTATACATAAAGAACATTTACATGTTGGGATTTGATGTGATTGTTACAGACCTGGCTACCCAGCCCCAAAAATAACATCCAAACGGCAGTATAGCCATGATATAGGAAAAGTGTTAGTTATGAAAATAGACAAAATATTGCCTCTCATAATAATAGTAATGGTGGTTGAAGAAAGTCATAGCTTAATAAAAATCTTATTCAGTTTTCATCATAAGTCATATAATTTTAAACATATACCTTACATAATATTTTTATTATAAATAAATAGTTCATAGAGATGGTTCATTTGGATTTTGCTTAAAGTTTATTGAATATCCTCCACTGTTCGGGTCTTGATTCATCTCAAAGTTCTGTGTGGATAGCCCAAATGGTTTTAAGAACATATTTCCTAAATCTTTCAATTTGCCTGTAAAAGAAGTAAGTACTTAATTATATGAGTAAAATAATATAGGGTGATTATTTAAAGAATCAGAATAAAGTCTATGATTATGATTACCAAGCATTTCATTCTTCATTTTTTCATTTCTTTCAGCAATCTTAGGTGGTAGTCTAATCTGTGCTTCCCTAGCTTCTTTATTTGCAGGATCCATTTCTAAAATTTTCTTATAATCTTCAAGGCTTTCATCTAATTTTTCAGTATCTTCATAAAGTTTTGCCCTTCTTAGATAAACTTTAACATAAAGCTTATTCAGTTCTATTGCTTTGCTACAATCGTCTATGGCACTCTTCTTTCTATTTATCATATTTTTTGATGCCGCTCTATTCGCATATAATATTGACCTGCAAAATAGATACAAGCTTGGTTGTTGGTTCTATCTTACTGGTGAAACTGAGGTTACTAAAAATTTATAAAAGCGAAATGGCAGATTTCAATCAATATTTTCAACTGTAAAGTTTAATTTCTTGGGAAACAGCTTAAATGATGTGATGGATCTTGAAAGTAGATGTACAGTAATGGACAAAAGTATATAGACAAATATGAATATTTACCTAAATACCTTTAGAAAAACTAATTCATACTTCTTTGCTCCATAAACAAATGCGTTATTAGTAGAAAAACTTAATTCCTTGTTTTTACATTATCTGCAATGAACACAATACAAGTCTGAATATTAGCACTTTTTTATGAGGGACAAAAATATGTAGACAAATTCTTTTCAGCATTAGTTTAGTACAGTTTCATGTCAGAGGAGGATTAGTTTGTGTTCATCAAGTATTGTGGAATAAGTTGAGTGATTATAAGACCATGCTGCGTGGTCCAGAAATTCCTTTTGATGTGAAAACTAAGATCATTGAGTTATACAAAGATTAATTTGTCTATATACATTTGTCCATTACTGTACATCTAGATTTGTCTTGACAGTGGGAGTGACATTGAGTGTACTAAAATTTGACAGTTTCAAATTTGAAATTTCTGTTTCATACGCTCCAGGTTAAAAGACTTAAGGAATTTTGACATACAATGTGTCTTGACAAAGTGAGTGACAACTGTTAAAATTTTTATTCATTGGCCAAACTGCTTGATGGATTCTGAGGTGATCTTAGAATCACCTTGTTAGATCCACTTCTTTCAATCACTCCAGACACCTCCCTGAATATGTCCTGCTCCCTAAATCCACCACTATAGCTAAGTGACCCCCTCCAACTTAATGTATATGTTACACAAATCCAAGCATTTTATTTTCCTTGTCAGCTGCCCCCACCCGAAAAAAATAATTTTGCTTGATCCGCCCATGTAATTATCATTTATCTGATGTCTAGCAGTAGGTATCATATGTGGCAAGCATCCGAGATTGTGGAAAGGGTGTTAAAGATTTGGTTTGAGAAATTACCTATCATTAGAATATTTTAAAGGACATATCCTAAGTGCCTTAGTATATGTGCTAATAGACTCCACATATTTTTCATCCCTGAACTCTTCATTTCCTTGTGCTTTCAACTGTAAAGCCTCTTGATGTTTCAATTGTTTATCATCATCACTAAGGGTTGCTTCGAGGTCTTCCAGAGCCTGTTCATTTACATAATCGTCTTCGTCTTCCTTGTTTGATTCTGTATTAGAATCTTCGAAATCTTCTGGTATTTGACTGTCCCTTTCGGCTTTAGCAATATCTTCAGCTGTGGCTCCAGACTTATCGTTTTCTTGTGATATACTGCATTGTGCGTTTAAATCACTAGTTATTTCATCCACAACTTCTTCATTTCTTGCGATGCCAGTAGCATCGTTTTGAGACATATTTTTCAAACGCTAAAATACAGTTTTCTTGCACACAAAGCCAAATAAAATATTGAGATTCCAAAACGTCACATTTTCTAGGTTATGTCACGGGATATGTCAAAATCAATAAAAAAGAAGTGTGAAGTGGATGGGCTGCGTTCGATAATCTAACCTTTCCACATTTAGAAAAGTGACGTTTTCGATGATAAAAAAAACTTTATGAAAACATATGCTATATTATTTAGGGTGATGGTGCACTTAACACAACAACGTATTTAGAGATTATTGCAGGTTTAACGTATACACGACAGTATACGTATAATATGTAATTCTACAGAAAAAAAAATCTTGGACGAGACACTTTACATGGCAATTTGTTTTTCCAAAATACTTTTTTCCAGCAATACCTAGACGTCAAATATCAACACAGAACAAGTGACGTTGGAGGTTTTAATATTTTATTTTTATTGTCATAAAACTTTTGAGTGTATAATCAAATCCAAGCGAATAACCAACATTTCTGTGTTATGTGCCGCGGTTATAATATGGTTCAAGATGACACACGGGTTGATGACGTCAGTTACACGAATCGCTTGAACGCGTTGGTTTTAACCGCGGTTTTGTTGCAAGTTGTTTATTTTAGAAAAGCGCGTATATAATCTCTGATTATTTTTATTATCACTTAATAATCGGTGCTTTTTTGTCTACAACTGTATATGGAAAGTTTAAATAAGAAACCTTTCATAATATTCATGGGAGAAATGTTTTTTTCAGATTTTTTTTAATGATGGAACCATGGCTTTGTAGCTATGATAACTTTCAATTCTCTAAATTTTTCCGCATGTTAAAGAAATCATTTATTGATTCATCAGAAATGATGAAAAAAGAAATTAGCAAAACCGTATACAGGTGGATATCATCTAGTGGGTTTATATGGCCATATTTTAATATTCTTGTGGTATATGGCTACACAGGATACTTCGTTAAGCATAGGAACTACATTTAAAGTGTCCCCAACAACCGTAATGAGTATAACTAATAAGGTGCTCCACTTTATGGTAAAACTGAAGTCAGCCTGTATCATTTTTCTCAAAAATGAAGCTGAAGTACAATAACAATATCCAATACCCGGCAAAATTCTAACTTGTCGCATTTCAAATAATAACCAGAAATATAAAACTACTCTTGAGTTGGGTAAATACCACAATCTTGCGGTGATAACTATGACATATAACAGCTGATTCGTGACGTCACGGATCTTATAACCAAACTGATAACTACACTCGCTTGAACGGATTGGTAAATACCAACCCAAAATGGTAAATACCACTTCCATTTGGTTATCCGCTTGAATTTGATTATTGATTCACATGTTGATATACTTCAAAATAGACAACTACGACGTGACTATACACCGCTCAGGTAGTAAAATTCGCATCCGTTTCATCCTGTGATCGATCTTCTGTGGTTTATTCTTCAACGTCACTGTAGTATATATGTTTTGTGGTAATTTGTTCTGTGTTGATATTTGTCGTGAAGGTATTTTGGAAAAACAAATTTCCATTTAAAAAGAAGCAGAGCGTTGCGAGGAGGTCCCGACGCACCATCCTCGACGAACGCCAACCGACAACTGAATTTATAAAATTATAAATAATCTACTAAAAAGTAACATAAATATTAGGTTCTACCATAACGTGCATGATCACCAAACAAGATCACTAAATAATGTTTATCAAATTTCCACAAGAACTAATATAGGTTTTAAAAATCCGATCACAGACGCAATTAAGAAATTTAATAATTTACCTCATTGTATAAAAGATTCAAATAACTATAGAAGTTTTGTTAGAGAATTGAAAGATTTTAAAAATGTTAATGAATTTATTTGTTGAAATTATGAGCAACATTGCAGTGTACCTGTAGTTCATAGATATTGATTATTGTCTTGTTATTCTCGGGGCCCGTGTTTGCAAACACTGATTGGGGAATTATTGTTAAAACTGGTTATACTTTTTGTATTATTGTGTTTAAATAAATTATTTCAAAAAAATTGAATCGCGGTAACTCGCAGCGTATAAGCAGATAGCAGTACGCCGGTCAACGTAAACATCGAGTCGCTTCGGGAGCAGACGCGCGTAGTGGGAGCTGGAAAGGGGCGTGGCTGTACTACCCGGCCGTACCGTATCGCTGTAGCGAGCTACAGCACTCGCACACATCAGTCTCTCGGCAACCGTCGGCGCAGCGGAATGTCCACGCATTCATAGCTCCGTGCAGAGCTCTATTCGGTTTAGCTACTTTTTTTTAGTAGTGGTGTTCACTATAGGGTTCTCGATTGTCCTTCAGTAGTGCTTTGGTGTTTTAGTATTGTGACGTGGATTTCAAGTGTCTCCAAAGTGGAAATTAGGTCTACTTCCAACTCTTCTGAGGGAAACAGGATACATGTGCAGCAAACCAGGTGAGCCTTGCATACCCATCTACGTGTGTGTCAGGGTTGACATTCTACGTTTTTTAAATAAATTGCGCACAATGCATACACTTAGAGATTAGTCATATACTGAGGAATTTGGGAAAAACTGAAATTTGGCCAAATCGTTTTTATTTTTGTCTGACTTTATTTTAAGAAATGTCAAAAAACTAATGGCACTACATGATGGTGTTTTTAAATGTTGTGCCCGACGTGCACAACATTTAAAAAATGGACGACACTGTATCTAATAGCATCTTTTTCTACGACTTCAACGATGTATCACGTTACATTTGTTTTTTTTAGTTATAAGCAAACGTGTTTTTTTTTCTATATTTTCATTTTATTCAAGTAGGAGTTGCAAACAAATGCTTGTTGTAAGTTAATTTTTAAATTTACAGAAACGGGCACTATTCTAACGTTCTTGTAAGTATTCTTATGTACTTACATTCATTTTTGAAAAACCTTAAAACTATTAGCAAAACCTCGAACAAAAGGCTATTTTTAGTCCAAGGAATGGGTGATAATTGACAGTATTGAAGTATTTCACATCGTACTTTGACACTAAGCCCTTGGCAATATGTTTACTAAATATGGTGCAACAAAATCAAGCCTTGATTCTTTGGCGTTTTCAGACCTGGAATCTCATCCCCGTGTTTAGGAAACTACAATGTCTTACATTGGTTGTTGGAGGACACGTGGGCACCAAATGTCCAACAAGAGTAGGGGTATATGATGCGTGCAAAATGCTGATTCCGTCTGCCTGATCCACAAGTCATAAGTTGAATTCAAGTTCAAATCCTTCAGCTGTCCATTTTTAGCTTCCTTAAAATGAATGCATAATATCTCTGCATATAAGACGGATACTAATAAATAGTAGAGTAAAATGAAATTCATTCTCCTCCTATTAATGATCATGAATTTTTGATCAAATAGTTAATAAATATATTTATATAATGAAACATTGTTTGTTCTTTTTCCAATTGGAAGAAGTCCCGTATTCAAAAAGTATTTTATCCTAAAAAACTCGGCATTTATAAAAGTATTCAGAGACATTAACGTTCCGCCGCATAGACGCAAAACGTAAATAACCGCTTTTTTTAGTTTTTTTTGGCAAGCATTGCTACGCCTCAAATTTTATATGTCTTTATTGGTATCCCTCAATATTTTATCCAAAGGTTTTTTTATAACATTCTAGCAAAATTGTCCGATGAGCTGGCAACACCGCAATCCAGGTGACAAGAATGACAAGATCGTATGTCTATCCTGGGGTAACGACGGAGTCATTTAGTACGTCAGAGCGGCAGTTTTAAAATCTTCATTTCGCGAAAAATTTCGCTACGGACAGTCTATAGATAGTCTAGTAGAGTAAATGTCAATAGTTCTCTTGCGTGGCCATGTTATCTTTACTCGGGCATATTCTAGTTGCACTATGCGTTAAATCAAACAGTGAATTAGCATATCTTGCAGGTTACTGCTCATAAACACATAAACCACTGTTTATCGCGACTGACGTCTTCAAGTACGTCATCATTTTCAGTCATGTTCTGTCATTATCAGACCGTTGTAATGACGGTTTGCATACCGGTTACAACTCGAAGTCGCTTTTAGTTTCAAAAATCATGGCGGATTCTGTTGAGTTGCGTATGAGCGTTACGTCCATCAAAAGAGTGGATCCGTACGTAAAAGACATTTTAGCTACAGCTACACACGTTGCCCTTTATATATTTAACACCCAAACCAACGAGTGGGAAAAAACAAACACAGAAGGCGCCCTGTTCATCTACAGCCGCAATGGGGAACCATACCATAGTATGATGGTTATGAACAGACTCAACACGGATAATGCCATCGAGCCCATCGTAAAGGACTTCGATTATCAGATGCAAGTACCCTTCCTGTTGTACAGAAACTCAAAGAGCAAGATATTCGGAATTTGGTTTTTCAACAGGGAAGAGTGTATAAGGATAACGTTTCTCATAGAATCTCTGATGGAGGGGCTGAAAGACAAGAACGACGAGAGGTCGAACAGAAAAGAGTCCAACGTGGACATCTTCACCATGCTCTCGAAGGCGCAAGAAGATTTCAATAGGTTTGTATTAGATGGCATGTTTCAGAATGTATAGACTATACAATCACAGATCTTCACACTTTGTCAAAGGATGGTTATCTTGAGGTTTTATAGCTTTAAGGTGAATATATAATATTTAAGGTGAAAAACTATTTACTGTGATCCATTGGTATTTATAATGGAATGTGATGTTTATTGAGGTGTTTTATACAGGGTGTTCCATAATTATTGCGACAAAATGATAGGGGTTGTAGAGGGCATAAAAATATGCAATTTTGCCTTATAAACCCGTGTTCGTAAATATGCCGTTTGAGCACTACAGTTAATTTTACCTTAAGAGCTCATAGGAGAAACAAAAAATTCACCAGCTGCAAAATGTTCGTCTAGCACATTTCATGGTCTCGCCGGTTTGTAGAAAAAGCCTGCTGTGTTTACATTTTTGTTATCGTACACCCGTACCACCTTTTAAAAGTCCAAGCCATGGGTCCAGCAGACTATCTGCCGCGTCGACGTTTTTGTCGTTGGTGGCTGCAGCAGGAGTTGAGGCAACCAAACTTTGGTCGCTACGTTTTGTTCACTGACGAGTCCTGTTTTACAAAGGACGGTTATTTTAATAGCCGTAACAGTCACATTTGGGATGAAGAAAACCCTCATGCCATAGCCATCCATAGAGACCAACATCAGTTTTCAATTAACATCTGGTGCGGCATTGTGGACGAGCATATCATCGGGCCATATCTGCTTCCACCACGTTTGGATGGGCATGCTTATGGTCGATCCTTACAGCATGTGCTACCGGAACTATTAGAAAATGTGCCACTGAATATAAGAGCCAACATGTTGTTTCAACACCATGGCGGTCCAGCCCACTTTTCTTTACAAGTGCGGCAGTATTTGGACGACAAATTTCCAAATAGGTGGATAGGCCGAGGTGGACCTGTGCCTTGGCCTGCGCGGTCACTTGACCTGACTCCACTGGATTATTTTATCTGGAGCTATCTGAAAGCTTTAGTGTACGAAACTCCTGTTCCCAACCAACAAGAGCTACTGGGAAGAGTGATGGCCGCGTCCGCACATGTTCAGGACATACCGGGGGTATGCCACAGAGTTCGCCGATCATTGAACAATCGTGCACAGGTGTGTATTGAGCAAGGTGGAGGACACTTTGAGCAATTACTGTAGGTAAGCTGTTTCAAGAAACTGATCTTTTTTTTTGCTGCAGCCCAAACGGCATGTTTCCGAACAGGGGTTTATAAGGAAAAATTGTTCATTTTGATGCCCTCTACAACCCCTATCATTTTGTCGCAATAATTATGGAACACCCTGTACAGTAGTAGTATAAAGTTACATAGAAATCTGCTGACACACACAGAATGACCAGTGCACTGGACAGATTGTACTATTCTGTAATAATTTTAGCATTTGTAATTGGTCTGGGGTTGGAAATATAACAAAGTAATTCTTCTGGATTCTGAAAATTGGTTATAAAAAAGTGACAAAAATTGACAGAATACAGTGAAATCTGCTTTGGTCAGACATCAACAGGATTGACTGAGTATTCACGAGTAGTGATGCAAAGTTTCGTTACTTTTTAGGACCTGTAAGGACTCGTTACTTTCGAACTTTGGACTCGTTAGTTTAGTTACTCTTTGAACATTTCGTTTAGAACCTACGTTCTATATATTATATCAAATTATTACTTTGGGATTGATCCAATTATTATTTTTTGTCTAATGCCTTGCCTATTAATTTTTTTTGATATTTGATACGTAGAAGGTACTTATATTTTAAACTCGTCGTTGTGTGACGTCTCGTTCGTTGGCTGTACGCTGTAAATAGTATTTAACAAGTGGCATAACCAGATGGGTACCGTGGAGGAACCACTCTCCTCACTCTTTACTTTAGTTGAGTAGCGTCCCCTGCCCTAACAGTCTGGTTACTCCGCTGTCCTACTTAACAGTCTGGTTACTCCACTGTAAATGGTGTTCAACAAAATACTTATAATAATAAAACATACCTGAAACTAAGTTCCTTTTGCACCTAGGCATATTTTCGTCTTCCACCCGCCGTTTTGCCCTTTCTCCTTCCAATGAAAGAGTCGGATGTTTAGTTTTCAAATGCTTCCTTAAATTGCTAATGTTTCCATTTTTATGCGAATAAATATTTTTACAAAGATTAGACTTTGCATTAGCTTCCGATATATTGGTGAAATGCATCCAAATAACACTTCTTTTTTGAGTTTGCGATTCTCCTGAACCGGACGCGGATGATTCCATATTTTTGTACAAATAATAATTATATTATTGCTCGAGCTTGTACGGCAACGTCCAAACCAGTAACAACCCGCCAACCGCTAGCTCTCAAAGTCAAATGAAAAGTGTACAGGTGTACACAAACATTGCCAACCTAAAGCTCCGCAGTCCGCAACTCGTTTGATAGAAGAGTATCTAAAGTTGCCTAAGCCTAACGATATTCGCATCATTTCATTTCCACCCAGTTTACATCCAAGAACCAAGTCACTTGCTGCTGGCGCTGGCAGTACTGGCTACATTAGATCCCAGTAACGTTTGTATCTAAAGTAATGTATAGTGTAGTAACTAACAGTAATTAAAAAGTATACATTGAAAAAGACCGTATCGCATTCAAAGTAACGAATTCAAATAAAAAGTAACGAGTCTTTTCAAAAAGTAGGACTCGTTACATTTAGTTACTCATTTGTAACGATTATTTTGTAAGCGTTACTTAATTATTTTACATCACTATTCACGAGGGTTATCCATGTAAAAGAAATACAACAAAAATCGTGTTTTTAAAGAAAACTGTATAAAACTGGGACATTTAAAACATATGTGTATAAATGTTTTCAAAATAAACAAAAAACTTTAAACAAGAAAAAAAGGTTTGTTACCTTTAGATATATACAAAGAACATACATATAATATGTATAATATAAAATGTATACAGGGTGACTTCGAAGTTGAGTCATTTATTTTAACAGTGAGTAGATCTGATCAAAAGAAATGTTTTTTTCCTTTACCATTTTTCTGGTAAAAATAAAGTAACAAAGTTATAACCCTTTGGAAGTTTGAGTACCGCCCTGTCTCAATAATATCATGTGCTCGTGTTTGGCAACAACGGATATAATCCGCCTTATCGGTTCATCGCATCGGAAACAAAAAAGCGAAAGAATTTGGAACGATGTTTTTACAATTATTTTATTCAGTTCAGTTATACATACAGTCAGTGTCAGTCGCGTGTGAATAGTGTCTGTTGCGTGGCTCAAACAAAATAAAAAATGGCACATGTTTATGCGGATCGGTTTCCCAATCGAGTGCAACCAACCCCTCGTGCCTTTGTTAATGTAGTACAACGGGCTCGTGAATCAGGTGACTTAAGACCTCACAGGGGACCTCACGATCAAATACAGGTCCGCATTGAAATACTTGTCGGGAGGATACTTTATAAAACAAGGTAAACATTTTTTTTACTTTTTTTTTATTTTTACACACATATTTTGGTTTATCTTCCTTCTACAATCATTATCTGAAAATTAATGACTCAACTTCAAAGTCACCCTGTATATGTACAGTAATTTTAGACTCTCTTCAATAAAAAATTAATTGAAAAAACTGGAACTATGAAGGACAAAAATATATTATTATATAATATATTATTATCAATAACCACCTGCCATTGTCTCGGCATAGATTATAGAAGTTTCTTGATATAAGATTCATCAATCTGTCTCCACTTTTGCTCTAAAGTGGCAAAAGTTCATCCGTGTTTGAATAATTTTTATCTCATATTTGCTTATCTAAATATTACCATAGATTTTTAATGAGGTTTATATCGGGACACTGAAGGCCATTTGAGAACTGGTATTTTTTCATCCAGATCTTTAGGAGATTTGAAGTGTGCTTCGGGTCATTATCTTGCTGGAAGATTGATCTTAAGGGCATATTGTCTTCCATATAGGGTACCATGATATGCTTTAGTACTTGAGGTTCAATCACTTTGCATATTTTCACGCCTAAATCCTCCTTTGTGGAAGCAATTTTGTACTGTTTCTTTGGTTACTGTCTATTTATTTACCTAACTAATAACAAATGTAAATAAGAAACATTTTAGCTAACAACAAAAATAAAAAAAATCAGGCTAATTCCATAATAATTGTTCGATCATTGATCCATATTCCAACAAAGACACCACAATTTTTTTTTGAATTCTTAGATATAATGAACAAATTTTTTTATGGATTATATTTATTTTCCAGGACGCCTACAAAGCAAGACAACATTCCTGCAGCTGCATATGTATCAACACCTAGGGTTCCTGATGTCACCTCACAGAGTGTGATGGATTTTTTTGCCAAAGCTAGTACCAAAACCAGCCAAAATCCAACTGTTGGAGTAGCTGGTAATGGAGAGAATGTGTTGCAGAGGTTAATGTCAAATCCTGCTCATAGTGTAGAACATATCGAGAAACAGCAGAGGTCTATAACGCCTCAAGAACAGGTAAGGGCTCCATTTGTTAAAATTATACATGGAGGCCACACCAATAGGATCTTTCTAGTGCAGAAGCAAGTGCTGAGGTGCATCTTAAAAATTTCTTCTAGAGATTCTTGGAGGGGGAAATTCAAGAGTAATAAAATGTTTACTATAGATACAATATACAGGGTGCATCGTTTGCCAAATTGAAATGGCAGACAGAGGAGGTCTTTTTCTACCACCCCAGGTCCCTCAAACAATTTTTAGCCCAACGGAATTAATTATGTAGATTTTTTATTTTTTCTTAGTAAAAACTCCAAAATGTAATACACAAAGTGAAATAAACAAAAAATAAAGAGTATGTCCACCTGATTAATTTATCTTAATGGGTCATGTTGTACCAATCTTACAAAATCAACATTACTTGCCAGCAGCATGTAGTTTTTTATTTATAAACTCATAAAGGGTTACAAAGAAGAACAAAAAATGTAAGTCTCAATTTTGAATTTCTGTAAAAAAAAACTAAAAGCGTTCACGTTTTCACAATTTTACACGTTTTCTATTTTCCTTCCCCTGCACAAAAAAAAAATTAAAAATCTACATAATTAATGCTGCTGGGCTAAAAACTGTTTGAGGGACCTGGGGTGATAGAAAAAGACCTCCCCTGTCCGCTATTTCAATTTGGCAAACGATGCGCCAAACACCCTGTATATTCAAGAGTCAGTAATTTTTGCATTTAAAAACATTGACTACTTTATTGGTAATCCATGAAGTGATTATAACATAAGAAATATAAATCTTATGTATTCAGTCCATCCGCAAGAAATTAAAAAGTTGTCGGATATAAAAGAGCATTCTTGTTAACACACTTAGAACGATATGACTAAGAATATTTTTAAATGCAAAATCTATATACAGAAGTACCGGAACAGCTCAATAATTCTTTAGGAATGAATTTTAGGAAAAAATGCTTCGAATAAAAGTTGTGAGATTTTTCCTCAGCTATCCCAGAGACTTTGGATTTTACATTGACCTTGAAGGTTATTCTTAGGTTAACTACGAAAACTCAAATGTAAACGCCTACTTTTGATCCTGGCAATGAAACGAACGTGAAATTTTACGTTCACATATGACCTTGAATCACCCTAATATTTGACCTTGAGTTTTCCCTCAAAGTCAAATTACTACTAGGACTCAATAACTCATGGAAAAAACCACAACGAGGCCGTGACGAGTATTCCCACAATCTCCTTGACACCATTCTTTGCTTCAGATCAACATCAGACAGAGGCTGAATACGGCAAATGCAGACCGTAGAAGTGTTCCAGTGTCATTTCCTGAAAAAAAATTGCACTCTGAGAACGGATTTCCAGTTAGCGCCTCGCCCTTGCAGTTCCTCATACAAAATCAAAATCAGGGGGCTCAGAATAACACAACTGAAAAGGACGATGCTGATTTGTTGAGAACTTCACCTTTTGCACAGTTTTTAGAAGGTAATAATCTATAGAATACTCTAAAAGGTGGTGGTGAAAGATGACACATATACAATTAGGAAGTTTCCTATAGGCGAAAATACTTAAATACTACGAGCCCCTTCCCACTTCAGTTGACCCACTTCAAGATGTGTACCAAAATATGCCTTTATAAACTAAACATGACGAAACTATTTACTTCTAAAACAATTTATTTTCTCAAAAACATTTTAGATACACTCTAGTCGTAAAAAATACATATTTGAAATCACTTAGATCTATAACTAATGGAACATCTGAACAAATAAACAATGTGCGAATAAATGCGCGAAGTTAACAAAGCAACAATTGAAAGATTACCATTGGGTAACATCACCTTTATTTTTTTTATGCTGAAATTCTTTGGAGCATAGTGTTAACAAAGTTTTGGCAAAAATTTGGTGCAAAACAATCCCATATTACTTGAAGCTTTTGTCTCAGTTTGGTGATTGTACGACCAAGATGTTGTCGTAGAACCTATTTCATTATTCATTATTTTCTTCCATCCATTTTATAGCCTTTTTTGAGGTATGGCACGCTGCACCATCTTGCTGAAACACAAAATCTTGGCTGGATGTCAAACATTCTTCCATCACTGGTACAAGCTATTCTTCTAAAATTGACAAATATTTGTTTGTATCCACATTTCCATCAATAAAATGAAGTTTTCCTACTCCTTTTTATGACAGCATCCAGTTCATAATGGATGCTGGAAATTTCACTTTTCTCTTCAGACAGTCAACATGGAGTGCTTCATTTTTTTTGCGAATAACTCTACTACCACTGTCACCAACACAAACTTCGAATCGAGCCTCATCACTGCATTGTATTGCACACCATTGTTGAGGTATCTATTGTCTCTGTTCTTTAGCCCATCTAAGCCGATTTTTCTTTTGCAGTGCAGTTAGTGGCTTTTCTTTGGCCTATAAACAAGTTGTGCAACTTTAGGGTTTTTACTTCAATTTTTTTTATAAGAAACTTACCTTGCAAGTGCTAAATCCCAGTTTGTGGGCCTCTCTATGAGTTGTGGACCTCGAAATTCTCCTTCCAACAGCGTCACTCTACAGAGCACTTGATTGTAAATAATTGGCACGCCTGTTTTTCACGATTATTCTTATTAATGCTCTTCGGTCGGCATTTGTGATATTACTTTTTTTCACATATCGTGGCTTAATATTAACTGATCCAGTTACGTTATATCTTCTAACAATATTTCTCACACTGTACCGCGATAAGTCTAACAGAATTGCAATTTCTGAGTTTGATTTCCCAGAATTAAAAAAATTAATTATCAGTAACCGAATTTTTCTCACTAGTAACCTTTCCTCTACCCATTTAAAAAAACCTTAACTACCCAAAACTATTTTAAACGTATTCTGACAACTGTGATTAATAAAAACAATTGTCATGGCTGTAATTGCAACATGTGTTATTTTTATGATGCAAATTTGATTAGAGAGTGATAAAGTTGGTGTTTTCTACTATATATTATCAAAATATTCATTGTTAATATTTTAAACCTATAACACCCTGCTACATTTTTATTATTTGTGTTTGATAAGGAAAAAACTAAGATTCAATAGTTGGGACAACTGAAGTGGGAAGGGGCTCGTATTTGCATATAATAGTATAACTGGTATCTTTCACAGCTCTGAAACTTGAAATTTACGCAGGTTGTGACATTTTAGAATGATTCACTGAATTTACAAAAAAAAAAACATTTTTACGTTTTCCATGCCGCAGATAATGAATATGATATCCATTTATTGAAGATCAAAATTTAAGTTTTAAATGTTTTCAATGTCTCACTAATAACGAATTTGATATCGATTGTTCAAAAGTCGACAACAAATTGCTCAAAATTGAGTTTCAAGTGTTTTTTAAAATCTAGTATCACGGCTATGTTTGCAAAAAATTGTCAATTACGCTCAAATTACTGTTTTATTTGTTTTCAAGGTATAATTATATTATATTATATAAATGAAGACTTGAAGCTTGTCTCAAAATGGTTAGCATCTAACAGACTAAAATTAAATGCAAGTAAAACGAAAGCCTTGTTAATCGGTAAAAAACAATGTACAAATGTTCAACTGAATATTGATGGTGAAGATATTGAATTCGTAGAAAATTTTAAATACCTGGGAGTTTTTGTTGACTCTCGATTAATTTTTGATATTCATTATGAAAAAGTTATAAATAAGATTAGTAGTAAAGTGGGATATTTATCGAGAGTTTCTGGATGTCTGAGTTCATATAGCAGAAAAATTATCTATAATACCATCATTCTTCCAAATTTCTTGTACTGTTCGACTATTCTATATTTAGCAAATAATTCCATTTTTGAAAGACTGCAAATTTTACAAAATAAGTGCATGAGAATAATACTAAATAAAGATAAATATACTCCAATTAGGCAAATGCATAGCAAATTAAAATGGCTCAATGTAAAAATTTTTATCAAATATCTTGTAATGATATTCATTTATAAAGTAAAAAATAATATATTTCCATCAAGTCTAACTAATTTAACATCATCAAATGTCGACCATCATTTACATAATACCAGAAATAAAGATGACTTCCATGACCAAAAAGTATAACATATGCTACAAATCTGTATTCCATCAAGGGTTGATTGAATATAATAAATTATACTCGGAGATAAAAGACCAGAAAACTTTGACAAAATTTAAAGTAAAATTGAGAAATCACTTGTTAAATCTACAATTATAGGTTGCCCAGCATTTACATCATACACCATATGGCTTGAATTTACTAGTTCTAAGTTGTTTACAATTGTTCTGTTTATGTAGCCAAATGTGCTAAATAAATCTCTCTACTACTACTACTAATTGTATAGTCCCTCATAATTGTCAAAATTGCGGTCAGATGTAGCCAAAATTGACAATTTTTTAAAACAAATAGATCGGACTATAATGGGTATTTTAATGTCTGTTTAAATTCACTAGTTACGGAACAAATATCAGTTGCATACCGTTGACGTATAGTGACATGTCGAAACCTTCTAGGTGGTTCCTCAAAACCGACCCTGATGACGCCGATGATGTTTTCAACGTCAAAATCCAAAGACGGTAACAATTCTGATGAGCGAATAGACCAGTTAGATCTGTTGACTGAGAAGCAATTAGCACAAGCGTTGATATATCTCCTCAAAAATAACTCGGACTTCACGAAGCAGATCCACGAAGCGTACGTGCAGTCTATTATGGAGAAAATGAATCCCAGTGGTACCAACAGTCGATCACTTGTCTAGGTTTACTTTACGCCTATTTATTTTATTAGATAACTGATGGGCTGGAAAAGTTGAAGTATTATTAAGGACGAGGAAAGCTAGAACAACATTATAGAAGAATGTATGACGAGTTTCAGAATCTTGGACTGAGAGTTATACAAAATTTAAAAAATGATATGGAAACGATTGATTCAATGACTCGCGTATTAACGGTTTGGTGGACATGTCGAAAAGGGTTTATTAAGGAATCTATCAGACCTCTTGCTGCTTTTTGTCTTATGCAGGGTGTTCCTTAATGACATGGGGGTAAAGTTTAAAAAAAAATCTGTATTTTATAACTGTGATACTACGGTAGATATTTTTATGAAATTTCCTACACATACAAATAATTCTATTTATAATAGTGGCGTTCGTGCGGGTTTAGCATTGAATATTTTTGCAGAGAAAAATGGTACAATGCTTTCTCTTCAAGTAAAAATTATTTTTGGAATCCTCATTTATTACTGAGCAAATTTGATCTCTTGATTTTCTTTTGTGCACGCATGATTTTCGATTTAAACAATAAAAATCAGTTTACTTCAGTGTCAAATTGCTAAAAATCTGAAGCTATTTATTGAGTGCGTTTAACATCAAGGACAGTACATCCGATGAGAAAAAAATATTTTTGCCATGCTTATTCATTTTTGAACAAATTTGATCACTTAACTTTCTTTTAGCAATTTGACCCTGAAGTTAAACGATTTTGATTTTTTTAAGTGAAAACCACGAAAGAAAATGAAGATATTAAATGTGCTCAGACATGAATGAAGGTTTCAAAAATGATTTTTATTTGAAGAGTGGCGTACTATTTTTTTCTCAAAAAACAACCTATTGCAAAACCCGTACGGACGACACTGCACTGATAGAAGCAATGAAATTGTTTGTTCATCAGAAAATGCACCTTGATGCAAAGAAGATGTGTATCAAATGTGTTGAAATAGTATTACAATTATTATAAAATAAAGATTTTTTTCTGCAAAGTGTACTGTTCTCTGAGGTTAAGTCGTTTAGGACATACGATTCATTTCTTGAAGCCGATCCAAGAATCAGCTATTCAAATATTAGCACGCCATCAATATATTTCTTAAGATTTATTTATTCCTTTTTTCTGTTAGATTACCATCAGATTAGACAAGTTTTTTTATTTAGTATTCACCTTCATTTGAAACAATATTTGTCCGCAGAAAATGACGACAGTATGTGCGTGCTATAAGCTTTTCCAGCTCTATGTCATACATTTTTATCCACTGACTATTGACACACTGTTGAATGTACGTTGTCATAATTTTATCTCCCTACTTTGTACATCTAGCCCGGTAAAAAAAACTTCCCAAAACCTTGCAATAATTCTATCATGGATGACAATTTGGATTTTGTTAACTCAAGTAGTCCTTTTTAGCATAACAAAAAGTTCCAGATCTTGTGGTAACAGGTACATAAAATTATTTGAAAAATATTTTTATGTTTGGTCCTGTAAATTATATAGAAAAAGGTTCTGCAGGGTTATTACGTCAAAAAAACTGACATAATTTGACGCTATTTTTGCTTGCGATTTGCTCGAAAGACACAATTTTTTCACAAACTATTATTAAGTATATTCTTAAATTATCACCTGAAACTGTTTACCATTAAAAAAGTTTTTACAAAAAATTCTTATTTTTTGGAATATAAATATTATTTAAATAAAGGTATAAAGGAAAATTGTTTAGTATTTTCAATGAAGTATGCTTTCAACTCCTCATGCTGTGATTAGTGAGGTTTTATTCTCTTCAAGATATTGTTGAATAATGTCAAAAAATTGTCTTGAAAATAATCTAGAAAGCAGATTTGCTCTTCAGTACAGCAAATGGAAAATAAAAGTCTACAAGAGTTTTTTGCTATGATGATTTTGAAAAGATTTATGGCCTAAAATAGTGCTTGACCTCAAAAAAAAAAAATGTGTACTCACTTTGAAATAAATGTTTCCTCACTTTGAAATAAATGTTTCCACCAGATACATTTTTTGAAGCAATTTTAACATATTCTCGTTAAAATTTAGCCTTTTCTTTACACCCTTTGTAATTTTAATTAATTATGGTTGGTAAATGTCTCAAAAAACTATTTTGTCAATCAGATGCCTCAAAAATCTCGCATACGGACATTCACGCAATACGAGCTCTAAAAGAATTGTCATAATCTCGTGAAAGCATGTAAATATGAAGATATCGTAAACAACCTTTGAAACTTATTTATTGAGCCACAAAATTATCTTAACTTTTCATGTACATATAGTTTATTCACTGAATCAAAGCAGTTACGTCACAATAATGACAGTGACGCACTATATTGTATACAGAACCGTAACACAAAAACCCAAAAGTCAAAAAGTTTTTCAAACATTTTTCATTTCCTGTCTATGGTAGGATCCGGTACTTGTCGTCATGCTGACAAACAATATTGTAATAACCTAAATCCATATTATCATACATTATAGAATTTCTGTCAGGTCAAAAGTATTCTTTTACTGGGCCAACTCGTTTGTGATAAGGCTTTAAGGTGGCGTTTTCAATGACATTTCAATGATTCTTGGATAAATTATTTAAAAACACACGATAAGTTGTAATTCCTTTTGATAGTATTCTCTGCTGTTATTAACTTTTTTTCGAAACAAGTCTTTAGGCAGCAAGTTGCTGATGTATTTTTAGAGCTTAGCTAGTTTTATTATACAATCGATATTTTTACTATGTGTTTGACAAAAATAATTTTTGAATATACATATAATGTGATAGAACAGGAGAATGTCGTTTTGAAAATGTCTTCTTGAATCGTAGCTAATATGCTAGAGTTGTAGATCTAGTATTTATATAAGTACACACGCGACTTGTAAACATTTTTGAAAAAGTTTAATATATTTTTCGTTTTTATTAAATTTCAACGCAGGTTATATTAGTTGGACGATTGTTAAAGTTTTGCATAAAATACCGTTGATTGAAGAAATGTATTTTTATTGTTTATTTCATCCAATTCGCTGAATGAAAAAATTCTCTCAATTAATATCGCCTTTTTGTTCTCTCCCTTAATTCGATCAGTGCAAAAACCAGGTAAGTCCCATAATTTGGATTTTTCAGGAGACAATAATCAGTTCATAAACAATAGGACAGCCAAGATCCTATCCAAATAAAACGGCGCTATAAACTTTATATCCTGGATGGTGGATAGTTGTTATGATTTCGTCCGCTCTCCCAGAGACCAAGCTGATGATTTGCCAAAAAAGCACGAAACAGGTGTCTTTGGTTGGACAGACGAAAGCAGCATTTTTAGGTTACACCGTCTTCCTTTCCCTACCCTACCCGTAATACCGTTCATCTGGCAACGTCGCGTCGCCTCTCCCCAACATCTGAAAACGAGGCGGGGCGTCCAAGAGCTTGTGACAGAACCAGTGTTGCCAAGCTTGGTGAAATTTCACCAGGTCTGATGATTTTATGAATAATCTGGTAAGTGCAAGACTTTTTGAAAAATGACAATTTCCGGTGATTTTCAAAATTTCGATTTTGAATATTTTTAGCAATCTTTAAGCTACCAAAAACTCCAACAGTTGTACCGTTACGGTCTCCGATATATATCCGGTGATTTCCTTAAACTGTTGTGGGATTCACCACAGACTTTAAATAAAAACTTGTTTTGGTAAAAAATGTAGGATTCTTTTTATAATAATTCTGACCTTGGTATTAAAAGGTAGTTAAAAATCGTACAAAAACAACAGGAAAAATGTAATCAAATTGTATCTTGGGTAGGTGCTGATAAAATAATGTTTAACTGAATTCGGCACAGTCCTTAGTAGGAAATTGTGTTTTAAAAAATTTAATCGTTAAGTTGTATACATACATTACAGATGCCGTTTTTAGCTTAGAAAATTAACTTCTAAAATTCTTGGTGATTTTTTTAAATCTAGTGATTTTTCATTCCAATTTCTGGCGAATTTTATTTATTCTTAACCTGGCAACACTGAACAGAACACATTCATGCAGGACGCATACGAACACAGGCACACAGACCGCGCGCAGGGACGCTCATCAAAAACATTAATAATTTCTCTATCGTACGTTTCAGCGGCAAATGTACAAGCCGATCTGTGATGTGTGAAATGTGTCTAATTGGTGAGTAGAATTATCGGGGCTTCCCCACACCCCAACAACCCTAAATTTTCTCTGAAAAATGTTCAGGATTCCCTGAAACTTCAAAAACGAAGTTGAGCGTTTTTCTATTTTTTTCCTTTCTGACCTTTTTTTTTCGCTGCCACTGGAACTTTTAAAAGCTACAAAGCTTTTTCGACCTAGGGATAGTAGTAACCTTGTGTACAAACTCCATCAAAATCCGACGTAAAATATACTATAACGTTGGCTATTTTTTGATGGTGCGTTATTTTCTTGAATATATATATATATATATATATATATCTATGCATATCGCGTCTCCAATTTTTTTGATTTACACAAGTTGAGCCGAGTTGTTGCCGAACCTATCGATTTTCGGTATTTCTACCGAAATGCGAGTTTATTTACCGACATATCGAGAACGTCCTTATTTCCACGATATTTTTAAATAATTCATTTTTTTGTACAGAGAAAAAGCTAGAACAAAAAATAAAGTTGAAAAAATGAACTCCGATGAAGTCGCAGCCTATTTAGTTGTATGGCCTATACCAATGATACTTAGGAAGTTGAACCTACAAGGAATGTAGATTTGAGTTGCCTATAATTATGTACTCACTTGCCTTATCCTACTTTCCTTGTATTGGTTTTTGTACGTAAAATTAGTACAGACTGGTAGATCACCGTCACTACCACATCACCGGACAAGCCATAAGGAAACCAAAGCTGGTCTGATTTTGGTTAAATATTAAATCAAAATGGTCAAAAATGCAATCTTATAAACAAAAGAATGGGAAAGGACTTACGAGGATGGTTGCAAAGGAGCTTGAAGAGCGACCAGGATGCTCATTATGCAAGTTGTAATGCGGAAGTTAATATTTCTCCAGAAAAATATCTTGTTGAGCCGAGTTGTTGGCGAACCTATCGATTTTCGGTATTTCTACCGAAATGCGAGTTTATTTACCGACATATCGAGAACGTCCTTATTTCCACGATATTTTTAAATAATTCATTTTTTTGTACAGAGAAAAAGCTAGAACAAAAAATAAAGTTGAAAAAATGAACTCCGATGAAGTCGCAGCCTATTTAGTTGTATGGCCTATACCAATGATACTTAGGAAGTTGAACCTACAAGGAATGTAGATTTGAGTTGCCTATAATTATGTACTCACTTGCCTTATCCTACTTTCCTTGTATTGGTTTTTGTACGTAAAATTAGTACAGACTGGTAGATCACCGTCACTACCACATCACCGGACAAGCCATAAGGAAATCAAAGCTGGTCTGATTTTGGTTAAATATTAAATCAAAATGGTCAAAAATACAATCTTATAAACAAAAGAATGGGAAAGGACTTACGAGGATGGTTGCAAAGGAGCTTGAAGCGCGACCAGGATGCTCATTATGCAAGTTGTAATGCGGAAGTTAATATTTCTCCAGAAAAATATCATGTCTTTTATAGACAGCGCTGCGTGATGCAAAAGCCTTTAATCCAATTCCTACTCCTACCAGTTTTGTTCTTGAACCTACAAAACTATATACCGATTCCGTCTTTTTAGGTTCGGCAACACTGGTTGAGCATCCTGCGTGGTTTAGACCGAGCCTAATATATACCAGGGTTGCCATGTTGCCCACTCTTTAAACCACACCTATCTCTTTCCATTTATTAACGGATTTGGGGGATTTTTTTGAATCGGCCACTTGAATCTGCGGGTATCGGTTTTATTTGTATGAATGATCAATAATATTAGAATATATTACAGCAGGGTTACCTTTGCCAGAATGTCGTACTACTATAATCAGGCGTCAAGTTTTGGGGTCGTTTTTTTTTTTATTTCACCGGTTTTCCTGGGCCGAGTACCGGGTACAAACGGTACAAACCGAGTACTCAAGCCTTCGTAAAAATATGGTGATTGAAAAACGAAGTGACAAGACGTCAAGCTGCGAATGTAAATGTAGATCTTTACAACTCACTCGGTAAACACGTTGACACGATGATCGTTATTCTAATTTGAACTATAGAAGTACGGTTTATTGACTGATCGACGTTAAAAACGCGACCTCTTTACCGTTCCTAGGTCATAAGAGAGAAGATAAAATTTAAAACAGGGGTTCCGTTTCGAAAATTTTGAATGAAAAAATTAAAACCTCGGTTATTTCAACCTTTAGTGGCTTGCTACCAGTACATCACCTATTAATAGCCACAACCAGCTGTGGTGATCGAGCACGCAGCAGTGCCGTTTATTTTTAGAATACCTAAAACGTATTTTGTTTTTGTATCGCAGGTGTAATGTCAGCTAGTCAAATTAAGGAGAAAATTTATATACCAATACACACAACAAACAACCAATTAGTCCTATCGGGCTTGGGAAAATCTACAAAGAGGGGTATAAAAAAGTGCAACAATTGCAGTACTTACAATGGCACTAGAAGTGCAGTGTGCAAGAATAAAAACTGTGGCGTTATTCTCAAAGACTCCGAGGAAAAATCTAGAGTGGACATAGATGCTGTCAAATTACTTACAGGCAAAGAAAAGCAAGTATTCTCTGTCAGGGTAAGAGATATGGGCCCAGATTATAGAGGGTTTGTGCAGTTACCGATTCTCCAATCACAAGAAGACAAAAACATTCTGTCAGAAGTAGCATTGTGCTTTGTCGACTCCTGTCAGAACTCATTCGATAATTCAATCCTCAAATGTCACGAAGAAGACCAAAACAGTACTAATCAGGTGTGTGATCACATAAAATCAGCGTTGAAAAGTCAAAGCAGTGCCACTCCAATGAAATTCAAAAATGACGTATTAGGGTCTCTCCAAGTGACAGATGATGTTAAGGAGACATTGTACATCTTAGCTAATGAAAAACAGGGCTGTTTGGTGCAACAGGTGTCAAAGTCTATTATGGCCGTGAAGTGTCAGGCAACACCTAAGCACCCGTTGGGGTATCTGCATTTTGGGTTCATCAAAGGCAAAGGAAGATATTGTTATGAAAAGTATTTTTGCAGTTGTTCAGAATTTATAGGTAACTATATCAGATAAAGTTGTAGTACAGGCTGCATTCAAATTACTGAGATATATTGTTGTAATTTTAGAATCGAGAAGCATACCTGGAAAAGAAATCAGAAAATGTATCCACTACTATGCATGTATTTGGTCTTTGGCTAGCAACACAAGGTATTTTGATGAGTTTTCCTACTTTTTGCAGTTTGAACTACCATTGTCAGGTATGTTTGTATTTGAAATTAATACTACCTATATATACTCAGGAAGAGAATATCATAGCACATCGTACCCCCATTGCTATATTTGTATAGATACAGTCGGTGCGCGCAGATCTTGCATTAACAGTGGCGCATGATGTGTTTTGCTACTTTCTTCCGTTTCTGTATGACTACAGAAATTTCAAACCTTTAATAGTTATAACCCAATAATATTCTGATTTATTTGTGGCCTTGTAACATTTTTATATTAATTGACTTATATTTGAAATTTTATAGAACCAATTTTTGGTCATCTGAATGATAAACCAAGTCCACTATCTGAAACTTCAAAATATATTCAACAAGCTGCTGCAATGAAGGTAACAGCTAACAAATGTCTCGATGAAAGGTATAGGAAATCTAAAGTAATCAAAGTAAGATGTTATGCCAAACTTGTGGTTGTTAATTGTGATGAATACTGTTTATAACATAACATTTCCAAGTTTTGTATTGGCACGTTTGCTACTCTATTAACCTTTTTTCATATAATTGCATAAACGATGCAAGTGTGCGGACTGTTATTTCATTATGTATAACCCAGCGAAATGATTTTATTTCTCTCACTGAGCGTGCACCTTTATACGAACGCTAAAACCGTTGTGCTTTTAACGCGGAGAACAAGAATAATTGCTTATTGTTATACGGATGTAAAATGCTTAGCGTTGTTGGTGCTAAACAGGAGGGTGATACAATGAATAGCGTGGAACGCTCTCGCGGTATTTGACGCTAGGCAACCAGAGTTACGCGATCGGGCGTGAGCGGTTGCCCTCTCCCCCCAAGATTTCCCTCTGGATCCGCACCTAAAACTGAAACTAACTAACGCACATTGTCTATTATTTTATCAAACAGGTAGGATGTCCATCAACAAAACTAATGAATATTTGTTAAAATTCTTCAGCAACCAAGGAAGGTGGAGTTGATAAAACGGTGTCAGAAAATTATACCAAAAATATATCCTATTGAAATAAAAGTGTTGAACGAACCAGCAAAAGGTAATCATAATACATGCTGGACCTTCATAGACTGGCTTTCGTACGTAACTGAATCAATCAACAAAACTATGCAGTTTGACAACTGTGGAATTGTCAACACATTGGTGTTCCAAATACCGCAGGTAAAATACGTTGCCATACAATCCTTCATATAAAGGCTTTTTCAATAATAAGGACCAGTCGATGTTGAAATGAAATAAAAAACCTGTGCGTGATGTATAAAACTGTTCTCTCTCCAAAATGTTCGTGTATGTTTTGTATCGCAACTTCGCACAGTGGCCCACATCAAGGAAATTACATTTTCAGTAGCTCTGTCACATAGATCCTGTTAAATTTGACTGATGACCTGACCTAGGTTATAATTGATTGAGGATGTTGATGGATGGCTACGTATTGTCTTTTTCTCGAGTATCCTTTACGGTCGCCTATTTTATTTCTACATCGATTCGACCTTATAGGGAAATATCTACATATAATGTGACGCCCTCGTAACTGAGACATTGAGCAACGATGAGACGCCCACACCATATTGACGCTTAGGCAGCCAGAGTTACATCGCCGTGCATCAAGGGCAGTAATAGCTTGCAGTCAGAATAAGCGAGTGTTTGCGACGGTAGCGGGAGCGCTGGACAAACATCGGGAAGCACCTACCGCCACCGAGAAGCATATATCGACATCGAAATAGTTTCGGTGAAGCTCTGGAATGCCCTGGATTGGCTAATTTGAACATAAAAGCTACGCCGACAGCGGAAAGGAGTGGAGCAGTCGACAGCGGGCGATGAGTCACCACAGAACGCGATAGTCCAGTCGATATGGTTATAAATTTGCCATAAATTAGTTGCAAATATTGTTATGTTATATGAAAGTAATAGATTAGACTTTAAGTAGTAAAAACGATGTTTTCGTTACAATATATATGTTTCAGGTATTTTACAATGATTTCAAGAAACGGATCCCAGACACCTACCAAGTCATTGAAACAGAGGAAATTTACCATTACAGCATAATGAATATATTGCATTTGAAACAGATCTTTGACACCCCGCTGGTATACCAAACCGCACAATCTCACAAGAAACGTACACTCACGGTACTCTATTGTAGGTTAAACTGAGGATTTCAAAAAAATTCGTCCATACTGAACAAAAAGGCTATGTGGAATACAATGAAGCAGAACATAATAATGACATTTACCAATGCTCGTTTATATTTTTCTTGAATGTTGGACAGTCTACCGTAGACGAGAGTGATAATACAAATAATTCGTTTGAAATCGAGTGGATTCCGCGGATCACAGATGTTACTGCAATAGGGCAGTTAAAATTGCAGTACAAATATGGAAGAAAGAGTACTTGATGTGACTTGAAGTTGTTATACAATTTTTGGGAAAGCAAATATAATGAATCATTTTACATGGCATTTGTGTTGCTTTTTTCGGCACCCGCGAGAGTGAAAACAGCACTTTGTGCTGTCTTATTTCGATATACCTGATTTCCCGGATAAAGGATAGTTTCTCAGGTCTCGTTCGTTGTTCTACCTGAGACCAGACCTAGGCCATGCCGATGATGTTGAATTCCAATATCGGCCCAATATGAGAGCAGTTATATATGCATTCTGTTTGGCTTGTACCACTTTTTAGTGTACCTGCACTTTTTTGATAATGTGCTAAATGCCCTGAAAAGAAAGTATATTTAATCGAAGTTGTTGAAGAATCCAACTTCTGTTTCTACCGAGTTATTAAAGCTTTTAATTGATAATAACCCTATGCGTTTCTCAGACTCTAGAGGCTACATTCGGTTATGAACAACCTTTTTTTCCAAGGCACGCTTTGGGTCAAATGCGACCTTTTCTACTCAGCAGGAAGCAGTTAGGATCGCATTTTATCGAAACTGTAAAAACGCAAGAATACGTCGATCACCAAGCAGTAAAAAAAGAAGAAAGTTCGATACTCTATCTTAAAACGGAGCATTTTCCAACTTCTTGTTTTAGAATTACTAAGGGAATCACATTTTGAAGTTAAGCAAAGTACAATATTTACACAGTGTAGGTAAGTAAGCTATCGTTCATCTCACCGCAGCAAGCAAATGCGGGGCGTAGTTCTTCGCATTACACAACTAACCTTGAGAGAGTGAGTTTCCCTAAAACCTGGAGTTGCGAATAAACCGCACCCTGCAACTTCGATAAAACCCGCAGTGATATCTCAGCCCTAAGGGTCTTTCCCTGTAGTGCCACCACTGGTTGCACGCCTCAAGTGCTGTCCTATTTGCATTTATAAACCACAAGTCACAGCAGCGCTGGTGTCAGCAAGGAACCCAGAGTCTAAAAACAGGAGATCAAGAAGACATCCCCTATGTGAAATAGGGCATAAGTCATTTTACAACCGGGTTATAAACGGGTTTAGCCTAACCAGCCTTTTTTTCGCTCGCCATTGTCGCAGCCGCATTCGTAGGCCGTATTGCTAGGTGTAAACCACACTTAAGCCTTAAGTGACAGTTGTTGACAAACTGGCAGTTCATGATTATAACCTATAAAAAACATAAACATCTTTTATTTTAAAAATTCAAAAGGTGTTGAGGGCATTTTCAAAATAATGAACGACGAGAGATTCCTAGTTAGTGGTTGGGAAGATGATATAAATGATATTGACGAAACAAGGAATCCAACAGGTAAGACATTTCTGGAATGTTTTGAAATATCTTTCAGGGCAAAAAATAGAGCGCAAACATAATTTCAGACACATTAGAGAAGAAAATACTGGATGCATGTGAGAATGGGACACTTGAAGAGGTAAAAAAAATCTTAGAAGAGCATCCTGATCTAGTGGGTGTGAGAGATAAGGATGGTTATACACCTTTACATAGGTAGACTATTTGTTTGCAATACAACTTATACCATGATCTTTAACACTGCATCGGTGGCGCTGGTTTTTTTAACACCAGTGGTGGCGTGGGGTATTGTATACCCCATCTAAGGAATGTGGATCTTTGGGGTATAAACAGTATAATTATTATCAATGTATACAAGAACTGTTAATAATATAATATAATAATACATCAAGTCACCTAAATAAGTAACTGTGTAACTGGAGAACTGAACAGAATGAAGCAAAATATAGAAAAATAATAATTAAACTGAAAAAATAAAACCACTCATAGTCTCCCTATTTCACTCATCTTCATGGTCGCTGCTTCCGTCACTGGCGTTGTCATAACAGGCGGTACATATATTATGTTGGTGATCCTTGCACACAAAATTCCGGCATTCACTGCATCTAGCTGTTGTTTTTTTATCATTTTTCCTGGGACATATGTGACAGCGGCCTGTTTTTCTTTCTCGAGCTCCTCCGTCTTCATTAGGAGTTTCTTGTATTCTTAGCAAGTTGTGTGCTTTTTGTCGAATCACCCTCGGTACATTTTGGCTGTAAATTCTACGCATTATGCAGGGTCTGACCAGTTCTGATGCAAGACTTTTCAAAAACTGACGCCTCAGTACATTTACAAGATTCCCATTTGTTACATATAAATTTAATGCATTTATAGCCGCTATATTCATTACATCGAAAAAAATGGCCAAAGGCCACCTTCGAGTAGTTCTTGCCACATTGTACATAACACACATTTTATCCACAACATCGACGCCATACTTCGTGTGATTATAATCGACAATCATGGCTGGCTTATTTGTCTCTCTGTCAATTTCATCTGAATGATGCATCGTTGAAAGCATAAGAACGTTTTTGTTTTTTTTTTGGTACAAAAGATACTAGCGTGCATTTTTCATGGAAAGCAAACATCGAACTTTCTAATGGCTTGCCTTTTGTGGATACAAAGCACGGTGGAATTTCCATTTGTTAGCTTTGATAGTTCCAAGCACAGTCAGCTTATGGTCTGTAAGAAGCTCCACTGCCAAAGGAAAACTGGTAAACCATCGGTCCATCGTGATATTCCTATTGGTGTTTCTTATTGGTTGAACAAGCCTTTTGACGACGTCGCTAGGCGAATTCGATATCTTATATGGACCATCTGGCTGCTTACCACAGTAAATTTCGAGATTGATAGTCATCATCGTTTTTGGATCCGCAAGCAGAAAAAGTTTGATGCCGTATTTGGCTGGTTTCGAGGGAAAATACTGCCTAAGTGGGCATTTGCCCCTAAATGCGATGAGCTGTTCGTCGATAGTGACATAGCTGCTTGGCATATATGATGAACAACAATTATTCACAAATAATTCAAACAGCTCTCGTATAGCGGCTAGTTTGTCCAACTCTCGCCTCCCAGGTCTGTCACAGATGTCATCAAACCGAATACAACGGTATAAAAATTTGAATCGAGTGCAACTCATTGTGCAGTAAACAAGGTCTACTCCAGTGCCATCAGTATTCCAGATATCCTCAGTATTTAGTCTACCTTCTTTTAGAACCCCTGTTATGTATAAAATTCCCAAAAATGCTCTAATTTCGCATTCGTCTGTAGGCTTAGCATTTCTTGCACGTGCATACTTTTCTTTGATTGTCTCAATTTTGATATCAGTACAGTTCGTAATCATAGTAATCATCTGATTGTTGATATAAACATCGAAACATTCCAAAACTGTTTTAGCGTTTCTTGCATGTCCAAGAGGACCAGGGACTTTGACAACTATATTGTGCACCCTAGTGCGTGATGTGGCAGGCGCTATTTTACTCCAAATGGTTTGGCCATCTTTACCTGTGTAGTAGGGTTCAGAGCGTATTCCTTCATCCAGTACTTAACCTTGTACCTCGCTCATATCCGTTTCTGATTCGATGAGCCCCTGTTCCTCTTGAACATCATCCGGTTCTTGATCTAGGTCTTCATCTTCTGAGTCCGATTCTGACCAGTCATCAGCGCCTTCCTCTTGTTCCAACTCCTCCAACCATTTCATCCACTGAGCTGGATCGGTACTAGCTTTTTCAGGGCGTGCCATTATGTAAAACTATAAATAAGTTACAATTATAGTATTTATGTTACCTAAAAACCAACTGTAAAAACCTACAAAAGAAATAAGCGAAAAAACACGAGTGTCACGGGAGTGGTGGCGTGGGGTATTGAGTAGCCCCACTGCGAATGTCTAGGCCAACAAAAATCTAACCGTCGCACACAAACTAGCGAGCTCTACACTAATACGTTGGGCACTCTACTGCTGAAGATTACCTGGATGCGCGTAGCTCTAGTCATCCCCACTCCGGACGTATAGCCGCTGAAATTTGAAGTGGGGTACTCAATACCCCGCGCCACCGATGCAGTGTTAAACACCGCTATAGAGCAAATCAACACATCTAGCAGAATAGGATAATGACTATGTTCACATACTAAGTGGTCAAGTTCTCATATGGTGCATAGCCACATGGTGTAAATGGGCACACATCTATGGTGCTCTGTGCCTACCTGGACTATTTAAAAAAAATGAGCATTTTTTAGGGCATGTTACAGCAATAACCCAGATATAGTAGAATACTTAATTGAACATGGAGCTGATATTTCAGCAAGAACAGAAATGCAGTGGCAACCCCTTCATTCCTGCTGTCAATGGAATCATGTAAAATGTGCATGGATACTCATACAGAATGGTGCTGATGTTAATGCTAAATCGGAAGGCAGTAAGTTGACTAGTAATCCTTCAAAACTTACAACCCTTCATTATTATTAGAGTTCTATCAGGATCATAAAAATGCAGGAGCTTTATCATTCTTCACATTCATCAGAATAGGAATGACTGGCTTTCACATTATTGCATTTATGTGTCAATGTGTCATTGTCACTGTTAGTGTTCAGGGCTATGGTCTAATGAATGTGACCATTTACTTGGCATCGAACTACTTAATTAATTTTGCAGGTCAAACCCCCCTACATATTGCAGCATCACATGGTGTATCTTATGAAACTGTACAATTACTCCTGGCTCATCCTTACATAGACCCAAACATCAAGAATAATAGTGGAGAAACAGCAGCTGATTTGGCAAAAAGGGCATCAAAATATTACAACATCTTTGAAGTTGTTGATCCATTGTTGGATTATAAAAATTTGGAGTAAGCATTATATATATTGCTTTTATTTGGTGTCTCCCTTAGGAATGCACTGAGTACTACCTTTTTAAAAAGCTGGGTACCAAGTGCTTGGTAAGATTACAATACCAGGTACTGGGTATTCAGCTGAGTATTCACCAGTGTGCTCAGTGATCTGATTTGAAAAATGATTTACTTTTCTAAGAAATTAACACATGTGGGTAGAACTCTGTATTTTAGTGTATTTGGTATGTTTTTAGAAGATTAGGTATATGTTTTTCTCATAAAATGCAAGGCAGTTAAGACATACTTTGGCAATACATTTCTGAAAGATTTTTTGGGATACAGAGGTAACTTTTTGGCTTTTGTTGCGTTTTTATTTTGCAGTTTAAGGTGTTTTTTGAATGTTCATAGGAAAGCAACTGATTCCGCCAAAAATATGCGCAAGCTTTGACTATTTTTGTCGGTGTATATAAATACTAAATTTCAGTGTAGAAATGACAGTTTAAAGTTTCAAGATCTCACCTACAGTTGTTAAGTCATTAGGAGGTACAAAATATGTAATATACTGCAAACCCCTTATTTAAAATTTATATTTTAAAGAACTGTAACTACAGATGGAATTAAAAAAATAGATGACAACATGGATAACATTAATGACCCATATAATACAAGCAGCAGAATGTTGCTATTCTGGTTGGTAACCTGGTATACCTGTGAATGGTGCCAGTTTCTTTGAAAAGATTTTTATTAAATACTTGCTGAAAATGCTTACTCAAAAATTGATCATTAACATTTTCTTTTTCAGAGTCCTGAAATGAACATGATTCGCTAAGAACTACTGCAATCCGCGTGTGCATATATGTGTCATAATTATATTTTTTCATGGAATGAATCATACTTGTATTAAGTTTATCACAAGATTCATATTAAATTATTTTGAATGTTATTGTTTTTTATTTTAATGAATAAAGCTATACCATAAGCGCCCAATCGAAGTGTACATAAACCTTTCATGTTGGGCCTTCTTCAGCAGAGCAGTCAACCTTGTTTGGCACATTTTGGCCCTTCTGAGAAAAATAAATTACCTTCCTCCTCCCCCTGCGAGAAATCGCTGCAGGCGCACATGATCTTTGCGATGACCAATCCCGCGTGAATGACGTTATTGGCCTTCACCATGCATAGTGCACACAGCGCAGCCCACAGCAGTGCAAAGGATTGCCGACTGTGACGTACGACCGACAACGACGACGCTTGTCCATCGGGGGACGACGTCGCACGTATCGACACCCGACTGTAGAATATTTTTAGTTTTAAGGGTAAATGTACGGGGATATCTATGATGGATGAAATTTGCCTAATATGTGCTCAGAATTACTGAGGTTGGAGATGTATAAATATACCAACGTGTTGTTTTATAAATTTAACAGACGATTTTTCAAAAAGTTCATATAAACACAGACCGCAAATCCGTCGTTCTCAAGATATAGGGTGTAAAAAAATGTTTTTTCGTAAATATCTTAAATATCCTTTACCTTATTTTGTTGTAACTTGTCGGTGGTATTTATAACATTAAGTGACTAATTTAACCCAAACTTGATTAAATTTATTAAGTCCAGTGGCGTCTCGGGCGGGATCTGAACGAATATTTGTGACAAAAAATTTATGCCTCTGACATTTGTGCAATTTTTCGTATCTTGCTTAGTTTTCGAGAGAAAAAAAAGTCCACTTTATTGCACATCCCATAAGGGGTATGGGGAAAACTTTCTTTTGGAAATTACTATTTTTTATAATTTTTTATTATTATTCATGCAACAACAGCATAACATTAACATATAGATTACACATTTCACTAAATTAGGTGTTGGAAATGTCCCTTTCCGGCTCCAATACAACCGTCTAGCCGCCTCGGAATCTTTCCATGACTGGAATTACTAAAAGCCCAGGTAAAACGAATTCTATAAACCTTTGATATTCTTCATTAAGTCTGGCCACCGCCAATTCCAACCCGAATTTTGAAAGAAAACTTTTCGTGAAAATTTTGGTCTATTAAGGCGTGTGGATAGTTTTCGGCCCTAATGTTATTGATGTGGAAGTTAATAATTGAATTGCGAGAAAAACTGCCAGATTTAATAATAACGAACGAACAAAATTTAATTGCAAAAGTTATGCATACTCCTAAGATCAGTGATCATTCATGGATATGTTTTGAACTTGAAAGTAAATTTGATGCTAACAAGGTGGAAGAAATGACTAATATTAACTATGTAAAATTACGAGAAGCTCTTACTGCAAGATATGACTTAAGCGTTTTTTGATGTTGATAGCTACTATATAAGCCTATTGGATAATGTTGAAGTTTGTATAAAAGAAGCTACAGTCAGTTGGTTCTCGTAAAAAGAGACTACAATTATAAAAAGTTTATGATTACTGGAAGTGAAAATGATTTACTAGAATACACAAGATCAAGAAACCAATCTGTAGCAGTTCTATGAGATGAAAAGAAAAAATATTACAATGCCAAAATTGA